GCCGTCCGACCGGTCGGTGCACATGCAGCTCTCAACGCGTCCCGCCAGCTGCATCGACACCAACAGGCGCCGCTGGGTTCGATGCCCACGCGATCAATGATGAGGGGAATGTTTGGAAATTCTCACGCTTTTATATATATTTATCAGCTGGGTTTGGATGATTTGTCTGCAGAGCGAAAAAAACGACGGGATTAAGAAGTTAACAAACGCGCAGCACAAGAGAGGGTTACAGTTCATGTTAAAAGGTGCAGCGGTGAGAAGGAACTACGTACGTTTACACAAGTACAACTTCTGAGGTACTTATATTTAATGCAGCTACTCCACTCGATGTGTTTTCCTGCACTATATTTAATTTTAGGTGCTATCGATTCAGATTACTTATACAAAATATTATTAATTAAGCTATGCAGCAATATGTAAATCTCCCCCGCAACAATGAAGCGGTGCTTCCACTTCAAATAAAACCGATATATAAAGTACATTTATATAACACGCTTGATCCAGAAAGATCATTCTGCATTATGAATTCCTTCTCTGCTTCAAGCTAGTTAATAATTCTGTACTTCTATTGAATTATGATGTTTTTACTTTCTGAGTACTTCACTGCAGCCCTCACATTCAATGTGAATATGAAACTCGCTTAGACAACTCAAAAGGCTTCACACACACACACACACACACACACACGGACGCAATCCAGTTCATGCAACTGCCAATACAACTTACAAATTACAGTGTGTGTGACAGACTGACTTTGAGGAAAGAAATAACTGTATTTGCCCCGGAGATGTTTTTTCTTTTCTTCCCTCTCGTGTAACGGAAAGATAAAAGCCGTCAGCGGTAGATTTAAATGAGCAAGAAGACGTGAGGAGCGAAACAACCCTCCCAAAAATACCGAGGACATGTTTCCCATCTGGAAGAAAAGAGGAACCAGCGCCGCCTGAGAGGAATCTAGGCCGCGTCGTGCAGCTCAGCGGCTTTCCTGGACAAACAGGACGGACCTCAGCGACCTCGTGTTCCAGCGTGCTGGAGAAGTGAAGCTAAACAAGCGTTGACCTCGTCTCCAATGAGGTCCAACCTGTAGACGGCAGTGAAATAAATCCCCTGCCTGTCCAGTTTTAATCGCCCAGCTTTAATGAAATCTGGCAAGCTCCCATGAATTTCCCGGCCTGCGCGTCTCCTCCACCTCCTCCACCTCCTTCGTTCCCCTCCTGTTGTGTTTTTTTTTTTCGCCCTCTCGGAGCGGCGAACTCGCTTCGAAACCGCTTAAGACAAAACGCGATTACGTGGATTTGATTTGTCTCTTTTCCTCATCTCCTCCTCTGCAAATAAACCGAAATAAAAGAAGCCCCCCCCCCCCCGCGTGCACCGGAGACGCTACCAGGGAAATGAGGGGGCTGTTTCACACACATGGATTAAGCTAATCCCCGTGTAATACACTAAAAAAAGGAGAAGTGAAACCAATCCCTTAAATCTCATTGAGTTTAACCCGTCTGATATTTCGGTCTTGTCCCCAGCTGCGTCGGACGACGCGGGAACGCCATCAGCACGAGTGCTTTGTTAGCGGCCGCGGCGGCGCGCGTAAAGCCGTTAATTTACTGCGAGAAGGGTTTGAACTTTCAACGAAATTCAGTCAAATAGCTCCCTCCCTGTCTCCCTCCCTCCCCCCTTTCGTGTGCCTAATATATTAATCTATTCTCTTGTATCTATTTTACATGCTATCAGACCTTAGCTGGAGCGCCGCGGTGGCGGCCTACGCGGCTAAGTGCCGCCACAGCGGGATTTCTGGCCCGAAAAAGACGGGCGGATTAATCGCTAAATGGCGACGTCCCCGTCCAGGCCGTTTAACTGACACAGACAGAGAAGCGGCGGAAGCTGCAGGCGCTATATTTGCAGAGGCCGCCCCTCAATGGCTGTTAGGGTTGTGTTAATTATTAATGGTCACATGATCTCAGGAAACACGGTGTGCGCGTACGTGGCTGATGTCCAGTCCGGCACGGTGTAAAATATTTACGCCCTACAAGCCCTTCGCCATCTCGAGAGCCCTGCACAGGATGCGCCAGCCATGCGTCGATATAGCGCGGCGCAGGAATCGTCGATGGCGACCGCTGTGCGGGACGTGGAAGATACTCTCGTTGCAGCCATTAGACCGAGCCGAGCCAGTGATTTTGAGTTCATTTGCGCCCCCCCCCCCCCGCCCCTCGAGCCCGCCTCGTTTGACGAGAGAACATTGCCCCCTGCTGATTCCCTTTTGTACTCTATCAGAGGCCCCCCAGCAGCCGCGATGACTGACAGGAGACATGTGGCGCGGGAAGGGAGGGGCCCGGAATGCCACAGAGCGATCACTCTTCAGCTCTGACAGCGGCTTTTTGTCTCTTTTCTTGCGGGGGTTTCGCTCTGCTCTCATGTCACAACTCTGCGTCAGCCGCCATGCGACGCGGCAGAGCGGCCTGGAGGAAAGATGAGAGGCAATAACGAAATTCATTTTAAAAAGCAGCGATTCATTGAGTGAATGCTCGTTCTCGAGGGATGTGAAATGCTTCTCTCCGCCGGTAACATGTGGACATTTGTCCTCGGACCGCCGTGGACCAGGGAGACACATTTCACTCGTCCTCTCGCGCTGTGTCTTCAGCGACCGCAGAATCCATCAGCTGTTTTGAAGGTTGTGGGGAACGGAAATGTCAGACGTGGTCTCGTTCAAGCTCCTGGGAGCGATTTTTACATGAACATCCGCAGAAGCGCTTTTCAGCTTCGTTTCCCAAAAGGCCTGGATGTTTGTCACGGCTCCGCGGGGGCGAGCCGATGGCCTCGCCCTGTAATAACAGACCAAGAACGACCTCAGATGAGCTGCATGGATACAGATCACAGCGAAGGAAGAACACCTGCGCTGTTTGTGGTTCATGTTTTTGTGGATTCGAAGCCTTTTGTGACGTCACGACTGCAGTTTAAAACATCCCAAGAAGAAGTGATCAAACACAAACGGCCAAAGCAGGCGAGGGACAAAGCTCGTTGTTCTGCGAATAAAGAGAGTCAAAAACACACATAATATTCCGTTGAATCTGCCAGCTAGCGTTGCATGGTGATATTTGTACCGTATGAGATGAGTCATCCCACATAATGGTTGAAGGCTTTGAAATAAAACAGTGAAAAAACACCCTGGTGAGAGAAATTGGTATTCTAACAGCGCCCCCCCCCCTCCCACTTCCAACTGATGATAATCTGTATTCACACAGCCTGCCATGTCAGATGAAAGCCTTCAATTAGCAGTCAGCTCTATTCAGTATTTCCCATCGTGCCGCCACTCTTTACATTCTCTGACGGCGCCCAAAGGCTGCTGCCGGTCCGGCGCTTACACAAACCACTCCCGGGGAGAATGTGAGAAGCCCCGCTGTGAACAAAGTGGGAAAACAAGTGTTTTGTGGAAATTAGCCGTTCGCCTTCTAATGCCCGGCGCTCCCTACCTCGGGGCTGCAGATGTGAGGGGGGGGGGGGGGTTGAAGTGTCATCCTTTCGGTCTTAACCCCCGGATGAGAACTCCAGACTCCGGCGGAGAGATGAAACGGCTCCGATGCTTTGATTTGTGGCTTCACGCCGGCGCGCGGTCTTCACAGGCCCCTCAGCGTGAGGCGTGTTCCGTCACCAGGTGTTCTCCAGCCTCTGACTGAATTGGATTCACAGTCGGCGCGTTCAAAACAATGCAAGCAGCGGCGGCCTTAATGCACTTCAGGCGCATCCGTCTGAGCGTGATGGTATTAGCTTGGTAGTCGTGAGGGTGGCGTGGCGCTCATGGTGACAGGCATTGCCCCGGGAAACTCTTTTCTGGAGATAATAAAGCATCAGCAGGAGGCCTCGTCTCCTGCAACTCAATAACCAAATTCATAGCGAGATGGCGAGGAGCGTCCCAGTTCCTTTGTGAGCTAATAAACTGCACCAGTGCGAGTGCTTTCCATGCAGTGTGATTATTAATAGTATTGTGCAGTAGTAAGAGGGGGGGAGGGGGGGGTTGCACATAAAGGAACATATTTTCAAAGCCAAAAGCAGGCCAGTGGGAGGTTGTTTTCAATGAAAGAGAGCTAAAGGCCAGTCGGCAGAGACCCCGCTTCGTCTCAGTCCACGTGTCCTGCTGGGCCGGCCCAATAGCGCTCCGGGTCAGCGGGATTTGTTCCGGACCCCCGATGGAGGAGCAGAATTGAAACAAAAAATTAAATCCTGTTTCATAGAACGTGGTGCATTCATGGAAATATTATGTAAACACGCCGACACCAAAACTGACAAAGACCTGTGGGATAACGTGTAGATATAACACTACGCAAGCAACAAATGTCATCACTTTGCCAATGTACAAATAATTACAGCAACTGATTTATTTTCGTGTTTATCGGTTGAAAAACACCAAACAGTGGATGTTTTTCCAAATGGTCTCACATGCTGATTTGTTTTCTGATTCATATAATTGAAGTGAACAGGTTCTTGGACAAAACGGGCAATATGACGACAACTCTCAAACAAATCCACTGATTAATTGATAATAAAAGGGGTGATAATAGAAGATAATAGAAGAATCACCCCTGGTGATTTTCTGATGTTACATACCACAATAAGCCAAACGTGTAACAAACTGATAAAATAACTTAAAGCGATGTTCCACTTAATGTATTCATTGAATTGTCTTTGTTTATAAAAAAAACATCGGAAAGTTTAGCTAGGCGGTGAGTTCTTTAACCGGACCTGACGTCATTCAATATTTTATCAAGCTGCACACCGGAAGTCCGCGTTGTTTTATTTAGCGTCTTAAGAACACGTCCCATTCATTTAATATTATCCCATTTCCTACGTTTGATAGGTCGACTTACTTATAGTGATCCTGACTTTATGCATCGATATGAAGCGTCTGCCCCTCCGGGGGGGAATGGGGCAGGGGGGGGGGGGGGGCGCTTTGTTTCGCTACCTGAGAGCAGAGAGAACCGGAAGCTGCTGGTTGCACCAATCACGTGAGAGGTTACTCGGAAGCCCCGCCCAGACAATACAGACAGCAGGACAGATCGCTGGAAATACACTGCCGCATATTCTGACTTTTAGGATAGATGGATTTTATTAATATTTTTATTTAGAAGTTTGCCCAAACAAGACCGACGTCGAGGCAGGTGTGTTCAGACCCCGCGTGGAGGACTTGATAGTGCTGCATAGCACAGTATCGGTGCTCCGACCGTGTTAGCCACACTTAGCAAGGTGTCAGATGCTAACCGAGTTAACGTTACCTAACGATTGTGACAGCCCGGCTCGGCAGTACGAAAAGTGTTTTGTGATTGTAACGTAACGACAAATCGCTGTTGAGCATCTGTTTGTACTCGTTGTTCATCGACAAGGCAACCAAGTCCGACGTGTTTGTATCCGTTAGCAACGCTGTCAGGTTGAAATTCAAGCTAGCAATAGAGCACTGCGTTACCTGCTACGTAAACCACAACATCCACCAAACTGGACAAAACTTTGGATTTTGTGGGGTTTAAATCGGCCTCGACGGGTTCGCTGACCCCCCAGAAGAAGATGAAGAAGAGGAAGGAGCTGAACGCCTTGATCGGACTCGGGGACAGCAAGAGGAAGAAGACCAAAAAGGGGACAGGACACCGCCTCCTGCGAACCGAGCCGCCGGACTCCGAGTCCGAGTCCAGCTCGGACGACGACGAGTTCAGCGGCATGAGCAGCGGGGCGCACGCCGGCAAGTGAGTGCTCTTGATGTCAGTGTGCAGTGCTACGCGTGGCATGATCATTTATATGACGACATATTCCACATTCCAAAGCATCATTATTCGTCAGTAACCCTCATAATTCCCGTGACACTGAATGCAGCCTTCTGACCACACCGGCTTCATTAATCCTGAACGGGGCTGCAGATGCAACGTCTTTACGTTATGTGTTGCTTGTGCCCTCAGGAGAAGCTACACGCAGTGCTGCAATGTGTGCTACCCCTTGTTCCTGTTCGTCATACTCGCCGCCTGCGTCACGGCCTGTGCTGGACTCCTATGGATGCAGATCGCCCTGAAAGAAGACCTGGACTCACTGAAAGCAAAGCTGCATAGCAGTAAGACTCGCCGTCACACACAAACACACGCCGTTACCTTGGGATGGGTCATAGAAAGCTGACCCGCTACTTTACATCCTAGTGGCACATGCATTGCTTTGGTCTCTGTCTCTGCTTTTAACTCACTATACTGTTTGTATAACAGTGGAATCCAGCCAGAAGGTGTCATCCAGTGAAATACCGAAGCTGAGTGAGGACCTGAAAAACAAGGACCGGAAGCTCGACGACATTGAGAACGGGGACAGAGGGTTGAGCAAGCTCTGGTCCAACCTAACAGAAATGAACAGAAAGGTCAGTGGGTTTTGTCGCTAAAAAACTACCTCAACGTACATATTCTCACACCCCATCAAGAGCTCATGATGAAGTGGAATTGGTGTTAATTTGCAGCACGGGTTTTCTTTGGTAGTAGCTCAATAGAGTAGCACTTCTCCGTAAGAGGCGTAACTGAATATTCTGTATCATCTTACTCCTGCAGATCAGTTTGCTGGACTCCGCAGTAACCCATCTGAAGGCCAACTTGAAATCAGCTGCTGACTTAGTCAGCCTTCCCACTACGGTTGAAGAGCTTGAAAAGGTGACGACGCAGAAAAGTGGAACGAAAGGAGAAATTCCATTCGAGAATCTCTCTGTTTTGTATTTGTGTAAAATAGTATAAAACTGACCTACAAGTATTTTTCTCTTCCAGAGTGTTGCTAAAATCGGCAGCACACTAACGAGTGTGCAGCATGATGTGAAGACCATGCAGGATGCGCTTGAGAATCGGAACAAAGATGAAGAGTTGAAGAAGACGACGGTATATTAAACAGTTTTCTTTACTCCGAACGGCTGATTTGGTCAAATAACAATAGTATATAGTATGTCAGGGTTTGAGTTTGAGTTCATTCAATCATCTATTTCTATCTGGGAATGAAGCATCACAGGGGTGATAAATGTAACATAACTGTGTTAAACAAGTGAAATGTCCACACAGACGTTTAGGCTGATGACGTCATGGCAGACCGACCTGTTGCTGTGTTTCCGTTGTCAATAGTGTACCAGGCTGCAATTGTTTTTTTTCCATCAGCAGCGACCATGGATCTTTCATGTGTCATAGTTAATATTTTTCCTTTTTTATTTACATCTCAAATCTAGCCGGAGGCTGCTTTGCTCATTTATTATTCATGCATAAGTGTATGGTGAGCTCACCGAGTGCGTTTTCCTTACGTTCAAAGAGTTGATCTGCTCAACTGCAGCACAAATATCAACTTTGCCGCTGCCTGACTGTTTGTTTATATGTTTATCTGCACATTTGTGAATGTTCCCACGGTGGTTGTCAGGCTAACATCGACTCAGCCGGCGGTTCTGTCATTTCTTGGATCCATGCGTTGGGTTTTCATTCATAATTCATGAAACGAGTGCCAATCTATTTCGGGAGCTTGAAAGCTGGCGTTTGCTGTGCGAAAACTAGGTCAGATATCTGAGAGAACTGCAGAAAGTTTCCTGTGCTTTTATTTTTTTCATAAGCAAAATAGGATCTGTAAATAATAACACAGCTTTATGTATTTTTTTCGCTGCGACCTTTCAGCTGATGTCTCAGTGATAAATTGCCGGCTGGCTGAGATCTCAGTAGTTTTGTACCTTTTTGGATCGTCAAATGTCATTGAACGGTAAGCTGCACTTTGCTTTACGAATGTTGTTTTTGTTGCCGCAGGACCTCGCGGACCTGAGAATGGCGGTGAGCGAGGCGAACCAGACGGAGGAGCTGCGCCATGCGCGGACCGACGAGCACGTCCACGGCCTCCTCTCTGCGGTGGCAGATCTTCAGCAGCGCGTGTCGTCGTTGGAGAACGGGTCGCAGCACAGCGTGAGCAGCGTGACGCCTCATCACCACCACCGGGGACCCTGGTCGGCAACCGATTTGTGTGTTTCACATGTGATCCTTCATCTGCTTTACAGTCAAAGAGCCCCAGTGAAAGTCCGGCGACCGAAGCCACAAAAGAAGCCGCGACCACCAACGCAACACCTGGCGACGTGCAAGGTGCCGTGTGCGAAAAGCTGCTCGTCCCGGCGTGCTTCTCCGCCCCTGCGTTATATCTCACTGCGTGTTTTTCTCCTTGATTTGCACAGAGGTGTCCACACCACTGACGGAGCCTCAGACGAGCCGACGGCCACGCTTCGCAACTCCGAACCGCTCCAAGAGAAACGCTGAGACAACGTGCCCACAGATGTTGTTCCTGTCTGGGGTCAATTCTCTGAAAGGTGCCAACTACAAATCCCGTTTGATTTGTCACCGTTCATTAAAGGAATATATTTGGGAAAATATATATATTTGCTTCATTGCCGAGGTCAAAACAACATTCGAGTTTATCCAGTATCCTCTGGTTGCCTAGCAACCTCAATTCAATCAGATTAGACTGACATACTTTTGGTTTGAGTATTAAGTGTCGCTCCTAACGTGCATTTTCCTCATAGAAGAACCGTTTTATTTTGATCGTTTCTGAATGACGACTATTCGTTTCAGACCTGGAGGACGTCTTCCGGCAGAAAGGCGTCGGACGCGACGCCCTCGGGTTTGACTTTCGCAGCCTGAGAAAAGTTTTTAGAACGTCGACCCCCGACGCGCGCACCATGGCGTGTTTTGACAGCGACGGAAACAAGAGGTACTCGCTGGCGGAGCTGAGGGCGGCCGCAGGTTTGTGAGCACGACGGACAGTATTGATTACCCGGCGGGGTCCGGGAGTTTGAAGTTCCTGACCCCTTTTCTGTAATTGCTGCACCTTTTGTGAACTGATTGTTACGGATTGTGGAGCGCTGGCATCCCTCATACTCACTGCCCGGGTTCAACACAACCTCATTCACAAAACACCTGAATGCACAATAGTCTGCTCTTCTTTTTAGATAATTCTACAGTCATTTTACATGAAATATACCGTATGTGTATCATTCTGATTTTTTCCAGGCCTCAGTTCTCAGACTTGTTTTCCTGCACCTTTTTTTGATTTTGTTCCATTTAGTTTCCAGTCTGTCAAACGTTGACGTCAGATGTTTGTGTATTTAGCTTCTGTGGAGGCGAACATTGTCGGTCTACTTCTCCACCCATCAACACCTTAACTGAGGTAGAATTTTAGAAATGGTTAAGAATTCTTTTTTGTGTTGTTTTTTTGGTTTTTAGTTTGATTCCAAACTTTACTGAATCACAGCTTTGAGCATAAGCGTGAGGATCTATATTTACTCTTTTCCAGATGTCTTTTCTCTTATTTTCAGTTAGTTGCTACATCCTGATTGTGTTTAGTTTCTCTTGTTTCATTTCTATTTTGGCATCTTTCAGTTGTACAAGTTTTGAAGGGCTATGAACACTTTGAATCATTGAGTTTTAGAAGTCATAACTCATATGTAGCAATAACATGACTTAGATATAGCTTGTCTAAAATGACCATAGACAGGCACACCTCAGTGTGGAACAGGTAGTACAAGAGGCACTGACCATCAATCTTTACTTGATCCATTTTATTCCATTTTTATGGGCTTAATGATGGTGTATTATTATATAACAAATGTGTCATACTCATTGTGTATTCTGTAAAAATGGTATAAATGTATTCTCAGAAATGATCTTGTTAAGAAGGTTGGGGTTTTAATCTTAACACTGTACATTTTTTAAATAATTCTGTTGTAATTTGCATGTTGCTTATAATGTGACATGAAAACATTATTTATAAACTTAACATAGTCGACGACGTGTTTTTGCAGGACAATGTAACCGCTCCGTGACATAGTGCTGCTGTACTGGGGGACATTTTATGAATGTGGTTTGTGTGAACACCAACGAATAAACAAAAGTTAAAAGGTTTGATTTGTCGTCCAACTTTAAGTCATCAACTGAGAAATCTTGTCCCAACACTGGTTTACAATAACGCTTCACATCACATTTAATCCAGTCTGAAATACACCAAAGTGTGTGTGGAGAGGAAGCTTTTACAGAAATATTTACAAAGAGACAAACACACACACGCGGGCGAATAAATGAGCTTTAGAGAGGTTTAGGCCAGTGCCCCTTTAGCCCTCCAGTCCTGGGCCAGCAGCCCCAGCAGCACCTCTTCATCCTCCTCCTCCTCCTCATCTTCATCATCGCCGCTGCCATCTACCTCCATGGGTTCCTCCTCACTGGGCACCACCTTGCTCTTCGCCACATCGCGCTTGTCCCTCAGCACCTCCACGCGCCTGTAGCACTCGATCTGCTCATCGATTTCGTCGATCTGCCGATCGAAGCGGCCCTCCTCGTCGTCCTCCGCCACGATGGCTTCCGATTTGGTGTTCACCTGTCGGATCTCCTTCTGAAACTCCTCCCACTCCTTGTCCATCTGGTCTTTGGGCGCGTCGACCTTGCGCACCTTGGCGTCCCTCACGGGGTCGTCGAAGAAGCCCTCCGGCAGCGCCTCGGCGGTGTTGTCCTTCTTCTCCGCGCTCTTCTCCTGCACGTCCGCTTTCAGGACGGAGCCCGAGTGGGAGATGGCGGGCGCGGACGGGATGGAGCTGTCAAAGAAGTCGTCGGGTAGTCCCGCAGATTCCGTTTTTTGAGGAGGGGGGTCTGTGGTTCCCGCGGGACCTGCCTCGCCGGCATCATCTTCGTCATCGTCGCCATAAACTCCGGCCAGCAGACTCAGGCCAGCGGATTTCTCATCGGAAGCGGTTCCCTTCTTGCCGGGGTTCTCGAAGAAATCCCCTGGCAGCCCCGAGGGCGCAGACGCACCCGACGAGGGTTTCACCCGTTTCCCGCCGGCGTCCTCGTTTTCCTGCGCTTTCCTCTTCGCCGGTTGAGGCTGTGGTGTCACTGGGAGACTCTTTCCTTCCTTCAGCTCGAGAACTTTCTCTTTATGCGGTTTTCCGAGAACATGCGCCGGCCAGAGTAGATCGGACTTTACTTGCACATTGCACAGGATACAACTGAGGTGCCCGAGACTGTTGTACTTGGCGAACGGAGACTCGACGCGCTTCTTGTCTGTTGTTTGTCTTTGTTTTGCCCTCATCAGACGACGCAGTTCCTCTTGATTCACGATTTTCTTCCCCTTCTTTGAGGATGCCATTCTTGAAAACAACGCAGCTCGCTAGCTGGCTCGCTAGCTACTTTCTTTCGGCTGAGTCCAAACGCGTCCCACTCTGATGACGTAAACGGCACAAACTCGCGCTCAAACTGCGCGTCGAGGAATAGTATCGCGAGAGTTATCGCTCGCAGAAAGCTAATGCTAGCCGAGTTGTTAGCTCAGAAGGTTTATTGTACGGTCCGGTCGTCCGCCTGAATTTTGCCGCAAAGCGAATACCATAAAACGTGAATCCAAAGAGCGGACGACGATGTAGTCGTTTGTCATTCGTTTAAATTCGTTGCGGTCTGTGGTATTAGCGTTTGTGTGTTCTGTTGTGTTATTTTCTGATTTTCATCGCCGCACCCTCCGTATTATTATTATTTTATTGTGGGCTAGCTAGCGAACGTTTTCCCGGAGCTAATGCTAATGCTGCCCGAGGAGCAGCAGGTGTAACGCTATTCCAATAACGGGAGGCATCGGAGCAGCTACTCGGAAGCATCGCTGTTGTCTCAAAGTGCTCCGCAGCTCATTTTAATTCTATTTCCCATTCGGATTTGATGCAACGTCTTCCCCAGAGTCCGTTATCGCAATAACGTTGTTTAATTAACGTTAGCCAGTGAGCGCCCGGCGGCCACCATGACGGGTGAGAAGATACGCACCGTCCGAAAGGACCACAACAAACCAAACAAAAATGAGGACATAATGGACACGTGCGACGACGCCTCGAACGGGACCGTCCCGAACGGTACCGGGAACCATTTCAGGTCCAACAAGGTCGTCCAGAAAGCTGCCAGAACCTCGGCGCTGCAGCAGCAGCAGCAGCAGCATCAGCACCACAACGCGAACAACATCAACGGAAACCCGCCCGCGGTCGGCGGCGTCGTCCACGACCACAACAAGAACCCGATCATCCTGAGCAGCGAGGACTTGGACTTCCCGGTGCACGAGTGCGTGTTCAAGGGGGACGTGCGTCGGCTCTCCTCTCTCATCAGGACCCGCAGCATCTCGCAGAAAGACGTGCACGGTGAGTGTTACTGATGTTACCGATTACCTGCTGGATCTTTCCCGTTTGTTTGTTTGAGTCGTGGCGCATGACGGGTCCCTCCTATCACATGTGGGGTTGTTGATGTGAATATTCTAATATTGTAATTTCAGGGAACACGCCTCTTCACTTGGCTGTGATGATGGGCGCCAAAGGTAAAAAACGATTTTATCTCCATATATCCATATTTAACAAGTTACTTAGTACAATGACATTCTTATTTTGCTATGCCCTCCTTCCACTTAACTACAGCTACAAAATAAAAAAGGGTTATGTATGTATGTATGTATATATATATATATATATATATATATAAATATGTGCATGTGTCAGGCATACAGAGAATTAACCAAGTATCCTCCAAAAATCTTGATATTGATAATCTACCCGTGTTGGGCTTCGAGCCCTGGAAGTTACACTAAATGTGCCGTCATTGCATTTCATCTGTGATAACGAGGCTTTGGGGGAAAGAGCGGTTGAGATCCTCATAAAGAGCTTTTTTACAATCACTTCAGTTCTCCTTCCTCTTTCGAAGGACCCATTATCATGCAGCACTTATCGTAGCATTTAGCGTCCTGATTGGTTATTATTCGACAGTACTGTTAGTACAACATAGATGTGTTCTGGGATTTATTCCCCGACATCAAATTTCTTTTTGAAAGAAAAGGGTCGACCTCTCCATGAGATCACTGACCCTTTAATTCGGTGTGATGATTCTCCTGAAGAATCGGCATCAACTTCTGACTCCCAACGGAGCTCGGAAAAGGCAAAGTTTCCTCTGACGAGACGAAAACAAATGATGAGTCTGTTGACTGACAGCATCTCAACCGCAGCATCACTGCTGAGCGCAACGTTCTCCCATTACAGGGGAGTTAAACATTACAAACAGTTTTCATTTGTCAATGAGCCCAACTTTTTAATAAATTCAGTCAACTAAAGCTGATGAAATATTCCCATCCCCTATTTGTCTTCTTGTCTCTGGCCGTCACTGAGAGAATGACCTGCCAACCTTTTTGTAAAAAATAAAATAAATCTAATGGAGAGCTATTTTTATCAAATGATCAAACGTAATTTGCCAATATTAGTGAATTAGAAGTGAGGCAGTATACCTAGATGCTGATTTCATGCAATGCAGCTAATTTATAAGGAAATTGACACTTTGTTTTGAGTATATAGGCCAATATCCCAAATTAGGGATTTACAATCTGTACGATGTAGAGAACCTCGATCCTAAAACACCCAAGTAGAGTAATCGTGGAAAGTAGGAAGTATCTCGCCTCCAGTCCGGAAGAGGTCGTAGTAGTTGATAGTTTTACTGAGGACGCTCACCGTAATATCGTCAACCGTTAACCTTTTTGTATTTGACATGGCCGCTCAAAACAACCTGGAAAGAAAAATAGAAACAAACGGAATTTACAAAAGCCCCTTTGTCTGTAACACGAGCCTGCGTTTCTCTTTCAGAGTGCGCCCTCCTTCTACTGGCCCATAATGCTCCTGTGAAGATAAAGAACGCTCAGGGATGGAGTCCTCTAGCCGAGGCCATCAGCTACGGGGACCGGCAGATGAGTGAGTAGCGTCCTCTGATCCGCTGTCTCGGGGGTGGAACGTTATGTTGGGTGTGACTGGCGGGTCAGTGGATCGGGTCACGTTTAGTCATTCGGGCTTCGGGCTCCGCTCTTGTGGGGGCGGTGTGTTCAGGAACTACCGTGTTCGGCTGAATTATTCAGCTTTTTTGTGTTTTTCCAATAAAGAAGAAACTAGCGATTTTATTACTTCGTTGATACTAATTTAATTTCCAGAGCTTTTTTTTTTTTTTTAGTTTTGGAGTCCGTTCGTAAGCTCTCTGCACATGGAGGGGGGGGGTCAAACCAGCTTTGGTGCCCCCACTTGAAATCAGTGGACATTTGAAGGCCCGTAATGGGTCATCTATATTTGTTCAAAGTCGCTCCAGCTAAAAAGCTAAAAGTGGGGATTTTCTCTGAGCGCTGGTCGTCCAGATGGGCTGGAACGCAGCCGCCGTGGCGGCTTAGTGTCAGGAGGCGCTTAGCTCGCCGCCCGCTCACTCCGCTGCTTAATGGCGCTCCTGCTTTTAGATCCGGCGAGTCAGATGGCGTGAACGTGAAAGGCCCCCGTTAATGCCTTCGGGAAGCCACTGCTCTTTTTAAATGGGATGTCACGTTTGTACGCTTAACTAAAGATCATGGAAGATACAAAGGCCGGCTGGTGTCCAGTGAGCGGCTTCTGCTCTCGTCTGGATAAACCTCTGTGTCCGTGATGGAGGCCGTGAGGCTGTGAGGCCGGGACCTCGGGAAATGAGCCGCGGCCTGGTTGGTATGCGCCGGCGGTCCCCCTCCCTGTCGTGGGACCGGGACCAGGAGTTCTGCTGTGAGAAGGTCACACCACTCACAAGGGGGAAGTGGATGGCGGGAGGGGGGGGGGGCGTAAAAAGACACGGGGTGTTTAGACCTCTGGCTAAATGAGACGCAGCCCACAGCGATTACAGCAAAGGACAAATCGTGACCTTTTATCAAATGTCGGCCTTTTAGCTTTTTTTTTTACCGCTGCAGTCGCCTCGGCGCTCGTCGCTTCTCCCGCTCGCACGTTGCGTCAGCAGCTCGCTGGATGCGGCGAGCGCCTCATCAGCACCAAGAAGAGCAGGACTCGCCTCGGATACGTTGGTTTGTTTGTGTCCGTCTGTCAGCCGGAGAGCTGAGCTTCCGTCCGATATGAACACATCGTGTGTGAGATCGATGCTCCATATATGACGTTGGCTGAGCTGGATTCAAGAACCGAACCTGTTTTATCAGTCACAGCGATACTGCGGAAGCTGAAGCAGCAGTCCAGGGAGAGCGTGCAGGACAAGAGGCCCAAATTACTCAACGCCCTGAAGGAGGTGAGGAACGCGCCGCCCACAACTCGAGTCTCACCCAATCGTACTTAAATAAAAACCTCTGCAGGCTTCGATTTGACTTCGATATGACTTTAGTCCTCGAGTTTGCACAATAACTGCTGAAAGGCACAATGTGAAAATCTACTCTGCAACCTTTTCCCTTCGTCAGTATAAAACGTTTGTGTCTTCCGTAGCTGGGGGACTTTTATCTGGAGCTGCATTGGGACTTCCAGAGCTGGGGTGAGTTTGCCACACAAAAAAAAACAACACTTGATAACTGAAGGGAGCAGCGTAGTGCGAGTATTCACTCCCTCTTTGGCCTCTCAGTGCCTTTGCTGTCCCGGATGCTGCCGTCTGACGCCTGTAAAATCTACAAGCAGGGGATCAACATCAGGTACGAGTGTCCTCTGAGAGACTCGCCGCGGACATCCAGGTCGCCGACTTCTTTTAGATTTCAAAAGTAGGACGAAACCGTCCTCACGCAGCCCCCCCTCTCTCGCTCTCCTTAAATTTAGACTCGACACCACTCTCATAGACTTCAGCGACATGAAGTGTCAGCGCGGCGACCTCAGCTTCATCTTCAACGGCGAGGCCGCGCCCTCCCAGAGCTTCGTGGTTCTGGACAATGAGGCCAAAGTGTACCAAAGAATCCACCACGAGGTGAGTGAGCGCCGCCTCCTCTTCCTCCTCCTCCTCCTCTAAGCGCCAGCCGCCTCACCGGCTTTGTCTCGCCCCCAAGGAGTCCGAGATGGAGACCGAGGAGGAGGTGGACATCCTGATGAGCAGCGACGTCTACTCGGCGACTCTGTCCACCAAGTCCATCTCCTTCGCACGCAGTCAGATCGGCTGGCTGTTCAGAGAGGACAAGACGGTACGTCCTTCACTGGGGGGGGCGGCATCGATAAAACACATTCACAGTGTGCGCTTATGACCCCCCCTCCTCCCCTCCACCTGCTGGCTGTCTGTGCAGGAGAAGATCGGAAACTTCCTGGCGGACTTCTACGCCGTGAACGGCCTGGTGCTGGAGTCGCGGAAGCGGCGGGAGCACTTGAGCGAGGAGGACATCTTGAGGAACAAAGCCATCATGGAGAGCCTGAGCAAAGGAGGCGGCATCAGCGAGCAGAGCTATGAGGTGAGGAACAAAGAGGAACAAAGAGCCGCGGCCTGATGACTGGACGTGCCGCTCACCGAAACTTGTCCCCGTCCCTCAGCCCGCGAGACGGCCGTCCCTCACGGCGCCGGCGCCCAACGCGGTTTCCTGGGAGGAGTACATCACTGCCGAGCAGGGAAAGTGAGTGTCTCCATCGGGGCTTTTTTCAGGAGATTCAGTGGAGATGTCGGGTATTAAATCCCTGCCCGTGTGACCCCCCCCCAGGCCCCCTCATCTCGGCAGGGAGCTGGTGTGCAAAGAAAGCAAGAAGAACTTCAAAGCTAATGTAGCCATGAGCCAGGATTTCCCTCTGGGCATCGAGTCGTGAGTACATGTATATAAATAAGATGACATGGTCATGTAGATATCAGAGCCTGACAAACAGTGGAAGCTCTCGTTTTCTAAATGACCTATTTATTACTTTTAAGCCGTAATCCTCTGCTGATCGTCCATTTACGCGAGCTTTCTTCGTCTGGAGATAGAAGGGAGCAACACGCCACTACTTTTAATGACTATTGAGGTCCTACTAGAGGAAAAACATTATTACTGCGAAAAACCTGTATTTATGTAGAAGTGTTCAGAGAGGAAACGTGATCAGAGGTCGTTCTGAAGGATGAGGCGCGTTACACGAGGATGTTGCGTTTGGTAAAGACTGCAATATTCCCGGGACATTATGTCGTAAATTGCTTTATCTCCTCGACTGAGTGAGTCCTAATGGAGCTGGAGGAGGAGCTCAGCCTTTACTGTAGCTAATGTTTTTTTTAACGTGATTTTCTCCTTCTGCGCTTTCTAATGTTAAAAATATGTTCTTACTTCTATTCGATGTAACGAATCATCTGAACGAGACAGTTTTATATTGTTAATAAGACAATCCCAGTTACTAAGGTTACACCTTTTCAGTGCTTTCGTTGTGAGGATGTTAGCACAGCTAGCGGGGCTGCAAACGACTTAATTATTTAGCTCTTAATATGAACATCTTAACTGCTGTTAACTCAACCGTGTTTCTATCTGAACTCGTAATTCAGGCCGTAACGAAGTTAAGATTCATTTACTCAATTAGTCATAAAATGGTGAATCGACAATGAAGATGACGCCTCAGAGGAATCAGATCTGACTCATCTTTTAAAGAATGAATCAACGTGATGGTCCCCGCTGACTCCTCCCCCTCCTTCTGCAGGTTACTCAACGTGCTGGAGGTCATCGCCCCCTTCAAGCACTTCAACAAACTCCGGGAGTTCGTCCAGATGAAACTCCCCCCGGGGTTTCCCGTCAAACTGGGTACGTGTGCGTCGCCGCCGTGAGCTCGGCGCCGACGACCACGGGGACTTAACGCGTTTTCTCTCCCCCTCGCAGACATCCCCGTCTTCCCCACCATCACGGCCACCGTCACCTTCCAGGAATTCCGCTACGACCAATTCGAAGAGTCTACTTTCGTCATCCCGGCCGAGTACAAAGAAGATCCCAGTCGCTTCCCCGACCTCTGACCTGTAAACACGTCTGATACAAACAGGAAGTGACCCGCTGGCTTGGAGAGGATTCCTGTATCGTTTCATTATATAATCTGTTTTTAAGAAAAGGGAACTGGTTTCAATAATGAGTTGATCTTTTCTTGCTGATGGATCCAAACAGCTGTTAGCACATCAGGCTCACGTGTAGATGCATATCTTCAGTTCCTCCGGCGACACAACTTTCCATCACCACCATTTTAATATCTACTATTATCATCTCCAACGACTGATGCCTGAACCCTCCCAACCGCGCTGTCATCTGTAACTCATCAGGAAAGAAATATATAGCTGTATCCTCAGACTGAGCGTAACATTGATATAGAAATGATGTGCTGTATATATGAACTCAAAGGAATGAAACGCTGTAGCAATACATTTCCACTGCGTAAGAATGTTTTGAACCAGCTGGGAGGAGAAGGGCTCACAACATGGAAGCGACCTGCTGCACCTTCGGCTCACGTTACCTCTCTGCTGTCACCGTGTCCGTCCTGATGGTGCAAGTGGAGACTGTGTGTGTGTGTGAGCCCAGATGGGATATCAGGTAAAGTGCTCCTAGTTTGATGCTGCACTGATGAGGTATATTTAAGGCACGCTGGTTCACCTGCATCTTTCAGCTGCATTCTGAGCATTTTGTGACGTTCCCTGCAGACTTATTGGTATTCAGATTAAAAGGGAACCGCTGAATGGTAACACTAACACTAAGGAACACTTTCTCGTGGTTACTGCGCGTTTATTTTTTATTCTAATGCGAGTAAACTGAAGTCCATATTGCTGGATCTCCGAAAAACTGTCCGGATGGCAAATAATGTGATGCATCGAGTTGATTCTAGCTTCATGTACTGCAACCATACCTACTTCACTTCCCTTTAAATAAAGCACCAGCATCATGTTTAAACTGACTGTGTGGCACTATTGCATATCGTACATACCCACATGTCTGCATTTAAAACGACCTACAACTAATTGGTTTCCTTTTTGATTTCAGTGCATCTGGTTAGTGGAGTTATTAACTTTCTTGACATCTTGGTTCTCCCAAATAGGCTTTATTATAAAAGAAATCCTTGATAAAACAAAACACTTTCTAATAACAAATGTATTTAACGGTTCGGAGAAGGAGAAGGAGAGGGGGGGTGGGGGGGGGAGGCCTGAACAACACACCATGACACTAAACAAAAATGTAAAAGATCCAATATGTGAAAAAGTGACAACAAGCAAAGCAAAGCCTACTTCCAGTTTTAACCGACTACGTTCGTAGAGGCAGAAAGCGTGTGGGTGCTTTAAAGCAGTGTGACCACGTCGTCCGCGGGAAGAGCAGACGACTCTTCTGTGAGAAAAATCAATTACATTTGACGCACACTTCACATTCGAGGTTTACCCCGAAAGGGGCGAGGGAGGGAAGGGAGGCGCAACATGTTTACAACCAAAAAGCGAGAGGGACAGAGGAGGACGGAACACCTAATCGCTGACGTCCATGTCCTCTTCGTGGTGATCGTCGGCGCCGTTAACTTTGGCCTGCTTCACAGGCCGCGACGTGCCGTTACCTTCTACAGACTGAGGAGACAAAGCAGAGTCGTCAGAATCCTTCCTGTCCTCCCTCTCCTTGCCGCTGTCATAGCCTTGTTCTTCCTCATCATAATCTCTGGTGACCTACGAAAGGAAAACCAATGGATGTGACGGTGTAGAGCAGCAAGAAGCCCCGGTGTGGTTTGAACCAGGACACCTCAGGGTAACTGTGTGTGAGACACTGTACTGACCTTCACGTCTCCTTTCTCTCCGTCGGACTTCCTCTCCCGCTCTCGTTCACGCTCTCGTTCCCGGTCTTTGTCCTTGCTTTTCTTTTTCTTGCTGACGGAGCGCTCGCGTTCGTCACGACTGCGGTCTTTGTCCCCCTTGCGATCCTTGTCCCTCTCCTTGTCCCTTTTCTTGTCCTTCTTGTGTCTGTGGAGGTTGGAGAACAAAAGATCAGGTGATTCTTTAAACTTGCCAGATGTACCAACACAAAAGATTTCATTTTTTCCTCATAATACGACAAAACGTTAAATCCTTTATATTTCATATAAACACACCAACCTTCGAGGGGACGGAGACCTCTTTTTGGGAGGAGTTCGGGTGTGGCTCCGACTTTTCCTGCGTCTCCTGTGTATCAGGAGGGGACAGAAAGTGGATAATTAACAAAACAATTTTTTACATTAAAAAAATGTAAACTTAATTTGACTAAATAGTGACTTCCAGAAGATTTTTCAACCTCAGATTTTTTTTTCCTCCAAAAGAACCTGACCTAACATTTACTACTTTTTCCTATTGTGAAGGTTTTGCACATATTTTGCCCCTTTGTTCACTTTTCCATGACATATTTTGACTTTATTTCCAAAAAATGTTCAACTCAACATATTTTAGGCCTAATAGTAAAGACATTTTTTGACCTAATAACTACATTTTTTTCTGACCCAACAAATAAAAAATACATTAACCAATTTTTTTAAATTACTTTTTCTTTAAAAAAAACAAAAACATTTTTTGACCTAATCTTTTTTTAGAAACATCTAACGACATTTGTCTCGGCACATGAGACCTTCAGCTGAACTCACCGGTCCACGCTGTGAGACCTCCTGGCCGTGCTGTAGCTTTTGGGTGGCGTTTTGGATCTTCTTCTGCCTGAGTCGTCTTTTTTTCTGTCTCTGCGGACACATTTCAGAACTCAGACCGGCTCGATAACATCTCACGGCATAATTGGCATGGAGCCTTTGTGCAGCCGACCCACCTGGATCTGCTTGGAGATCTCTTGCTTTGGTCTCTGGTGTCGGTGTGTCTCCTGCGAGGGCTTTTGGAGCGCCTCTTGTTTCTGGAGATCGATCGTCGCCTTGATCTGCTCCTGGTTCTCCTGCAACCAGAAATTCACTATATTTAACTTTGTCCCAGTACAACGAAAATCTTCTTCTCGACGTGTCTGATAATTAACATAAGTCGCCACCTGTGTCTGGAACGGGATCTGGACCTCCTCCTCCTGGACCTGGACCTACTACGGGAGCGTTTCTTTTTGCTTTCCTTGTCTGCAGGACAGAAGCCAGCCATTTGTTAGTATTGTTGAGATACAACGTACAAAGGACATTTAGAAAAATGTGGAAAATTTGAACAATAAATCTTGTCAATATGTAATAAGAAACAGTCCCTCAAACATTAGCGCACTTACTTCCAGGTTCAATGGCAGCAGATATGAGCGACTGGGCCTCTCTGACTCTCTTCATGGCCTCCTCGATTTCTTTATTAGAAGCGTCCGCCTTCAGACTCGCACTCAGGTTCAAGCCTGCAGCCAAAGGATTCAGTCTGAAGGAAAGAATATTGGTTAGTTGACTCATCGCTGCTACAAACTCAAGATTTCTTTACGCTGTGATTTCAAACTGCATTCGGGCACAAAAGGAGCTTCTTGGACTTACTTTGGATCGGTCATGAACTTTAACAGCTGGTCAGCCGCCTGTAAAGGGAACAAAGCAGCAGTTGAAGAGATTAAAATGTCTGATGGTAAACACATGTTCACAGGTGAGTGACATTCATCAAAGCCTCTCACCTGTGAGATTCATGTTGGCTCCTGGGAATCCAAATGCCGCCATTGCATCCATGTTCGGAACACCGAACGGGTTTCCTCCCATCTGCAACAAGAACAGACGCACACACGCGTTCGGATGTAAGCATATGGACGAGACCTTCTGTGTGTCCATGTACTCAAGCTGGTATTAATATCATTTCCATATTTTGACAGATTGGACGGCCATGTATTCACTGTCATCACCCATGAATCCTTTATGTTTATATTATTTGCAGGATATTATTGTTGAGTCTTACCCCGGGATTGGACATGGGGTTTGGCGTTGGAAGAAGTCCTCCTCCTGGCAGAATTCCCGCAACAGCGTTTGCTGGCGCCAACAGTGACAAAGCTTTAGCCTCATCGGGAATAGATCCTACAGAAGAATAAAAACAGGCATTAGCAGAGAACGACATATGCACACACAACTACAGAGAAGACACTTTGGAAAGGACAAACAAGTCTTCACACTGCAATTCCTCAAATAAGTTCAACAAAATAGTTACCTTAAAGATCAGAGTTCCCTTAATTCAACGTAATCATTGCAGTGAAATAACTATGGTGGAATATATCACACTACTCCAATGAACACTGCCAAGAATATATCACCTGAAAGTGTTTTTTAAGTCATGAACCAAACGTTAGCAAGCACAGCTGCTTCTCCAGTTGGGTGAGCCGTCATTTTTCATTAAGACGTTTACTGAAACAAGCGACTCACGCTGGCGGCTTCGCTACTAAAAGCACACAGAGAAAAATCGAGATACAAACAACAGAGAGAATTTTAGGGATTTGGCAAGAACACTATACAAGCTATCAGTGTTTACTTACCAAAAACACAAAAGTCAGAGCATATAGTGGTATATACTAAATGACAATAGCAGAATTCAGGGTGGGTAGCGTGTCTGCTGTACATCGTTATTCTAGAATCCTTACCTGACACTGCTTCACTTAACCAAACTTAGGCAGAGCACGACTGGTTTGATCAGTCGGCCACTGGCTACCACTCCAATTAAAAGACAATGGCATCATCTTTATCTGTATTTTGCCAGATATATATTTTTTAAATACCAAGACTGACAAATAAAACACCTTATTATTATCATCATCATCATCATCAACATCATCTCACAATGAAATCCACCCCCAAAACAACTCTTTCACAAAAAGACATGACGTAAAAACGGACACAATAATGACAACATGTAAATACAAGTGCACACTGAAGAGAGAAATTGCTGCAGGAGACAAAACTGTTGGATGGTATTTTCAGCAGGGCCTGGTATACAGGACTGGCTGAGCCAGGAAAAAGAACTGTAAAACACAACAACAAAAGAAGACCACTGTTAAAGAGAATATATTTGACCAACACAGTGTCATGTTGGATGGGCATCTTAAGACAACCTGGCTATTAAAGAAGACAACCAATCACAGGCTAGTGTTGCGTGGCTAAGAGGCTAAATTAGCTGCTCATATTGGGTAAGTATGTGTTAGCTGCTTGGACATTGTCTGATGAAGCAGTTATTAACACCCAGTGTCTTTGTTTTCACTTTTAAGAACAAACCCCGAATAACGATAGGCTTTAAAAAAAAAAAAAGTTTCCTCCACACAACAGTTGACTTACATATTACATAGAAAAAGATAAGGCTGGCGAAACAACGGTTTTGGTTACCTTCTACTCTCAGCCAGAATCTAATTTGCAACCACTGAAATATTTAACGACAGGTCACAAATATTCCATTTGAATCCTTATAGTGAGTTCAAAAAACAAAAAGGGTTTCTGACACGAGTAAAAATTGCATTTGCTGAGGACTATTTTCTCTGGCGGACTTGTTTGGTGTGTGCGGGTACTTAGGCTGGGTGTTGTCAGTGACTGAGAATAAACAACAATGGCCGCGCTCATCATAACAGTGCAGCGGTGTGAGTCAATGATGCTCTTTTAGTCCTTCCGCGGGATAGAATAAGACTGGCCTTATCCGTTAAGGAACAATGCTTCCGCCGTAAAAGACCAAAGCAGCACCCAAAGGTGCTGCAAAACAAGCAGTGCTTCAGGCTACGTCCCTGCTATCTGACCCTCATACCTTCAACTAAACCACCTAGAAAAAAATAATTGGACAGAAGGAAGGGGAAAGAGAAGGCAGAGAAAGAATAGAGGACACAAAAACAGCGGGTGGGACTTGAATGCTTGCTGGCCTTTGCAAATGTCTACAATCCCCTGTTGGCAGGCAGAGGACCACTTTCAGCCATCAACGAGGGGGCTGCTTTTGCCTTCTTCACTACAAAAATCACACACACACACATACACACACACACACAAATAACAGAGAGAAGTTTAACAGAGGATAGTCCAATATGGGGGAGAAAATAAAATGCACATGGTTAAGAGTTTAAACAACTTCACTTCACTGCGGCGCCCACAGCTTGGCACTGTTCAACTCCTAATCTGTAAATGTCTGTCAGGTAGATTTCGGTATACTGCATTTTCTACATACAGAGCAAATGATTGTTTCGGCAGAGGCATATGCATGACACATATTATGTATTTGCCCAAAGAAATAAATACCAGTTTATTGACAGAATTGCATTGTGGTGGTAAAACAGACATGGGATGTGCTACCACAGTATACCGAAATCTGACAGTAGAGGTGTGTTGAACAACCTTTCATAGACAATGGGAAGGAATGGAATAAACAATACACTTCAAATTATCTTAAAAAGCTCATATAAACAGACTTGGATGAGTTGAATTGTGCAATTCACTAATGGGAGAGCCCAGAGGGGAATTCTTTCTCTTTTTTTTTTTTACTCTTTTACATTTTCACTATTCATGCCATTCAATCAACAAGTACCAGTCAGACGTGGAAATAATGACGTGACAAACCTTCTGCAAACGGGACCACAATCAACGCTCGGTCCACAAACACGGTGTTGGTCAGGTGTTGAGACACTCCGACGGACTCGGGCTCCTGGAACTTCACAAAGCACACCCGCGACGTCACCGGCATCTGAGAATCACTACAGAGGGAGGCACAAATATTATACCATGAAGCATGAGATAGAGAACCATCATCCAAACAATGCACCTTTTGTTTCTCCTTTCTTCTGATAATATAATGTTGTCAAATCACCACCACGGGCATCGTTTTGCAGCAAGTTGGCACAAACACAACACCGCTCAAAGAATGCAGCCACATACACAATAGTGCCATGATGATAACAAATGCACATTATAGACTATGCCGTAAAGCACAAGTTACTATGTGGAACTGAAGTTTATATGAACGATTATCACATTTAATGGAGACTCATTTTCTGTGGATCTACTTTTGTGACGTAAAACGTGAAGGATTCCCAGACTCCTGTTTCTCAAACGTGAGAATGTGCTGCTGTTGTCTTTGTGTTTGAGAATTTGGTTTGTGGCCAACAAGTTATCAGAAGACCTCGCCATGACCATGAGGTCCAGGACATTTTGACTATAATTTTACCAAATGAATGAATATACTGATCTGCTACTCAATAATGAACAACGGGTTATGATGCACATCGTTAAAATCGTGATGGTTAAGGACTCTACACTCGAACAGCAGCAGAACCTTTTGTTATATAACAAGAAAGAAAACTATAAATCCAACATGACTCGTCTCATCGTGAGGATTTTGTTTGGTATTTTCGTTATTTAACGCTATTTGCCGGGGAGAAGAACTCAAAACTCTCAAATGAACACGAGACGTTAAATTCCTCTCCCCGGTTTAGCATCCCGCTACTTTTAGTTTGAACCTTCAATGCTAAATACAGATACAGGGGTCGTTTAAAGAAACGTCTGCGCAGGCTCACATTGAGAAACAACCGAGTGGGATTACGATGAACAGCGAGTGTAGCCCACTGGGGGGTTAGGTAACGTTAACGTTATTAAGCTACCGCTAGCTAGCACGGCGGTTAGCATGCTAGGCCCGCGGCGCGGCCTAGTCAGGCGGCCGTTGAATAAGGTCGACCTGAGAAAACAGCCCGATAATGGACATAATTTCACCACAATAGTCAACTCACTCCGGTGGAAACAACTTCAGTTCTTCGATAGTTCCCAAAAAGCCGAAGAGTGTTCTCATCTGCTCCGATGTTGTGCTCGGCGACACATTGGTCACCTGGACCACCTTCGTGGTGTAATTCATTTTACCGACTAAAAAACCGCTTCAACCGCTCGCCCGCCGTTAACTGCTCAAATTAAACGAAAGTCCGGGCTATCGGCTGGTGGGTAAAGCAGCTTGTTTAGAAGATAACTTGCGGACAAACGCTAAGAGTTAGCTATCGACTAACGTTACGTCAACAGGCTGTAGCATACCGCCGCCATATTGTGACTCGCGAGGAACTGCGCATGCGCACATCTGAACGGCGGCACTATGAAAACAAGGAGGGTTATTTGGAGCGTCACGTGTTAATTCCGGTTTCTTACTCTGTTTAGTGTCGCCTCATATTATCTATCGATCTAATATTAGCTTTGCACGTCAGCGCGCGCGACACCGATGCTACTTTGGAAAGGCTTCGACCTGAAACCAACCAACAGATGTCTCCCTTTCCTCTATGGATTATTTTATTATTATTATATTATTATTTTTGGCATCAAAGTGGAGGAAAGGAAAATATATCTATCTTTGCCATGAATATATCTCATGTCGTTAGATTGTTTTTCTTTATTGTTTGTACACCTTTCTGAATAAATATTCGTCTAAGTTCATTATAGACCTTAGAAATAGAACACTTTAGCAAATAGCAAAGAATACTTAAACTTTATTTTTGCTCATCAGCAACATCAACATCCACGAAGACATTATTTTTATGTGGTTGAAAACAAAAAGCAAAGAAGGGCAGTTTGAGTTGGTATGCTTTTATGAAACTGTATATATATATTACTGTTTTCCTGGGTGACAAACACATTTTTTCCCCACTATTGATTAAGGTTGGTGGACCACATTGGGGCATTTGGTCATGAAATGACTAAGCCCCTGTCTTATTCTCACTGAGTAGTATTCACTGAGCAAACCTTTTAAAAATGTATTTATAGAGTTTTATAAAATATTGCTAATTAAGGTCAGTTTGCATGTGTTGGCTGAGTGAGTCACAACACGACCCTAAAACTGCTTCTTGTGAAACTCTCTCTACTAATGGTGTTTTTTCCCAAGAGGAACAATGCGCCGTTTGTTTGAGGCTACGTCAAGCATAATCCCATCACCTGGATTACAGTCACAGCGCGACAAGCAACTAAAGCCATTTTGAGGTCAGACCAAAGAACAACTAGCCACATTTTATCCAATTATCCACCGCGTGCAACCGTCTTATTTTGTGCAAGATGGTCTAAAAATAGCTGTGAATGTTCACTGTTATAGTTGTTTCAAAGTAGATCCTCATGTTATTACTGTGGTATTTCAGAATAAAAAATGATCTTCCAATGAGTGGTGATCCAATCTCATGTCAAACCAAAATGTTCCTATGGATTCACTATTGAGACACATTCACTGATCTTCAAGTCCCCATTAACTTCTGTTTACTTGCTCCCACACATTGTATTAGTACTACTGAAATATACTGCACTCGGTATGACTCAGCCATATCTCACAGCACAACAATTGATACAATTGAAAAAAAAGGAAAATTATGTCACATGCAACACATTTGCCAATTTCGCCCGACAGCTTCTCTGCCATAAATCCGGTTTCATTGAGCCACCCGGCACAGGATATCAGCACAATGGGATTCTTGTTCACGGGGCGACATGATTGGCCAGGAGAAAGATTTAAAGCGTAGATTTCCAGTGACTGTGAGGGGCACCAGACAAATAAATACCCCGAATCCACCGTGAGAGAGACGACCAGCTCAGACCGGAGGTTTGCTTAAGAATTTTCTCTGTGTTGCTCCACAACGAAAAGGAAACATGGTCAGCCGGTGAGTATTGTTACATCTCGTGTTGATTATTAAGTGGGGGCAGCGTCCATGTAACAGCTTACTCTGTGATGGTTTTTACATACAAACGCTGCTTTTTCTCAATGATTCTGAAATAAAGAGTTTTTTAGTCCTTCGGTACAAGTTACTTTAACTCGATACAGTGACTTTTCCGGCAGTGACCTGAATAGTCAGTGTGGATTCATTTGCTTGGTGTCTCTCATGTGTGATGACAGATTTGAGCACCCAGCTGGTGGCTACAAGAAGATGTTTGAGACGTGCGAGGAGCTGTCTGAGCCTGTTCCAGCGACAGTCATAGGTTGGTTTCCAGAAATAGAAATAGACTGCAGTTGGAAAGTCTAACTTGAACATTTCTCTTCTTGGAGGTTAGAAAGGAAGCTCTGAAAGGAATGTGAACATTCTTTGATTTTTCTTTCGCAGGTAGGATTCCTTCATTTCTGAAGGGAAGTCTTCTCCGTTTAGGACCTGGGCTTTTTGAGGTTGGAGACGAACCTTTCTACCACCTCTTCGATGGCCAGGCCCTCATGCACAAATTCGACTTCAAAAACGGACAAGTCACCTACTACCGAAAGTAAGACCTGAAGGAGAGAGTACTTGTGTTGTGTAGAGAACATGTGCAGACATCAGGCTTTTCTTCTAAATGACATTTAGAGTCAGTAACACTTTATAAAAGAAAAGGCTGCGCATGAATCAATAGAATGTTTGTTGTGATGTCTCGGGATGAACTCTTTCTTTTTCCCGGCAGGTATCTTAAAACAGATGCCTACGTGAGAGCCATCACAGAGAAACGCGTGGTGATCACTGAGTTTGGTACCTTTGCGTACCCCGATCCCTGCAAAAACATTTTCTCCAGGTAGGTAACACATAAAAAACACAAGGACTTCTTTGATCCGAATCGTCCTGGATGCGTTTCCTCTGTTCTCACTGAATTTGCTACGTTTGCTTTTTAAAGAAATAAAACAGCTCATGACATTTTTGTGTGCAGGTTTTTCTCTTACTTCAAGGGCGTCGAGGTCACAGACAACTGCCTGGTGAACGTTTACCCCATCGGTGAGGATTACTACGCTGTGACAGAAACCAACTACCTCACTAAAGTAAACACGGACACCTTGGAGACGCTGAAGAAGGTACATCGACACCAACACACTGCAGGATTTGAGGTGTGAAGTAGTGCTTTTCAGTCAAATGTCTTCATTTTTTGTACGCAGGTCGACATGTGTAACTATGTGAACATCAACGGAGTGACAGCCCACCCTCACATCGAGAGAGACGGAACGGTGTACAACATCGGAAACTGCATGGGGAAGGGAGCGACGCTGGCCTACAACATCGTCAGGGTTCCACCCACGCAGAAAGGTTTGCATCAGCGCTGGCATCATACAACGGCAGTTAAACCCGGCTTAAACTCAATGTGCTGCTTAGTTGGTTCTAATAATAAATAAATGACAAATCTCAACAAAAGAAAAAAAAAACCTTTTCAGATTAGTAAACCCAGCATCATGAAAAAGAGCCCTTTCTTTTCTTAGATAAGTCTGATCCCATTGAGAAGTCCAAGGTGGTGGTGCAGTTCCCCAGTTATGAGAGGTTCAAGCCCGCCTACGTGCACAGGTGTGTGTGGACTGCGTCCGATACTTCGCCCGTGTCAGAAAGGTCAAAGCTTTGACGTTCTTTCTTTCACTGTTTCAGCTTCGGCATGTCAGAGAACTACTTCGTCTTCGTGGAGACCCCGGTGAAAATCAACCTGCTGAAGTTCCTGAGCGCTTGGAGCATCCGAGGCTCAAACTACATGGACTGCTTTGAGTCCAATGAGAGCCAAGGGGTGAGACCTTGCACCACATTGGTGTTCTAACCCTTGACATGCATCATCGCCCCAGTCACTGAAACCTCACCGTGTCTCCTCCGGTGTCTTTTACAGACCTTGTTTCACATTGCCAGGAAAGAACCCGGAGAGTACATTGATCACAAGTACAAAGGGGCGGCCATTGGCATGTTTCATCACATCAACACCTATGAGGACCAGGGCTTCATCGTTGTTGACCTCTGTGGATGGAAAGGGTAAATGTTAGACTTTAATGTAAAGGTGCATCACACGAGATTCAGCGTCTGTGCGTCTCCTGCAGATATCGCTGTTCATTGTATTCGCAGTTTCGAGTTTGTTTACAACTACCTCTGGTTGGCCAACCTGAGAGCCAACTGGGAGGAGGTGAAGAAGGCGGCCATGATGGCGCCACAGCCGGAGGTCCGCAGATATGTGATTCCCCTGGACATCCACAAGGTCAGTCCCCTGCTTTGCTCCTCTAGACACAGGCAAAGCCTCTCGTCCCCGGTTGTCATTGGTCGTCATTGGTCGCCATCTCATTGCGGGCTCGGTGAAGGAGGAGCAGGGGAAGAACCTCGTCAGCCTGCCGTACACCACAGCCACAGCCACGATGCACGCCGATGGGACCATCTGGCTGGAGCCGGAGGTGCTCTTCTCCGGGCCTCGCCAAGGTGCAAGCACGTCCGACAAATTCAGCTCACTGAGTCACGGTGGACACGTCGACTTTTGGCACGACCGGGAAATGTTGTCATTAAGTGACCATTTTAGTGCGTTTTTTCTTTGCAGCGTTTGAGTTCCCGCAGATCAACTACAAGAAGTACGGAGGAAAGAATTACACGTACGCTTACGGCTTGGGCCTCAACCATTTCATCCCAGACAGGGTACGTTCACCAAAACACCTTCAACTGGAAAAGCGTGCGAGTCTTCTTCCTGAAAGCATTCTTTTGCTGTGCGTAGATCTGCAAGTTGAATGTGAAGACCAAGGAGACCTGGGTGTGGCAAGAGCCGGACTCCTACCCCTCAGAGCCCCTGTTTGTCCAAACCCCCGATGGGATAGACGAAGACGACGGTAAGACGATACTTTCAAAGCTGAAATCCACTGTGATGGAAGGTGTTTGGTGAACACCCGCCGCTGCGTCCGCAGGAGTGCTGCTGACCATCGTGGTGTCTCCGGGCTCCCAGAGGCCGGGATACCTCCTCATCCTCAACGCCAAGGACATGTCGGAGATCGCCAGGGCAGAAGTGGATTGCCCCATGCCGGTCACTTTCCATGGGATGTACAAACCCTAAACTCTGCTTTTCTCAGGGTGGCAGCGGCAGCCATGACGACGTGGAGGCCAAAAAATGTCACTAAATGTTTGCAGTTGACCCGGGTTGCTAAGAACATATGTAGTGTGAATTTGTGTGGCGCTTTGATTGTAGTTGCTGGAGGTTCTCAAGTCTCTAAACCTGCATTTTCAGCATTGGTTTAATAAATAAAAATAATAATTTCAAAATCAGAAGCTGTGTTTGTGATCTCCTCTGTCGTAGTGTGCTTATTACGGGGTAGCACAGTGATAGAACGTTGGTTGTTAACACGAATGATAAATTGCTTTCGTTTTTGGAGATTAAAATAACCTGATCTACATGAATGTTTTGTAATATATTTAAACAAGATGCATTTCTCTTTATATACCATACATCAATTAAAACTTCAGCAAAACATAATCCTTTGCCTAAATTCTTGAGATTGAATGTGTTGCGACACAAATTGTTATTGTGGTGACGTCTGATCGAGTGACCCTGGCGTGTCCGTCCTTATTGTGGTCAGAATCTCATGCAGATCTTGCAACACAGCAAAGCTGATTATGTGTGGCTGCATAATCTGAGGAAAGAAAGAACAAAAGGGCGTGTTGCAATCATTCTTTGTAAGCGCACATGAAGGATGCGTGGCTCTTATTACAATCTCATGAGGCCACATAGATCACATCTCATTTTACTTTAGATCCATGTGCACATTCAATTGGTCGGAATGGAACGTGTGTTAACATTTTCAGACAAGGGTTCTCCTTCTTTTCTACACTTCCCCTCTGATGTTTGTGCGTCAAAATAAAAAACACTGGATTGGACTCACGTGTTTCTTCCCCAGCTGATGCGAGATGAGGAAACAAACATTGCTAATACGGCTTTGGCTCGATTGCTACATCAGTCATATGCAGAACCCTGATTATGACGTCACATTTTACATTCCGCCGCCAGATTTTTGGATTGCAATGTGAAAAAGGCGCAATTCCAAATGTACATCCTCTAATCTCGTATTTTGATATTCACACAGGCTCAAATCCAGCCCTACTGCACCTTTATTTCACTTTGGCTCGCTGATGTTAATTAAAAAATAAGAAATATATAATTGTTTATCTTTATTTCTTTTTACATGATGGAATTCTAGCCTTCCAAAAACAAAGAAATAAAACAAGATTAAAGGACATATTAGTTTTCAGAATAAAATTAAAACCAAGCAAAAGAAAAGCTTAATGAGATTCATTCATCTCTGTTGAGTCTATCACACGATAAAAGTCTCTCACAATCTGAAATTCGTTTGGGACAGAGGTTTGCACAGTCAGACATAAACCAGTGCGACGGTTACACACTTATGTCCTATAAGTGAAATTTACACAAATGTAACAGAGATAAAACACAAATAACAGAAAGAAAACCTGCCACTCACCAATGAAAAGGAAATGATTGGAACTACTGCTACAGTGGATGGAAATAAAAAGAAATATAGAATAACAACAAAAAAAACTTGACAAATGTGGATTCAAAATATAACAGTTTGCCTCTTTTTTTTAACCAATTCAACATTTGGAAAAATTAGCATTGGTGAGCAGATCACCACCTCTCACAAATCTGTATGAGACAAGCTAAATGATGGAGCCTATTAGCTTAGCATAAAGACTGGAATCAGCGCGGGAAGCTAACACTAAGTAAAAGAAAAAGCCGATCAACATTCTTTAGTTCACCATTAATACCCTGTTTTGATCTGTACTCAAATGGTGGGTTTAACAAAAGTTCACTCTGGCTCACCGTTGAATTTTTATGTCTTTATGCTAGGCTAAGCTAATTAGCCTTGCTCCAGGACACTGATTAACAGGGAATCAGAGAGGGGTCTCCTTATGACAAAATGTTCTTTAAACTGTAGCAGGCCTCTGTCCCTTCATTTTCACCCCAAAACACACGAGAATGAAAAGTCAAGCAGAACAAATAAAAGGCCCAAACTACCAAATCTCAGATTTCATTAAATACATCTTCAGGCTTACCTCAAAGTGATAAGTGACTACTGACAGCTTTGAAAATACCTTTTCAGTTATAGAACTTTTGCATCTCAGGAAATGAAGGAATGATGAATTGATAGTGCAAGGTTATATGGTACATATATTAATATATTGTTTAGATACTGTCCTATAAGTAAAGTGCAAATCTCCGGATCAGATGAAAAGTGTGTGCAAGCATTTTTTTTTTTTTGACGGACTGATCCTCCTGCCCATGCACAAATGAGCCCGTTACTTTGGCTGCCAGCTACTTTAAACACCGCCTCACAAAACATGCCCGTCAGACGTCATATTAAAGTCTGCTTATTTGGATCAGCCGAACATCAGGTGGCTCTGATCTGCTGTGGGTGTATATTTATCTTTGAGGGGGATTTGTTTTGTCATCCTAACAAAACGGAGAGTGATTTCTTCTTTGTTTGTTAACACCAACAGTGTAGATTACCGGTGCTTATTCCCATGCATCCAAAGTGTAGGGTCATTTTAATGATAGAGCACGTTCAGGAGATTCTTATGCTGAGGAAGTCTTACTGTTGCCACAGAAAACCTCAAATTAAAGCCAACAGAGTTCTAGCAACAACTCGTAGCGTTTTGGTTGATCACCTTATATTATCCATTTTAATGATAACCAACTGGGGATGGAGGTGGATTGCGGTCAGTTGGGGGGGAAACACCACTGAGACCAGCTCAAGTGGAAACGCACAGTCATCAAACAGCTCACAGACAACCTTCAAGCTCACCGTCGGCGAGAGGGACACAGGCGATCGTGCAGGGTCGCCTGGGAACAGTTTGTGTAGCTGCTGTTTAAGACCAGCTTATTATTTAGACCACGGGACGAGGAGGGCCAACATTTGGGTGGTACATTTAACATTTTTGCAAGAAAAGTTAACTATATATATATATATATTTTAGCTCCTCTTGCTTTATCAGAGGGTAGTTGTGTGTGTGTGTGTGTTCTAAGCTGCTGGGAGGAGAGGTGTAACATCAGTTGGTCTCATCGTAGGTGGAGAGCAGGGCAGCGTCCACGGGCTCCATGCAGGAGGGGCAGGTGAAGGATCTCATCAGCCAGTCGTCTATACAGTCCATGTGGTAGATGTGCATACACGGCAGGAATCGAATGGGGTCTCCATAAACGAAATCCAGCATACAGATCACGCATCTGAAAACAGAGATGAGATCAAGAGGTTGAATACACAGTAGTGTGAAGTAGATACGGTACAGTTGTAAAAGGATTAACGGATTAAACATTTAACAAAACTATTCCGAAAACCAAAAAGGGATTTCATTTATTATATAAAACAGAAAAAAAACATTAAGAACTAAAAAAAAAAAAAAAAAGTTTGGCATTTCCTCAATATAATTGACGATCAAGTTAAGCAGAGATGATTTATATACCCTAAAAAAGCAAATTTGCTTTAGATATTGAATAACAAATTGAGCGTTATGCTCAACAGACCGTGACAATAACTAGAAATAAAATATTGCTCCTCTGCATGATATAGATGTTACTATTGTCTTAATGGCCTTTTTTCATGTTGCACTTGAGAGTCACAAAAAGGCATAAACATGTGAATGAGTCACCATTGATCAGCTCCGTGGATACTAAACCAAAACGCCAGACAAAGCGTATTATTTAGGCAATATGCTCACTCTCTGATCTTTTTCTCGGAGCCGTCTGGCCCCCCGTCGTAGACCCCCTTGGGCAGGTGGTGGATGAGGCCGATGCGCTGAGCTATGCGGATCTGCTCCTCCTCGGTCAGCTGGGTGGCCAGGCGGGCCTGACTGGGCGTGGGGTGGTACATGGGCATGTGAGCCTGCTCCTGGGTCACGGACGAAAGAAGCACCGAAGTCACTCGAAAGCAAAGCACCCGCCGGTATCGGCTTACTTTGTCTTTGCGAACGCAACCGGCTGTGTGACAAACCGGGTGCGAGGGTATCGATGTTCTAGACAAGCCAGTTAATGATGGATACTCTAAAACCAGTTTGTTTACTCAGGTGTTACCTGACAATGCTGAACTGCTTAATACGATTTAAAAGCCACGGGGTGCAGACGTTTGATCATAAACATTGGTTACTGCATACAGGCATTTATGAATTGAAACATCATTATTTTTACAAGAACTTGTGTGTGGTAGAAACTCTTATTTTCTTAAATGGACGAACCTGGTAGGGAGGCGGTGGCTCCAGGTCCGGGTCCGTCCCTTCCCCGAAACTCGCCCGGTCTGACTGGGATTCGTGAAGCAGAGAAATGTCATCTGATGTGGGAGACTTGAGACAGTTGCCCATGTCTTCGTGTCCCCAGCCCGGTCCTGCCCGGAGTTAAAGAATCGGATCTTACTTGCTAAAGTTGCTCTCGTCGGCTAACGATAGTTTCGCCTAATATCCAATTTACCGCCAACTTCAACTGCACCTCGTTAGATACACGATGCACATGATTCTAAACGTTAATTTAACGTTAAATGTTAAAAGGCGTCGACGCCAGCGCCTCTTCGTGAACGCAGACACCACCGAAAAACAAAACAAAGAACTCCCGTGCTAACGACAACTAGCCTAGCTAGCTACTTTTTCTGCTAGCCAGCTGGACTTCCGTGACAAGTGTCGCTCATTCCTCCGTGAGAATCGCAATTTCCACAAACTATCTACTTCAGCATTGGCTGTGCCTGTAACACTTGTCGGCCTGCGCCTCGGACAGTAGCGACATCTCCGCGTTTAAACTTCCCGAGTGATTTTAAACAGTTCGCTTCCTTGCTAGCTCTTTCTTCAACCGGAGGACATGTTATCAGGCCGCTGGATATGACGTAAGGGTGTGATTCTGAACGGTGATTGGATGATTCCCTCTACGTAGCTGTAACCAAGAGCTGAAGTCCCACCCCCTTTAAGTAATGAAAATAAATTAAAACTGTTAGAGAAAATAATCATTTGTTGAAAAATGCCTCACTACGATATTGATGAATAGATTACTGAAATAAATAGATAATAATTCAAAATGAACAAGAATTCTATTCCAAAATGTGTTTTATGGGCCCAAACCCCACTGTTCTTTTTTTTATACTTTTATCATTTTTCAACGCTACAGGCAGAGGACTATGAAGCAGAAGCTAGAATCTCCTACGCAGATGTGAAGGTCTAAGGCGTGTTAAGTGAAAACCGTGTGTGGGTGAAGCTTAGAATCAACCGTAAACAAAATGTCTACTCAATTCCATTTTTTTTAGAATTGTATGTTGTCACACTCGTGTTTCTCGCTGGCTTTTGTAATGCATCTTAAAAGTACTGTAAAAGTACAATTCATCTCTATTGTTTGACACTAATAATATGATAAATGTCATATGAAAATATAACTTGACTAGAGTTTCATTAGAAAACATCTCTCTACTGTCTGTATACATATACACAGTATTGTTAGTGTATAATACAGACAGAAAACACGTATAACCAGAAAGATGCAATAACAACTTTTTGACAGATCACAACACAATAATTGTTTATGGTTTTAAGTTCACATCCATCAAGGTTTTTGGTGTCTTCCGAAGCTTCATATTTAGATCAAACGACATACAATACGAGTGGCAGCTTGAGGACACCTTTATTTGTATTTACAGCTATTGTACACATAAAATCCCACAACGTATTTGCATTCCAGGTACCTATGATACAAATCTCCATATTTTTGGTTATGTGAGTATCACAGAATTGGCCTTTCATCAGGCGAAAAACAAAACCACAAACCTTAAAATGGACATTTCCAAAGATTCCTCTAAAGCTCATCAGCTGATACTGTGTATTGTTATTTTTTCCCTAAATATTAAAAACAGTATATTTCCCCTGTACATTATTAGTAAGTTAGAGTAATGTTAATTTGCGAAACAAATGTGTCATGGGGTGTCGGGGGTGTTTTTACAGTGATCGTCTGCAGTGATTCATACAATATTCACAAGGAAGAAAAAGGGGGAAAACGATGAAAGGTCATTTTGTATAATTTCTCAGTAAAATCACAATGTTATGTGTATATGATTGTCGGTAGAGTTTAATTTAAAGGGCGCCGGTTGGTAAAAAGTAACGAGACGTTTTTGAAGAAGGTTTGAAGTTGGTCGGAGGCATGATTAACGTATAAGCATCTTTATGTTATTTGATAACTGTTTTCATTTTCTACAATGCGTGTTCAATACAAAAAAATGAAATAACGAGGGAAATCAGGCAGTTTTTCCCCTGCATATCCATTCACACTGTAAAAAAAAAAATCCAGCATTATTGAGTTTTACTTATTAGTTTCCACATGTCTGGTGAAGGTGCCTCTTCGTCATGGCTTTTTGTCTTTATCCGGTCTAAGGAGTGGCAATGGTGTGATGATCACAACGTATTTACAAAACAACTACAATTTCTAAGAAAATGTAGTTACATATTCACACACCCTACAGATAAGAGCAACACTGAATCATTTAGAAACATCTTCAGAAATGAAAACGCCTATCAAAACAAAAGACGTAATTTGACCCATTCATTTATTATCTGCACCCCACAACTATTTGCGGTGGGTTATTACTCTCTATCATCAAGTACATATCAGGAAATAGACCTTATTTATTGTCAGTGTTCCGTGTGAATTGGCAACTACAGTTTCAGGAAGTATTGTTCACATCTCATCAATCATCCAGAGGGCTCACAGCCCCCGAAGAGCCCCGTCGACCGTCGCTCCGCCTCGCCGCCGCCGCCGCCGCCGCCGCCCCGGAGATCCCTCCTCCGTGCGTCCCGCCCCTAGCACCGGTCGTCCTCCTCTGTGTCACTGAGAGCGTCGCAGCCCGCGCCGGCGGTCGTCGCGGCCATGCGCTTGCGAAAGTGTCCGTTGGGGACTTGCCAGCCGGTCCGCAAGCGCGGGCGGGACGAGGTGACGGTGTTCGAGCGCCCCAGGCTGCACGCCACGGCCGCCTCGAAGGTCAACGTCTCCATGGGGCCGGAGGGGTCCGGGCTGTGGTCGCCCTCCTGGGAGGCCAGGAACGGCTCGGAGGGGTAGCGCCGCGGCGGGGACGGGTCTCGGTCCGCGTCCCTCCGTCTCTCGCCCGCGGCCCCCTCTTGGGCCTTCCGGTTGGGCTTGCCCCGCCTCACCGTCTGCGGGCTGCCTTGTTCGTCGTCGTCCTCGCCGACGGAGGGGTGCAGCGGGGAGTAGGAGATGTGGGGGCGGGAGCGGGCCTGCGGGGCGGGGCGCCGGGCGCTGGGGGTGCTGGACTCGGAGGTGGACGGCACCGGACTGTCCGAGCTGTTGCCCTGGAGACGGAACGGAGAGATTAAATGAAACACCTCTTCGAGAACATCCGGTCACGTGAACTCTAAACTCAAAGCGACGGTGTTGCAGTTTGCGGCCGGTCGCTGGGACCCACCTGCTTGTCTCGGGGACGCGCTCCCTCCGCGCTCGAAGATCGCGATGGCTGCAGACTTCTCTCTTCGGAGTTCCCGCGGGACGCGCTGGGAGAAAGCAGGTGACAGCGCTCCTTGGAGCGGCCGCGGTCCCTGTCGCCCTGCTTCCAGTGCTCCGAGCGGGAGACTGGAGGGGAGACAACATGAATTGACGAACGAGGAGTCAAACAGGGGGGGTACACAAGGAGGACATTTTGTTCCGCGCTTGACCTTTCCTGTATTTGAACGGCAGTGTCCCCATGTTTGCCAGTGGCGGGATAAACACACGAGGCGACAGGTGAGCAGGACTCACCGGCAGCCTTGTAGCTTTTGTGACGAGGTCGATAAACTCTCTCCGGACTTTTCTCCTCTTCCCAAAGGCCGTTCACCCGCTCATCTGCAGCGGTGGAGGCCGAGCGCTTCATGGAGCCACTTGCGACCTCCGTCTGATCGCATGGGAAACACACAAACAGAAAGACGTGAAAGCACGAGGCGTAAAGAGAGAAAACCTCCAAACATGCCGGGATTTCACTCGGGTTATTTCATTCAGGAGCGAGGAGGACCATTGCAGAGAGCTTAAAGGAAACACAACATGCTTTGGTGCAAAAACAACGTGCATCCCAAGACACTATTCCGCTTTAGTCTCCTCTGTTCTCGGGAAGCGGGAAGCATCAGCATCCATTTTAACCGACTCCCAAGGAAGCAGAAGACAGGCCAAAACTCTGAGTAAACTTGTCGGCGTCGCATGAGGAACACGGCACGTCGGCATTGGAGCCCATGCAGCCACTGACGTCCTCGCGGTCCAGCGCGGCGGCCGCGTCGTGGAAGGTGTACCTGCAGCTCTACGGCCAGACGGGGCGTGGAAGAGGCCCGCGCACACAGACCCCTCCCTAACGGGAGCGCCCGTGGGGCTTCAACCCCCCTACTGCGCCCGCCCACCTAGGTCAGCACGGAGACAAGAGAGGGGGGCAGGGAGAGAGACACCGATCAGACTCGTCCCCCCGACTGGACCGCCCTTTAGATTCAGGCGAGAGGACGGCGTGGACGAGCCGTTTCACCCCCGAGGGTTCATCTACCAAAAGACGCCGATCAGCAGCCATTCCAGCCAGAGACGTACGGATTCACTACCAGCAACGGGGGGAAACCGGACTTTAAGGGGGAAGAGAAACAGCGAGAATTGACAGTTCACGGGGATAGACGGCGTCTACATTTCAGCTCGGACGTCCCTTCAGTCATGCGCGTCCAGGTCTTAATAGGTACCCAAACAAGAGCCAGACAACATCTGTCTGCAGGGCCCAGATGTCATTCATCACAAGCGACGCAGACCAAGAAAAACAGACAGTTTTGGACACCGCAAAACAACAGCAACGAGCGGGACAACCCGCCTTCTTCTGTTCCGGCCCCCACAGGACCAACCGGCAGGAGAGCCGTGCCCAGCGAGACACGGGCAAAGGTCACCGTGTTACTCTGAGAGTTAAATATATATAAGTGTTATTTGCCAAAAAATAATCCCCACACAATATTTCTCTTGCAGCGGTGCAAAAAAAACTGATGTGTTCTGCACTCGAGGGGAATTCTTTGCTTCTGGAAAAACAACCCCCCCCCCACCCTCCAGATTTAGTGTCCCTCTCGCTCCCCTGATGCATTTCTCTTTACACGTCCGTGTTTCTCCCGAATAGCATGAATGGCGTCGTGTCTCAGTGTGAGCCGCTTTCTTTGCTTCCCATTTACAGAGCGAGGGCTTTTCCTCCAGTTCACACACACACAACGGACCAACAACAACGAAAAGCATGTTAGATCAGAACCACTGACTTCTCTTTAAATCGATAACAGGATAAAGAAGAAGAAGAAAAAAGATGTTTCTACAACTGAGCCTCCACACGAAGGTGTGACGAGTCAACAACGTTGTACTAAATAGATTAGGAAGCGCTTCTCTAGGACAACAGCTGTGCCGTTAATGGTTGCGGGCTCCCGGTGACCCGCTTTCTTACCGGATTCTGCTCTTGAGCACCACCAGTGTCGGTGCTTATGGGCTGCAGAAACAGTTCCTGAGGTGAGATGGGGCTCAAAGCCAAAAAGCCTCCCCTGGTCCTGCATTGGGACGGAGAGGAGGAGTAAAGAAACGCTTTCGCAGACACTCGGGTACCAACGGAAGAGATGCGCGGACTCACAGGGCGGAGCCTGCGCTGTGCGCCATCATCGGCAGCGACTGGCTGTCGGACAGAATGTCCTCCGGCAGCGTGGAGGCGTCCAGGCGCTTGAACATCAAGCTGCTCTTCTGAAGGGAGAGGAAGAAGAAACGGAGCTCAGAGGGCTTCATTGTGACACCATATTCATTCTGCTCAGGCTCTTTGAAGGGGAAAGAGGACCCAAAGGACTGAAATTCTCCTTCAGTTGATCCCTTTTCCATGTGTCTTTTTTCCCTCTTCTACACCTTAACATCATCCTACGTCATGTCCAAGCTCATTTGATGAAATTAAAATAAGCTTGTGCTGTTTGCAATTGAACCCATGATTCCAAAGCAGGGTGAGGAAGATGATGACAGCGTGCTGACCTGAGCCTCGATTTGTTGCCGGAGCTTCTTGGCCTTGTTGGTTTTGAAGTAGTCCATTATCATCATGGAGGCGTAGATCTTCCCCACCGTCATGTCCGTATCTGTGAGGGCAGATTAACTGTTACTGGTCTGGCCTCTCAGCGTCACACCGAGAGCTCCCTCCTCGCGGGGGGCCAGACCTTTGTTGATGGGCACCAGCACGTCCAGGTTCTTCTGGGGAAGGTAAGGCCAAATGATGCTGATCTCTTTCTGTAGCTCACTATCCAGAGCGATGCGGTCCTCGCCGCCTGGAGGAATACGAGTAAAATAAGTGTCCTTAATGGTTTTAGTCACCAGTGAAAACCGGTTTTCTACGAATCCATTTGTAATTTGTTTGTCTTCTTTGACATTTCACTTCTTAAAGTTTTCTTTGGAGACCAAATAATTAAATCGATTAAGAAAAACAGAATTGCTAATGAACATGATCTTAACCTCTGGCTATTTTGATGTCCAGAGCTGTGCGGATGAGCGACATCAGGGTGGAGGTGAAGTGGACGGTCATGTCCTCGTCCACAGGCATGTTCATCAACACCAACCTCTGAGAGACAACGAGGTTACTCAGTTACTTATGAGGACATTTCTATATTTTAAAAGGCAATTTATGTCTGTGAATGTTCAGGCAATTATCGTTTTTTGGCTCCAAACGTAACAAAAGTTCAAATTTGATCACATTCAACTTGATAAGATGTTCCCTTAAAACCACCTTGTCTGTATCACATATCACATTAGGATTTCAACTAGCATGTCGGACAAAAGTGATGATGCTTTTGGTACCTTGTAGGCGATCTTAGCGGGACACTTCTTGCCCAGGCCCAAGGGCGGCGACATGTGTGTCAGCATCTCATACATGGCAGTGTAGTGTATCCGACCACTTCACAGGGAAACGGGGAGGAAGGTCGGAGAGATGAATGAACAGTGGCATAAAACTCTTTAACACAGAAGAAGACAAGCTCCCGTTTCAATGCTGTGGCATTTGGGACTTTTAGAGCAACGTTATTTATAGAACAGTGAACTCCAGATGCTCTTTTGGAAGCAATGAAAATGGGCTTTGACGGCCCTCTGCTGGATAAAGACAGAACACGATGGTCCAAATAAAGCCCCGAGCCTCACCAGGCCAGACGGTCGTACTCCCCCCAGATGCGGACAAACTCGTCCAGGTGATGGGGACCCAGGATGGAGGAGTCTCGCGTCAGGTACTCAAAGTTGTCCATGATCACGGCCACGAACAGATTCAGCATCTGGAGGGGATGAACGGACGGGAAAAGAGCGTCGCGCAAAGACAGCAGAGGAACCGACAAGAACCGGCGGAGCGAGCGTCGCTTCGGGCGGGGCACTGACCAGGAACGAGCTGAAGAAGATGAACGAGACAAAGTAGCAGTACGCAAAGTCCGTCCCGCAGCCTCCCTCGTGGTCGGGAGACGTCGTGAGCGGGGAGATGGAGGAGTCTGGTTCACACTCCCGACCCGCCAGACAGGAGAGCATTATCTCCTGCCAGGACTCCCCCGTGGCGCTCCTGGAGGTTCAAAACGCAAAGCAACTTATAGGAGAGCACCGGCGGCGAGCGTGGAGGCTTGAAGGGTGTTTCTGATGAGCCCACCTGAAGAGCAGCATCAGCGCACTGAAAAAGGTCTTAAAGTTGTTGTGTTGGTTGATGTGACTCTCATCATTCAGCTTGATGTTTCCAAACACCTGCAGGAAACAGACATTTAAACAACGCAGAAGACTAAAAGCTTCAAACTAAATAAAAAAAAAAAAAGCTCTTAAATTAGACAAAAATACAAAATATTTCTGTAAAATCCCTGATTAAAACCACACCTGTCTTCAATGTTTGTATATTTGTTATATTTTAGTTAAAATATGAATTGTGTCATATTTTATATTTACTATTAATTTTCTTTCTTTAATGGAGGCTCCCAGCAAAAGCATTTTACACAATTCTACCTGTGACAATCAACATTTCGAATATTAAAAACTGATGCAGAAACCCAGAGTCAGAGCCACGGCGCTCCGGTCTGTAGTTAGTGAATACCTGCATTCCGATGATGGCGTATATGAAGAAAAGCATGGCGATCAGAAGACAGACGTAAGGAAGGGCCTGTTGGAGAAGAGACAGCAAAGACAGGGCATTAAAACTCCTCCATGAATCAAAGTCGCGCTGCTTTAAAGGCCCGATCGCTGCAACGGGTCAAACGTCCGACCTTGAAGGACTGAACGAAGGTCCACAGCAGGATGCGGATGGTGTAGCCCTGCCTGAGCAGCTTGATCAGCCGGGCGGCTCGGAAGAGCTTCAAGAAGCTCATGTTGATGGTGTTCACCGACTGGCGACCATCGAGGGTCCGAGTTGTTGCCACGTTGGGAGAGAGGGGAGGGGAGGGGAGGGACAGAAGGGAGACACAGGATGTAAAACACAGATGGCGGCATTCATCCTGACATGACTTAAGTTGTGCGTGGAACACGTGAGGGAAACTATTCTAATGCTAGACAGTCTTCTTCTTCTTAAAGGATGGTCCCTCGGGTCTTACCTGCAAATCCACAATTATCTCAGAGATGCTGCCGAGAACGGTGATGAAATCGAAAATATTCCAAGTATCCCGAAAGTAGTTCTGCGGCAAAAAGAAAACGTTTCAAGTAATTGGACAAATTCTTTTAATGGCTTCCGTCTTTGGTCGATCTCTTCTCGTGTGTTATTCTCACCACCAATCCAAACGCCAGGATCTTCAGGACACACTCCATGGAGAAGAGGACGGTGAAGGCCGAGTTGAGGTGTTTCAGGACCATGTCGTAGGCTGCCGGCGCCGAGTGGTACTGAAGGAAAAGGGGACTTTGAGCGTCACAGCCGCAAGACCCCGTTGTTGTTTTTTTCGTAAAGAGCGAGCGAGAGAGCTTCACCTTCATCATGAGCACCACCGTGTTGAGAGCGATCATCACGAGCACCGTGTACTCAAACGAGGGCGACGCCACAAAGTGCCACAGCCTGTACTGGAAGGTCTGCCTGTTCTGCGGCATGTAGCGGGTCATCGGCTTGGCGCTGATGGTGAAGTCGATGCAGGCGCGCTGACGGACGGACGTGAAGGAAGACGGACATGAATGAATGAATGAATGTGTGCGCTCGTGTGTGTGTGTGCGTGTGCATGGGGACACACCTCGTTCTTCTCCAGACTGCACTCTTGGATCATCTTGTCGCCCTGCTCCTGGAAGGTGATGATGATCAGCGCCACGAAGATGTTGACGAAGAAGAAGGGGAAGACCACGAAGTAGACCACGTAGAAGACGGACATCTCCATGCGGTTCCCGCGGCTCGGCCCCATGCTCTCCTCCGTCACGTCGGTGGAGTGCTGCAGGACTCTGGCGGGGGAAGAGAAGACGAGCAGCTCATTGATCCTTTACGCTGTTTGGATCCGCCGACCGTTTGGTGCCCCCCCCCCGACTGAAAGCTGCAAACCCACTCACTCGGGCCAGCCCTCTCCGGTGGAGACGGTGAAGAGCGTGAGCAGGGCCCAGCAGACGTTGTCGTAGTGGAACTCGTGTCTCTTCCACTCTCTCCTCTTCACCTCCTTCTTGTCTCGGCTGTAGTCGATGTAGTAGCCTCTGTGGGGAGCAGAGCGGGAGGTCGGTGGTTCACGGGGAGCTTTCGTTGTGTGCAAACACCCATTAATTGGTAAATCTGGGGCCCTGCAGACCATCACCGCTGGGTGTGTAGAGCATCTAAAGGGGGGATCTGCAGGTTCTTTTACCTTAATAGAACACTAAGTTGAACGTTTGGATGAACCCACTCACTGGCATTCCTTCTCCGAGTTCATGGAGCTGTCGGTGCAGTAGAAGAACTTCCCCTTGAAGAGCTGCACGGCGATGACAGCAAAGATGAACATGAAGAGCTGGTACACGATGAGGATGTTGAAGACGTTCTTCAGAGATGTGACCACGCAGTCGAAAACAGCCTGCGGAGGAGAAGGACAGGCGTGTCCGTCAGACACACCCGGGAAAGAAAACACCCAAACGTATATAAATACCGGAGCGTGTCAGTCGGACCTTGAGTTTAGGAAGCCTTTTGATGGTTTTTAGAGGACGAAGAACCCTCAAGACTCTGAGGGACTTTATCGTCTTGATGTCTCTGCCTTTGTTGTTTCTGTTGACGTTGTAGAAACAGAACCTTAGGAACATTGTGGCACACTCCAGCTGGTGCACCAGGACGAATGGTTTGGACACACATTGCAAAAAGGTGAAAAAGAAAAACACGCTGAAAGAAAAACACGTCCACATGGATGCATCTCAAAAGGGACGATGAGACACAGATTTTCACCCTGGGTGAGTTTGCACGGAGCCACGCAGGTGTCACAGGTGCAAGCTTTGATCAGTTGTACCCTTGAAATAATTATCTATCAAATAATCTAATCAAATTAGGATAATGGCAGTTGACATCAAAGCCATGGAGTTAAATCTGTGGAAGCTTTGTGTGTTCGCGTAAAGGTTTGAGATACATGGACGCAATCTGTGCACCGCAACGTGTTACGGTTTATGGAATATTGGATTATTCTTTATTAAATATTGTGCACAAATAAATAATTTCAGTAATAACGGTAAAGCCATTAGTTAGTTAGAGGGTAGAAATGGTTTAGGCCCAAATGATCGAGCACATCACCCTTGAAACCTGTCGGGCTCTGAAGTCGGGTGAGACCAAAACAAACAAACAAACAAACCACAAAAACACACTGAAAACAAGGATGAAAAATCACAAACACGAAAATAAGATAAATCAATGAAAAGCTCATGGGAGACATTGACATATAGTGTGACTGAATCTTTTACCCCATCACATTCCTGGTTGCCTCAACAGTGACAAAATCCACAGGAACAACAGAGAAAAATTGAGGCATAAAGAGAGAGACACTGTGAGCACGGCTACATTCACGACAGAGAAAATCACACACGGTACAATCAAAGAGAGGCACACGAGGCGCAGTAGCTCATCTGAGATTCATTTAAAGTCTGACCTTTGACCTCACTATTTCAGTTTTTTTCAGATATAGATTTTTGATGTGAGAACTAACATTGAAAGCAAAGCTCCACATTTCTGAAAAAGCATCCTGTTAATATCGTCTGTTTTGGTTAGTTGCATGAAATCAAAAAACCTCCAAAAAATATATATATATATTTTTTTAAACTCAAAAGTTTACAATATTTAGTTTAAATACTTAGATAAACCTAATACTTAATAAATATTGACATTAACTATCAGCTGCTTAGAGCTGGTGTTGTTGAGTTGCTATGAAATCACCTCCCGTTCTCGTCTCCGTGACACGCGTGTTCCCCGTGATGACAGCGTGTCAACAGACCAGACATCTCTCCTCTCGCCGCGCGACCGTAGTGACACTTAAATCTGAGCTGAGGATCTGAGGATCATGCATGCCTCTTTATTTGCAGTTTTTCGAGCTGCAATATAACACTTTTTTTTTTTTGGAAGCTGCATAAGGCGTCTCTGAGGGGAAGGTCGCTTATAACAACACGGTGCGCTCAGAAAACGGGTTTGCTGCAGTGAGTCAGTCGTTAGTCATCGGCGGTGACTCACGTCAGAGCGAAGGCAATCAGAGCTCCCACCACCACGATGAAGTCCAGGATGTTCCACATGTCTCGGAAGTATGAGCCGTCGTGCAGGATGAGACCCTGGTCTATCATCTGGAGGACAAACAACGCACACCCACGGGGGACACGTGCAGCCAACCGATTAAAAGGCGCCGCGGCCGACGCCGCATAGAGATGTGTGATAGCGTGCGGGGTACCCACCTTGATGATCATCTCAAAGGTGAACACTCCAGTGAAGACGTAGTCGAAATAACGGAGGACCTTGAGAATTAACAGATAAAGAAGACGTGTTTGTGACTTTTCTGATGGTGGTGCACACCTGATGAAGACCCTGGTGACGGATGCGCGGCATCATGCGTGTCACTCATAAGTCATAAGTGAGCTAACCTCACTTGCACAACACTAAGTTGCGGTAAAGATGTCGATCCTGGTCTTTGGTGAAAAAAGCAGGGAAATGACTGGCGAGCGAGCAGGTGGACGGCGTGCTGGCGACTCTCGACACTTTGCACCACACAAAGTTGAGAAAAAAACAAAGTGCGCAGCGATTTCTCAGGCAGATTCTCAGATCTCGCGTTTGTGCGAAAGCAAGACGTGCCGCGACACATCGTCGCCGACGGCGTTACGTCAACTCGAGATGAAGCAGTGGACCCGAGAGCTGAAACCTCCTCGGTCGGCGTTTCAGACGAATCGCTGTTAGCTCGTCGGCGGCTTCCTTGAGGACGGACGTGCACAAAAGAAGGCGAACGTATCGAGTGGCGGCGTGAGAACCATCAGATCATCCCGCTACCATTAATTCAGGCGCCCACGCGCTTCACGGCTGATCCTTGCGCTCATCTCACCTTGTTCCTGTCCGAGTTGGTGCACACGGGGTCCTCGGCGGCCAGAGCGATGCTGCTCGCCACGATCACGAGGAGGATGGACATCTCGAAGTAGCGCATGGTGACCACGTAGTGACAGACCTTCCGGATGCTGCGGAAGAAACCGAGGGAGAGGATTTGTGTTTATTGTTGAAAGGGGGCCGAAGACAGAAGGATTCTCGTGGCGTCTCACGGGTTGGAGGCTTTGAAGATGAACATGCTATCCGGAGCGGCGGGTTTGGCGGGAACCGGAGGCTCGCCTCCCTCGTCCTCCGTCTCCTCGTCTCTGTCCGTCTGCTCAGAACTGTACGCCTCCAACTCTTTGCTGTTCCCTAAAACGTGCGAGAGGGGAGAACAAAATGCTTCAGCTGTGCACGGACGGCTGTGATGGAGAAAGAACCCTCAGCGGACGCCAGGCGGCCCACACGGCCGACACTCGACCCCGCTTCACGAGGCGCGGCGAGCGCTACCTGTCATCGGCGTGAGCTCCAGCAGCGGCTGCGCGGACATTTCGACGGCCACGCTCGCCGCCGACCTGGACCTGTCCCCCCGTTTGACGGAGGCGGGCCGGCTCCCGGACTCGCAGGACCTCGCGGTGAACCCGGCGGCCTCCGAGGCGGTCTCCTCGGGGCCGGCTTGGCCCGCGGGGACGCCGTCGCCCTGCTCCGGCCAGGTGGCGTCCGCCGGCTGCTCACACTGGGGAGGATCGGGAATCTCTCTGAAAGGGGAAAGAAAAGCTCACCAAACACCGGCTCAGGAGTGCGTCGGCCACCCGTCTCCTCGGGCCTCACCTGCGGGCGTCTTCGCCGTCTTCTGCGTACGGGTTGACGATGCACGTTGCGCCGTCGTCTGGGACCGACCCGCCTCCTGCACCCTCGTCCTTCTCCTCCCCCTCGTCCAGCGTCTTCCTCTCCTGGCTGCGCGAGCGTCTGGCGTGTGGCTCCTCATGCGGCGCCTGGCCGCAGTCCAGGCTCTTGGCCTCGGAGCGAGCGTCCCGGTGCCGGTGCCTCCTGTGCCGCGCCCCCTCGTCCGGCCCCTGGCCGGGCCTGAACTTGCGGGCCATCCTGTGCCGGCCCCCGCCGCCGCCGGCGGCCCGGTGGTTGGGCCCCCCCGTTTTCTCCTCGCTGAGGTTCACCAGAGGCTCGGCGGCCGGCGGCTCGGGGATGGCGATGGCCACCGACGTGGCGTCCTCGGGGAGGGGCATCCCCGTGGAGGCGGGGGACCCGGGCAGGTGAGCCGGGGCGGCCTCTTGGGGGACGGCGGGGGTTTCGGCGGTGTCCTCCGCGGCGCTTGCGACCAGCTCCTCTCTGCTCGCCATCTGCCGGCGTTTGCGCAGCTGATTGGCTCTCTGCTCCCACACGGACATGTGGACCTTCCTCCTCCTCTCGCGCCGGGTGACGAAGGCGCTGGGGCCCTTGAGGGGCTGCTCGTCGGCGGCCCCCGCCCGCTCCTCGGGCTCCTCCGGGAAGTTCGGGCGGCCTCGGTGGATGGCTCGCTTCCTGTACAGGTACGGTCGTCTCCTCCCACTGGGGACCAACAATGCATTTTATATCAACACGCGGCAACGAGGCCAAACTTGAGGAATTGTTGAGAAGAAACATGGAGACTTGCGTCCATTTAGTATTGTAGTTGTATAAAAGAATATTCAAACGACTCAAATAAAAGTGTCAAGAAAAGGAAAGAGGAATTTATGTTTGTTACTCAGCAACATAAAAACATCCCATTATGCAAAATGCTGCAAGCTAAAAAATACAAATGCATCCAAAAAATAAGAAAAAAATAAATTACCTGAGAGGTAAAGAACAGATCAAAAGAACCAAAACCACAAGAACAGAAAAAGGTAAAGTGCAGGACTCAAGTACAAATAAAGTGTAGAAAAACCTGAATAATTGATTAGGAAAACTCAGGGGAGGAAGTGTGTGACACAGAAATACATACGCGTGTACTTACTGGTGTTCAGATTCTTTTGTTGTCCATGTAATCAATGAATGATTATTTGAAAACAAGACATTAGTGTTTTACAACATACACAGAACATTTGTTGTGACACCGAACAAAATGTGGAAAAAGGTGTTGACGGTGTAGACGGAGTTCATCCGGTTTACAAACTGAACTCGCGTCGGTTTCAGCTTCAGGGAAGTTTCCAGTAAATGTTGTTTTTTAATTCAAGGCTTCAGGTTCAAATCGATTGGAGAACGGGCAGAAGGTCAGAATACACATTTTGGTCAGCGCCACGTAACAGGCATAAAACAGGACAACGTGATGGAAGCAGCAGAACACGGAGACACAGAATCGGCATCCCGACGGCTGCAGCGCGTAAAACATTCAAATATGTAACAAACAAATGATGCGTTCAGTGTCGCTGTCAGAGACGAGGACGAATATTTGGCCTCACGGAATAAAATGGTGTTTATTCTTGATTTATTTGTCCGTAATACACTAATACACTGTTTTTTTTTATTACACGGTTTCAGGAAATTAAAAAGGGATCCAAGATAATTTCGAACATCAAACCAAAAGGTTTTGCATTCAACAATAGAGAGGTGTGGTTTCAGTAAATACTGATGCCTGCCCTTTAGACATGGTACATAAATCCACTCAATGCAAAGTATGCAGTGTGAAAATACTCATCCAAGAGTCTGATGATGTCGTCTGGTTTGGAGGTCAGTGTCTCGCTAACAAAAGAGGCTGCGGCTTCAATAATGCCGCAAAATCTGTCAGTAAGAGATGCTTTAAATTCTGCGCATCCATCAAACATTCACGTCACGGATGCGGCCAACATGCCTTTTTCCAACTTTGCATTCGTTCATGCAACCGGAAGGCAGATCGAGCGCTCGCCAGTTACACCTTCAACTGGTTCTCAGAGAGTCCCGAGATATTGATCTCATCCGCCGCACCTAATGATCTTATTCTCACGTTTCTCTGCAATAAGAGAAGTAGCGGAATTTTCCATTTGCCCGAGAGGAGAGTCGATCTGAGAAACAGCCACGCACTCACGACTCTGATCTGCATCTCATCCTCAAACCCGCCTTTTGTAAGCTGATAAACGATGACTTACTCAGATATCAGGCCGTCTCTGCCCCTGGCGTATCTCTGGTTGAAGAACTCCTCCTCCTCCTCTTCATCCTAACACACACACACACACACCAGATATAACACTTCATGTTAATCAGGTCTGCGTAAAATGCGCTACCAGCGGTGCAAAGCGGCTCAAACCTTCGTCAGCTCCTGCGCGTTGGCCAGATTATCCACAGCGATGGCCAAGAAGACGTTGAGCAGAGTGTCTGTCATGAAGGCAGGTAAGAAGCAACGCACCGAGCTGTGGGAACCCCAACACCCCTCAAAGGGCCTCCTGCTTGGACTGGTGCAGAGCTTCAGGTCACGAGGCTAACTGATCTAACTTCAATCTCCGGTCTCTGTGCTAATGTAGCTTCACAACATGTTACGTCTTCATTTATTTGGAAATTCTTTGCCAAAATGTTGAGCTTTTCCTTTAAGATGTGTGCAAACTACGATGTGAGGTTAATTAAACTACCGGACAGCATTCATCATGTTTGAAATGAGCCATAAATCTATTTACTCTTCGACTGGTGTCGCATTCGGAACGCGGGACTTTTAATTGCGACGCAGCATCCTCTCCCCCGACCGGCCGGTGTTCAGACTCGGATGCGACGCCGGGGCTCAAAGGATACAGTTTCCGAACAAGGTAAGCACTATGAAGTAGATGGAAGACCACATGCCGTACTGCACTCCGCCCTGCGAGCGGATCCCATCATACATCACCTCGTTCCAGTCCTCGCCAGTCAGGATCTGCAGGTAAATGCACGTGGAGGGGGGGTCAGCGCAAACAATCACACTGCTCACATTTCATGGGCCTGAAAGCACGCGGAAACACGAGACGCACGAGACGGATCAAAACACTCTTTCACAGCGCGGTTGTTTTTTTTTTTGCAGCAGCAGCAGCAGATTCTTATGTGGATTCGCTCACGTTCCACTTGTCTGATATTCATGTGCGCATATGTGTGCATGGATGTGTGGGATGATGGCGGAGGCGGGCGGGCGGGGGGGCGATGGCGGGTGGGGGGGGTGGAGAGCGTGTGAGCAGAGTTGTTTAATCTGCGCCTGGGGGTGAGAAATATACCCAGGGTGCAATGTGTCACGCAGAGCAGGCAGAACGAGGGGGATCTGTGGGAGCCAAACCTGAAACACCGTCATGATGGCAGCTGGAAACGTGTCAAAGTTGGTGGGAGTGTAATCTTCAAAGATAAACCTAGAGGGGAGGCAGATAGAAAGCAGGGTCAGATATGGCCAGGGGAAGAATAGGTGGGGGAAGATGAGGAGGAGGAGGAGGAGGATGCAAAGCTATTTTCATCCGGACACGTTGTTTCCTCCCCTCGTCATTGTTGAGAAGAAAACTGCCGCTTCCGCGATCGGATATCCAGCTTTAAAAACTCGGCACCACACGTGTGAGGAGAAAGCTGAGGATGCCAGTTTTGCTTTTACTCACCTTCCTCCAAAAAGCTGCATCCCCAGCAGAGCAAACACCACGATGAAGAGGAAGAGGAGAAACAGCAGGCTGATAATGGACTTCATGGAGCTCATGAGGGACACCACCAGGTTCCTGAGAGACGCCCAGTACCTGACAGAAGGAATTCACAGACTTCAGGTTCTTCAGTACACAAGTACACGACAGCGTTTGTATTCAGGTATTTTTCTTTACTTTGTGATTTTGAAAATCCTCAAGAGTCGCAGGGCCCTCAGCACGCTGATCCCGAAGGACATGCCGGGCCTGAAGAAGCCCCAAACCACCTCAAAGATGCTGCCAACGATGACCTGAAGAACACACGAAACCCATGTCCTTCACGCTCCCTCTGGCCGGCAGAAAAGGGGCCCGAACCTTTCTTTATCTCTTAAGCGTGACACTGAGGTGCTTTTAGGGGTTTAAATGTTAATGTTTTGCTGCTGAATGAAAATGAAACAAGAATAATAATAATTTTGCACCAGACTCCGGTCAGCTCTGTCACGTGTAACGTGGAGCCAGAACAAAGAATTGAGGATCTCACCCCACAGTCGAAGCAGTTGAAAGATGAATGGAAGTAGAGCCGGAAACCCAGACCGTACATCTTCAAAAACATCTCAGCCAAAAACAGCCCGAGGAAAACAAACTCTGCGTAGTCTAAAGAACGAGAGCAGAGGGGGGAGAAACAGGCCGGTCAGGTCAGAGGAGACCCGGAGCAGCAAAGAGCAACGCGAGTCAACCCACAGAGGAAGACGGTCAGCCAGGCGGGCTGGTTGTGGTGGACGATGGCCACGCAGACGGTGTTGAGCGCCACGAGGCTGAGCACCATCAGGTAGAAGGTGTCCGTCTTCACCATGCGGCGGATGGAGATGCGTAGCATGCGCTCTTTGCGCCGCAGGTAGGCGGCCGGGCCTCGCCGCCCGCTGCGGAAGTTCATCCTGGAGCGCGACATGCCTGAGAGAGGGGAAGAGGGGGGGAGGAGATCAGGAGGGGAGGCGCAGCGCGTCTCCAGGAGGAGGAGGAGGAGGAGCAGCAGGGCCGTTGACTCACTGGCGGTGGACGTGTCCGTGTACTTCTCGTCCCCCGGCGCTCCTCTGCGCGCGCCGGTCTTCTTGCTCGCTCTCTTCAGCACTGAAAAGGTTCCGCGGAGACCGAAGGTTAGAAACGATTTCTATGGGTTTGAACTGGAAACAAAACGGAAACGACGATTCTCGACACACTCGAAGCCTCCTTGAGAGTCAGGAGCTTATTTGACTTTTCAGTCATCTGCATTTGATTCAGAATGAATACGTTTCGCGTGTTTGGGTAACCCACGGTTACGTCCCATACAGAACCTTACACAAGTCGGGGAAGTTTATTGGCATAACGTGATGTGTGGCTCCTGGTGCAGGAGACGTGATCTCTGTTGAAAACATTTTTGACGCCGATTCGAATGAATGAAAAAGCAATTGATGAAGAAAGCTTGAGGACGTTCACAATATATTCATGTGCCGAATGGAATTCATGGATTTGTTCATAAAAGGTGTCGACAAAGACAAAGATGTGGCCTTCGGTTTTTTAATCTCTTTTTTAAGTGACAAACGCATCACGCCGCTTTTAAGGGCGTCCACGGCGGACGAGGTCGCCGCTGAGTGGTTCGTGTTAAATGGCAAACGTGGACTCTTCCAGAGGCTTTTTTTGGTTTCCCCGCTGAGGCAAAACGTCCTTTTGTTGCCATGGAAACCTGCCGCCTGCACAACGGCACGCGGTGCAGCGGCGGGAGAACCGATGACCGGAAGCACGTTTGACATGTTTCAACATACAGATTACAAAAAGTATGAAGATGTGAACTCACCGTCCAGGGGAGACCTCCCAGAACTTTTATTCTCCTCTGCCAGCATTACCTCCTCTGTAACACAACACAACGTCACTCAGCCGCAGCTCAGATCGTCGGACGTGGAACTCAATTCCGCCTCGTGCGTCAAAACTGAGGTGAACGTGCGCTGAGGGGCCGGCGTGACCTTCTTTGGACGAGCGGCTCTTCTTCTCTCTTACGTTCTCGCAAATTCGCTCGCCCCCCTCCTCCCTCTCCTCCCACGCTCACCCGCATCCACGCACACGACGACTCTCACGCATGCATGTGAACACACACTGACGCCTGTGCACTCAGATTCAAGTCAGTGAGTCAGTATCACCTTTTTCTCACCCTCTACTAGCGTGGGAGACCAATGTAGAAGTTCCATTACACCATGTGTGTGTGTGTGTGTGTGTGTGTGTGTGTGTGTGTGTGTGTGTGCAGCTTGACAGAGCTACAGTTATCAAAAAAGTGTGTGTGTGTGTGGGACAGAGACACCTTTACAAAATCAGCTGCTCAATTGTTGGAATCACACAGCACCCTGAATCTTTGAAATTCATCTTTTGCAAAATGATCCCTTAATGGAGTGTTTGTATTTAATGAATCAATAAAGCAAAGGTCTGAACTCTTGTGTTTAACCACAGTTTGTGTTTGCCAAAAAAAAAAGTGTGCATACGGTCTCACAATCAGCAGCTACTCAAAGCTTCAAAAACTGAAATGACTGAATCGGCGTTATTTGGATAAACTGACACCATGTTTGGACTCTTTTGATACGTGAAAGATGGCACTTCCTCTCTGAAGCGAGCACCACGTTGTGGAAGCCCGCCCCCGGGCAGTGTGCGCGTCCGCGGGTGTGAGGTCGCTCGGCGGCCCAGTACCTGCCCTGTCTATCCAGGCCCGGTAGCCATTCAGCTCGCGCTCCACCTGCTGCTGGCGCCGCAGCTTCATGAAGGCCCGCCGGTTCTCCACCCGCTCCCTCTCTTTGGCAAATTCTCTGGAGAGGGACGCATTGAGACCGTAAGGGCAGAAACACGCCGCACGCAAGGTGGGGGGGCGGGGGGGGGGGTCACACTCACCCTGACAGGACCCCCAGCACCAGGTTCAGCACGAAGAAGGAGCCGATGATGATGAGGGGGATGAAGTACATCCAGTTCCACGTCATACCCAAGGCGTCGTTGGTCTGAAAGAAGCATTCGTGTTAGCAGACGGCAGCTGTTACGCTCTGTGGTTCCCCTTTTTTTTGGGGGGGGGGTCTCTCACGTTGTAGAGGACGGCCGTCCAGCCCTCCATGGTGATGCACTGGAAGACGGTGAGCACGGCGAACAGGATGTTGTCGAACTGCGTGATGCCGTCGTTGGGTCCGATCCAGGTGTCGTTGCAGTCGTACATGTCGGGGCACTTCCTGACTCCGCAGGCGAACGCCAACTCCGACGAGTCCACCGTCTCGTTGTCTACGAAAGAGGGAGAAGCGCGCGCCGACACCGTCAAGGTCGCCAAAGTTGCGTCCCGCTTTTTTTTTGCAGATCACGTGACCATTTCACGTTTCATTGTTTGTTTTGCTCGTGCTTATTTGACCATCTTTAATCTTCAATCTGACTTGTGGAAACTGTCCAGCATCTATTACCTTTCAATGAGGTACGAAGAAGCAGGTTTGTGCATTTTCTACAAAACCTGTTAAAAGGTGAATTTTTAAACTTCAGGCCATCATTTCAGAATTATGGGATAGACGTAAATACCTTTCACGCGCTAAATACTGTTTACACAGGTTTCATATCTCAATCCGACAGTAAATACTGTGGCGTTGCGCGTGATTACAGAGTAGCTGTTGACTAATTAAGCCGTGGCTAAATTAGCCGGCGACTCTAATAATACCTCTGAGCTCGCCGAAAGCCTCAGAGTCTCAAACAAAGATGTTCACGCTGAGCAAGCCACACATTGCGTGAACCTGCTGGTAAACCTTTTAAAGCTAATTTAGAAGTAATCCAAAAAACAAAGCGGGACAATATTCTTCCGAAGGCTTTTGGTGTTGTGATAAAAGCAGGCGCACTCCAGAACAGGAGGCGCACACAGATGGCGAGGTGGTCAAGCCAAAATCTTTCCTGTGAGGGCCAGAGCGTGATGTGGTGCTCATCCAAGCGTCGGAACGCGAAGGTGAAAACACTTTAATTCAAACCCTGGGAGACTGATGCCAACGTGGTGTTTGGGTTGACGTTGGGCCGAGTTCCTCGTTCCCTCATTTTGATTGACACCGAAGTACGACGGGCGCCGATCTTAGCAAGCGGCGTACCGAGGAGGGCGTCGGACGGCAGGCAGGTCTGGTGGAGCTTCCCGCTGTAGAACTCCAGGCCGATGATGGCGAACATGAGGATGGCGAAGAACAGCAGCAGGCCGATCTGCAGCAGCGGGATCATGGCCTTCATGATGGACTTCAGCACAATCTGCAGGCCTTGAAGCAGACAAAACGCACCCTGTTCAGGAATAACGCCACGCGTGTTTTGGCGTCGTCTTTTTCGCCGACACGCGCTTTCTCTCACGCCGCGAACCGAAGAAGAACCACTTCACGTCATTTGCACTTGCAGGTCGGAGGTCAGCGAGCGACTCACTTGGGATGCCGGAGACGAGCTTGAGGGGTCTCAGCACTCGCACAGCCCTCAGGGTCCGAAGGTCGACCGGGATGTTCATGTGGGCGCCTGCTGTGGCCAGGATCCTACACACACACACACACACGCACACACACACACACCATGTCAACAGCACGTTTTATCTTTTATCGTCGGGTAAAACTCAAATTACCTGAAAATGAAAAACAGAAGAAAGGACAGGGACGTCCTTTAGGATCTGGTGCCAAATGTCTCCTTCCTTTCTTTTTTTTGTATGTTTTTAATGACAGAAAAAGGCGAAAGGCAACAAATGGATGTGAGGCAGTTCTGCAGACGAGGGATCTCAGAGGAAGGAAAAGGTGGATTAATAAAACTGATTTGCTGCCTCCCCGCGCGGCGGATCTATTCAGTGGCAGACTTGTATGGCGAGAGGCAAAGAATGCACAGCTACACCTGGCAGGCATTTCCACTCACGTCTACCCACGCACACATCGATGTCCCTCCACCTACACACAAACAATGAACAAAACAGCAACAGGGGCAAACAACGGGCACGTACACCAGCGATCCCATGTGAATGTTTCCTGTAAGCAGAGAAAAATGTTACAAACAAATGATGCAATGAAGCCGCTGTAACGAACACCCTTCACTAATTAACAAGCTGCTAGTTCGCTGCGTGATGTTTTCAACAGGTTGTGAAAATTATCCCAGAAATCTTAATTACTTCCAGATTATTTCAGATTTTTGTACAGATACAAATCTTATTAACTCATAAAATTTTGGGCAATGTTAGTGTGGGGGCTGGTGTGTGTGTGTGTGTGTGAGCAGGGGGTGGAAAGCACATGGCAGGAACTCAAGAGTAAGCCCACGCAGAATCTCTCCCCCTGAAAGCAGTGGGAGGGAGAGAGGCCGAATGAGCGAGTGAATGAAGCGAGGCGCCGCTCACTCTGCCAGGGGTGAAGCAGAAGGTGAACGCCGCGACACGTGCAGGACAACCGATGTAGTGTAGATGATGCACGAGAGCCCCCCCCCCCCCCCCCACCCCGAGGTCCGAGGTGGTGACGACCAAAGCCATTAGAGGGCGACTGCATATCTATTCACGTTCATCATGTGCATGCAGTTTGACAACCACAGCAACTTGTATCGCACAGTCTGACGTGCAGATGTTGCAAAAGGGTCGTTTTCTGCTGCGCAAACATTCATGCGCACACATGTTGGCGAATCAACACGACAAACATCAGGCTTTCTGTTATTTTGTGCCACTGGCGAGGAAACCGAACCATCCCTTTTACTTCGGTGTGGTTTATCAGGAGTAATTGGGTTTTATTGTGCCTGAATGTGCGTGAGTGAGTGAGCAGGTGAGTGAGCGAGCGTGTCAGACCCTGCAAGAGATGACACAGTGAGGGACTCTACGGCGTCTGTGGAAATAGCCTTCAAATCCAACGCGGCGAAGAACGCGAGCAGGCAGCAGCTCCTTCAAGGCTGCACTTTGGGCACAACAATTCAGTGGAGGCTTTGTCTAAATTAAAGCAAATATTCTCTCTGTTGGTCTTATGAATCATCCCTAGGCACACACACACACACACACACACACACACACACACACACACACACACACCGACGCCATCTTATTTTGTTTAGTTGAGAAATTGTTTTCCTGCACAAACTTAAATTCAATGAAACAGGCTGAAATCATACAAACCAACATTTTGCTTCAAATGTCATGCATTCATTTCTACTGTTTAGTCTCTACTCGCATCTGACATCTTTCAAAATACCCGCGTTGTGGTTTTGGTTAAAAGCGTCAGCTAACTGAAAAATGTAAAAATACACGTCATTACTTTCACTTCCTGCTTCACTGTCGCCGCACGCGGGACCGCGTCGAGCTCCAATCCGGGTTATAAATTCCCCGCTCGTGCTCCGGCAACCTGATTAATTCTTTGATTTGAACACAAGTAGGAGAAGAGACCCCCCCCCCGACACATTCCTTCAGTCCCTCTGCTGTGGTCCTGTTTGCCGGTTAGCCCCAGTTACCGGCAGAGCTCCAGGGCGGATTGTTCACCTTCTTGCGCGTTATGAAAAGGCCCGACCTCCTGGATCCTCTGACACAAGGTCATCTTGTAAAAATGAGACGTGAAATGTTTAGATTTTGTCATTTGCACTGTGCGTTCATCATTTAAACGGGCTGATCGTTTGGATGCAAACGCATTTTGGTTTCCTTCTGTATCCTTCAACCTATTTTAACGGGAGAAATATCCTGTTTTGCAGGTGTGGAAACACAGATAATGCGTAATAAAAGGATTGCACAAAGAGAAGTGTCATTTCACCAGGGCTTGGGTGGAGTAAAAGGAGAATAGGACACAGATTCAACTCCGTAGCGATCCAGCATGGAGTTGATGTTTGTACTGAGAGGCTGATCCTTTTCCTCGTGGCTCTTTGAGTGAAGCACTGTTGCGCCTCGTTATAGCAAACGGGCTCTGGAGAGGCTGAATTCATTACGTGCACAGAGAGCAGCGTCTCCCACACACCTCCACCTACACGAAGAACACCGCCAGAAACTACGGCGAGCAGCAGCCTCGCTGCTCGGCCACAGCTCCGCGTACGGTGATGTGCAGCCGCGTCAACCAATTAACGGCTTTGAATTAAATTAAGAAAAGAACAAAAACATGTATTCCATATTAGTCATACGATCATCGGCTGAGTGTGTTTTTCTCAAAGACACACTTATGAAAACACGTTTTAAATCGTATCTGAATTCACTTTAGAGTCACTGACATCGCCTGGAAGACGCTTCCAGCTGTAAAGTTCCATCTGCAGTTTGACTGGTTCTGAGGTTACGGATGCACTTGATTGCTACTTAATCAAACAGCACCGTTAAGACCTGCACATTAGTAACTACCTTATTAATCTGTTATTTCACTGAAGCATCTGCTGCAACGTCTAGTCACACCCAAAAACTAAAATGCTGAACATGCAGGCAGCTGGTTCCCTCGGAGGAACCCTAAGAGTGTGTCATGATCCGCTTTAAAGACTCCTGAATAAAGCCACGTTTGATGACGTCACCACAAACTAACACAACGCAGAGGGAAAGTGGGTGCGGCGAGTAATGATCCCCCACTGCCTGTTTTCTAACGTCGTTTTCTCGTCCTGCTGTGCGTGCACAACTCACAAAAGATGGCTGACGTGGTGCGGACAGCCATCTTTACCCCGCCGCCCTCTACGACGGGTTAATCCAGCGATACATGCAAATACACATTGGAGGATGCAGGGGACAGACTCGCCGTTGTGTGTCTGTCTGTGTGCCAGGTGGCTGATGAATCACTGCCGACTCCCACCCAGTTGTGTTATTCATCCTGTAAGAAGAGCCGTCTCGCTGTGAGAGCGACCAGAGGCACCCGGGGACCAACTTGTGGTCCGGTCGAAACTAATGGAACAGCGCGAGGGCAGCAGGTTCACTGGCAACCGCCTGAACCTTCAGCCGCACAACTGGAGTAAGACACAAGTCACTGGGGAGACGTTGTATTGCTAATCAAAAACGTCGGGCCCTTAACGATCCGCGTGCCGCAGGACACAATTGACCAAATTAGGAACCCGTGAATTAAATTGCTTTTGTGGGTGAATTGTTCTGGCTTCTCCGTTTTGCTACACACTCGTCACTTAGATTAAGGGTTTTAATTGAGCTCGTCGTCCCGGCAGATTCATTAATATGAAATGGAATGAATGCCGAGAGCGCTGGCCCAGTGGCCTCGATTTCATTCCCCACCGGCCTCCACCACACATGTGTGTTTTCTTTTAAGTCTGACTTACTTCTACTGTGCCACCGGTGTGTGTGTGTGTGTGTGTGTGTGTGTGCGTGTGTGTGTGAGGAGAGCCGCGTGTGTTCGAGTCGGAAAATGTGTCAGACAGGTGGCAGGAAAGCGGGTCGCCGGTTAAAAGCCGCGGCTGGAACCGGGCGAGATGATCGGCGGAGCGCCGAACGAACCCCATCGAGTCGTCAGTTATACGAGAAGAACTTTGCCAACAGTTGAGTCCATTTTGACCGCGGGGCATTTTAAGAGGGACTTCACCGTTCACAGTTACGACAAAGCGCACTTCCTGGACTTGAGATCTGATTCCACAGCTTCCTCCTCAGCTGTTACTTTCTCACATCAACCTGATCTCCAAAACCTGCTCGTAAACATGGATACGAAAGTCTTGAACATACAAATTGGTAACCATACATAGGAGCTGGCGGCGGTTAACCACGCCCCCTGAGTGAACAACATGGCGGACCATGTCGGATTCTTGAGTGAACGTCTCTCCGCCATGTTGGATTTTTTGAGGGGGTTAGGGTTAATATTCTATTCTTACAAGTTAACATTGATTTCTCGTTAAAAATGCAATCATAACACGTTTATTTTACATGGTTAGACTTCACGAAGTGTGTTTACGGGGCGCAGGTCCCCGTTCACTTTGAACAGGGCGACGTCATCAGCTCCAGTCCGTATTTATTCAGTATGGATCACTACGAATTTGTATGTTCAAGATTTTCGAACACATTTTTACGAACAGCTTTTGGAGATCAGGCTGCTCAGATGCATTGAAATGAAGTCGGCTTGTGTGCATTCTGCTCTTTCTCTTCTGTGTTCCACAAGTCATAAACCAAATCCTCTATCACACAACTGAGGAAACATCTGCTAAAAGTGCATCAACGCTGCCGCTGGCCGTTATGTAAGACGCACGTTGTTCTGGAGGACTGTAATTGGGTTCACAACTCGCTCTGAACTCAAACTGTTACACAACTCGCACCGCTGGCCTCCGAGTGATAGCCTACGCCTCTATTCATAGCAACACTCACATTGGCAACGCGTCGATGGTAAAAACAGCAGTGAACTCGTCCACAACCTGCTGGAGAGAAACGAGCCGTCGCTTTGAACAAACAGCGCTTTGGTTTTTCGCAAAAGTGTCTTGTGAGCAAACTGACGCCGGACGGGAGACTTTCAGAAAGGCTAGAAAGGTTAGAAAGGCGTTTGTGCCGCCGCCGCCGCCGCCGCCGCTAACCGGTCGGGAGACGCGATGCCGACGGGCCTTTTGTGCAAGAAGACAAGGCGGCGCGATGTCAGCCATCTTTCCCGGGTGCAAAGGACCCACGCGCTGCAGGAGTGGTCGCACTGTTTAACTCCAGCGCAGTTAATTCAGCCAAGCGTCCTCTCCGCCTTCCACGCGCTCCCTCAGCGCGTTTGCATAACAGCGCTGCTGCGTTCTCGTTTAATTCACACGGGTCCCGGGGGCGAGCCGGAGAGGGTTTTAGACACAACGGCCAATCCACTCATCCACCCACCCATCGCTGCCTGCAGAGCCACGGAAACACACGCGGCCGTTGCGTTTATGCGTCGCGTTTTTCCTACGGAGTGTTTACAACGTACAGAATGCGCTAATGGAGGATGTTAAACAACGTCTAATCGACAGCGGAGACCCGCGTATCGGGCCGAGCTCCGCTGACCACGTGTCAGACACGAGGCGCAGATCGCCAGCCTCAAAACGCAGCACGAGCGTGCACGAGCGTGCACGAGCGTGCACGGCAACAACGGTGACAAGAGCGGCGTCACGCGCATGGAAGCGCCAACATTAACTTAACAATCAGCGTCTGGAAATGAGTCTTTTGGTTCACCGGCCACAGCCTTGTAAAGTTAAAATGAATGATTTCAAATGAATTGCCGCAGAGGATTCTTTTTTATTTTTTTTATTTTTTCCCGTCACTCTCCAGCACAATTAGTAAAGTTTGTAATTCGTAATGGAGTTTGACTACATTTCAAATTAAAAGAGCGCATTGGGATCTCATACGTTACATGGACTTTTGATATTGATATTGAAACCTTTCAGAAACCTCTAGAAGTCATTTAGAATGAAGCTGGTAACCTTTGTCTAACAAATTGATTGATTAATATATCGTTTATTATATTATATATATGCATTAGTTTGCATTTTTCTTCGCTATTGGTCCCATTAGTCGCTTAAGACATAGAAGGCACATTTTATGACTTTCATTAAGACTTTCCTCAAAGGACATAAACCTTCTTCACTTCTTCTGTCAGATCTAAGAAGCTGTTGCTTTAAGATTGGAGCTCAAAATAATGAATTTAATGACATGAAGTTACCTTTTAAATCAGAATGATACAAACAGCGCATATTCCTTTTGCATAGTGGACGACAACGTCTACAATTCAGGCACCATAACAGGACGTAACTTAAAGCATCAGTAAAAACCAAGGTTGCAGAATAAATAAAAATACCAGGTGTTCCAGGTTGTCATGGTGACCAAAAAGGAGACTAGCGGCGTGATGAATGCAACTTCCTGTGGTAGAAAAACGGTGGGGTGGCTGATGCTGCATGGTAAATGGATTTGAATATAATACGGCTTTCATATTACATGTCATTCACCCATTCACACCCATTCATACACCGATGACGGGGGGGGGGGCACCATGCAAGGTGCCACCTTCTGACATTCACACCAGCGGTGCACCAACTCGGCGTAAAGCTTCTTTCCCACAAGCGACGTGAAGTAGAAGAGCAGGGGGATGAAACGTCTCCTCCTCACTCTGCTAAACAATACAAAATGCAACCCGATGTTACGATACGAGAAACCAGGCAGTGACACGAGGTACTGCGGTGAACCCTGGAATGAGTGGCTTCCACAAAACCAAGACATTGTTAATGTGAGTCTTCTTCTGGAGAATATATTATTAAGCCTCCGGACAGAAGAAGGAGAAAAAAAATAGTATGAAAAGAACTTTGGACACTACTGCCGATCCAAAGTCTTCGTGCTGCTGCTTCGCTCGGCTTCCATTGGCTCGCCGGCGGAGTGCGGGCGATGTTCAAAAAGCGGATCAGCCACAGCAAAAGGAATTTTAATTCCTGCTTCCAAAAGCAGATTTCGCCAGCGTGCCGCTTGGCGAGTGGTAACTTGGTAATACGTTGACCATGTTTACAACAAACATTTCCCACTTCCAGCTCACCCGCTCAGCACGACGATGAAGTCCATGACGTTCCAGCCGTTCCTCAGGTAGGAGCCTTTATGGAACACAAAACCGAGGGCCAACAGCTTTATGCCGGCCTCGAAGCAGAAGATCCCGATGAAGTACGGCTCCGTCTTCTCCTGTGGAAGCAACGGACGGGACCGTTTCAGCGTTAATATTGTCACGGTGGAGCTCATCCCAAGGCTTCCTGTCTTCCTCACCAGTCTCTTTGCCATGGGGGTCTTATCTTCTCCGGGGAGGTGCTGCTCCAGGGCCAGGACGACACAGTTGGCGGTGATGGTGGCCAGGATCATGTACTCGAATGGTGTAAAGGCCACAAAGTTAAGGGAAGCTTTTCAACACAAAGAGGAAACTAACACGTACAAATAAAACTAATTCTGATACAAATACATAACGATACATTGTGCCTCATTAAACAAAATATGCGTATTCTGAGTTAAACAAGCCCACATGTATAAGCCACTATCGATAGGAGCGTTATTCTTGATCTAGATAAACAATATTTTTTCTGAATTTTTCGAAAAATACTCTAAAGAGCATCCGGTTTAGTGCAAAAGACCTGGATGGTTGGATGATTACATGACAGATGAATTATGGCACGGTTCATATTCTCTGGCGTTGGAGGCAATCTGTTAGAGAGACGGCAGTATCCATGGCAACGTGCTTTTAAAAGTGTTCACCGCTGAGAGGAGAAAGAGGCAGGTTAGAGAGGGAGGTTTAAACTACACAAACTACACAAACTACAGCGGATCGCACGTTTCCCGCTGACGCCACATTCACTTCAGTGTGTCACATCCTCAGCACGTGATCCCCTCGCTGCTGGGGGAGATCTGTCAGAAAATGAATTTCAAGTACTAATCCTAGAAAGTCATTATTAATGATGAGAACATAATAAGAATTTCATGTTTTTTATCATGTAATATTTTAGAGCTGAATTGAACTGCCAATTAAATGATGGATGGAATAACAAAAAGAAACCCACAATTAAGTCATTTTTTAAGCAGAAATGTTGAGCACGATGTAGTTCCAGCTCCTTTGTCGCATACAGGGCGTAAATGTTGTTGCCGCGGACGTTTTGGGGGAAAACTAGTTGCAGCTTTAAGGTACTTGAACGTTTGTGTTGATAACCTCAAATCATCCAAATGACTCACAACTGGATCCCTGCACGAACTTTAAATAGGAACAAGACTCTCACCTCATCTCTCACCTGTCACAGGTAGAATTGGATGGGAGATCACATTTCTGCGTGTTTTGGGTTTTTTAGTTTGAAGTTTTGAAGCTTCAAAGTTCCCGTTATTTCGAGGTGCTCTTGCGTAGCTTCTACGTTTTCTCAGTAACGGCGTGCACCCCGTCGCATTTTTTCCTCCCGGCTGAAACACCTGTTGCTGTGTGTGTCTTTATGGCCCCTGAGGACACAGTATATGTGCACACGTGTGAATGAGCGCCGCTTGTGACCCGTCCGTGCCGGTGACTTCCAGTCCCGCGGAGTTCCCATGAGGCAGCTGCTCCTTGTTATTAATTTCCCTGCGTTGAGTGAAATGGGGTCAGTGACTCACAGAGGAGTCTGGGGGAGCGATGGGGGCCCCTGGGACCCCCACTGACTCACGTCGACGGGTCCACGTCGTTGCCATCGAAGACAGAAAATAGCTGAAGTGGGAAATACTTAATAAATCTCGCCCCCTCCAGCGGCCCTTTACTGTCTGTTGCCTGCAGCAGAGACGTGCTGGTTGGGGACAAATCACATACAGGAATCCATCTCATGGTCCTAACAGCTGATTATTGGGTTTGTGAATTGATTAATAGGATGACAGGGTGGGTTTATCTGGGCCTTACTTTTGCACTTTCATCAAACTTTCACTTCATTTGTGGCTGTTTCTTTTTCACCAGCGACATTCATGACGTTTGCAACAATATATTAGTTGAAACTCCATCAAATATGCTGAAAGAAATTCAGTGAATCAGTACGATCTCTAAATGTTTGGTATTATTTTCACATAAATACTTTAATTATTCCTCAAAAATGTAAACTTATATTCTGCAGTTACTTAATCAAAATTAAATTCTCATATGCAAATGAACAGAAACCATTGGCTGCCTGGATGGTAGAGAAAAAAAAAGTAAGAAAGCTGGTCAGCAGGGATGTAATGAAAGGCTGCAATGCATTTATCTATTGATTGCTTTTGAGATGTTTCTATGCCTTCTATAAAGAAATATCAACGGTGAAAAACACACAGATACGTATGTATAAGTGTGAAGTAATATGCAACAAACAGAAGCACATGGAGCAGGTGCAGCAGGAGATTCCGTGTTGCTCCCTCTGGTAAATGACGCAAAGCGATTAATCGACTATTACTGCACTAGACGGTTGATTTTCTCTGGCAGGATCCTTTCACTTAACTCTATGGTGCACGTCCTCCTACAATGGGCAAAAGAAGTGCCGGCATCTTCTAAACGTGTGAGAAACACCATACTGCAACACCCCAATCGTGCACGAATATATAAAATCCAACAAACACCATCGCAGCGAATGTGAACGCATCAGCTTTTCACTTGCAGTCTCCAAAGTTGGGACGCTGTGAGCAATATCTGGGTGTCACCCGGCCAATACTCTGACATGTGCTGCTTTCACAGCCCACGATCCACCACAGTACCACTGGCCAGCTCTCTCCCACATACCTCTACCTCCGTGATACCGACAGTCACATCTCCATGCCGCCTGGCCAGCTAGTCTTGACCACTAGCCCCACTCCCACTCACAAAGCAGAGCCGGCGGTTAGGTAACAGTGGGAGACTGGCATGCTGCACTGAAGGGGGTGTAAGACAGGAGGAGCAGTGGGTAGATATGGCAACTGATGCCGTTTCAAAATGTAAAAGTATTGCACGAGATTTATCGGGGGAAAAAAAACTCACTAATTAAAGCAAACAAAAACAAACTGATCTGAGTGAAGGAGACGAGGACACTGAATGGATTCGGACGCTTGGCCTGCAGTTGGTGGCTCTCCACATTTATGCACTTCAGCACCCAGCAGATCATGTTAAATGAAATGGCTGCACCTGCTGAGGAAATAACACTGCTGCTCTTTGCTGGAGCTGCACAAGTTCAGGGGAGATAAAGCGCTGGGCCACGGCGCTGTGGGCGTACAACCGACACCCACTCACGAGCACCACGGCAGCAGAGCCGTGCGCCTACACATGCCGCCTCCACAGTGAGCAGAGCTGCCTCCCAACAATCACCACATGCTAACTTTGTGTCACACCACATTCATTAATCTCCCGCTTCCACCAGCAGCTGGAGGTCACATGAGAAAACACCAAACACGTAACAAGAAGTTGTGAAGCGCAACACATGAATCTCCCCCTGCAGGTGTCGCGCGCTGCCCGTCGCTGTCCGCGGTGCTGAAGCGACAACTTCAGAGCACGTTTCCTGCGGGAAGGATATGGCCATTCGATGATCCGCCTCGCGGTTCTCCTGATGATGTTGTCCTCTGCGAATATGAAGAGCGACCGGTTGACGGTGAGGCAGTTCTGCCGGTGGGGGACGGGGTTGTACATGGCCATGGTCCGGGCCCGCTGAGCCTTGGCTTGCCGTATGGAAGCCGTGAGCCCCGCAGCCACCGCCGCCGCGTCCTGTCCCTCCCCGCCGCGCTCCGGGTCCCCGTCTCCGGAGTCCACCGCGCCGGGAGCGAACTCGTCTCCGAAGCGAGCCATTCTGCAAAAGAGATGAGGAGACCACCGGCTTAGATTGCTGTTTTTTCCCCCCCCCCGCTAAGTGGAGCGAAGTGGGGAAGGAAAAGAAAAAGAAAAAAGGATCCACCTTTAATCCGGTGACCGCTTTTCGAGCGCCAATATTCCCCAAAAGTTGCGGATTCCTATCACTCCATTTCCACAAGAAAAAAAAAACCCGGGTTATATCATTCAGTCGGCTAATATTCTAGGAGAGAGAATCAGGCGAACAAGCGGCAGAATCTGGTCATCTCTGGTCTCCCATCCGTTTAACAGCGCGTTACAACCAGTTCTGAGCAACTTTTAATGTGCGTCTGTAAACTCTGCGGGCGAGCTCACATCCACCGAGTCAATATCGATTCTCTATCAGCGGTCCTCTGAGATGGGACCTGACAACGCGGCAGCTGCGTGATCAAAAACTACTCTGTGCTCATCGGGGAGAGAAATCCGAGGGAAGTCTTCGCAAACTTTACGCATCTTCTCCACCCGGTAAACTTGACAAAAGGAAGATCTCACGTGAAAGGAAGCCGGTGAACGCGTCTGGGACAGATTCTTTAAATTATAATGAGGAAAAAAAAGGTAATTCTCTAATGGGTGAGGAAGAAGCAGCGGTGGAGTTGCTTGAGTCGCCAGGTGATCCTTCGGTCGTTTCACCTGCTGGAGAATGAACACGCAGCCAGCAGCGCAGCGGCACCAGCAGCTCCCTCCCACGGCCCAGTTTCATGATGGAGATTTCAATCTGAATGAAGGCTGCTGGAGAGGAGGGACATACATTTTGTAACCATAGCAATTAGAGTTGGCTGAGGATGAACAAAAACAGTCTTTAAAAAAAAAAAAAAAAGGAAAAAAGAGCCTATACACAGCAGGCTGTGTGGGTATCAGAAAATATGTAAATATGTTAGTGGGTGCAGAGGCAAGGTGTGAAATTATATTTAATATTAAAAGGAGAGACAATGCAGAGACAAACAATTAAAGGTGATTTATCACAAAGGGGCCTCGCTCATTTCCCACAGCAGCATTGTCATATTTTCATTAATGGACACAGACGTGCACTATTAGAAACATTTACAAACTAGGCCATTGTGCTAATATTGGAGTAAAAATAGAGCATGAAATAGATCGTAGGGCTGCTCCCTTTTTGAGGGGTCGTTTTCGTGCTCAGTGCCACGAGTGAGACCTCGTTGGGCAACCGGGCTCCCTCGCTCCATCTGCTGCTCTCCTCCCTTCCCCACCGCTCCCTGAAGATGACCACTTCAGCCCCCCCACGGACGCGGCGTTATCCAATCGAGGCTGAAGCCGCTTGTTTGCCACTTCAAACCAACGCAAAATCAAACCGGGTCATCACCCCTGACACGCGACGCGACCCTTTCCTGCTGGCTGACACACTCCAACGTGCAGCAGCACAACGCAGGTATCAAAGTGTGCAGACGGGCAGCGAGCGGGGAGGGAGGGGGGGAGGAGGGGGGGGGATTGCAAAAGCAAGCCAAGAGAGAGTGACAAATATACGCTTGGCAAACAAGTCGGGATCTGGGGGAGAAGAGGGAGAAAAACAAATCGATTCAACAGGATATGAATAAGTGCATCTCGTCCTAATCTGCATGAAGCAGGCGGGCGTTTCACTTTCATGCAAAGCAGGAAGCAACAAAAGGCCACGCTGACCTACTCAGTGCAGCATGCAGGATGTAACAGGGGGGCAATTAGCACCATTTGTACAATCGGCTATTCTGCACAAGCAATATATCTCACAATCACTTTTTTTCTCACTAAAAATGCTATTAATTACAAAAAAATAATGCACTTGTTAGTGAACTAACAGAAAATATTTGACCATCTCTGCTATCAGTACATTTCTGTGTGTGTGTTGGTGTGTGTCTGTCTCTCGCTCTCTCTTTGCTGTTGTTTCCATAGCGACATAGCTCCCTTGAATTCCTGCGCCGTTCGTTCTTTTCATTTCTGCCAACAAAAGCAATGTTGCACAATGGAGCAACCTCTTCCTACAGACATCACCTTCACCCGACACACACACACACCCACACCCACACCGTGCATCCATCAGGGTCATTGCACAAACAGGAAGCAAACTGACAGCTCCGCCACTACAAGTCCGTATATGATCAGCTGTGTTCTGCTTTAGGGCTGTTTGGGCTTTTGTTTCCTCGCAGCCGACTCAAAGGCGTCCGAAAATAGCTCGTGTGAACTGTTAGCGGATCAAAGCAGAGGAGCTCACATCAATTTGCTTGGACCCCTACCAAAGTTTTAATAATGACATTTTACTGGGAGAGGAAAAGGGCTTGACGGTGAGGCCACGTCGGCCTACCGTGTGGTTTTATGCCGGCGGTCCAGCGGACCACATCTTTAGAAATAGCTCGCAGGAAGACAGGCGAAGGGAGGCTGCGGGCGACGGGGCGCCGCGGGTTCAAACGTTAATGGGCTTACTTTGTGCCACAACTCTGAAGAGCATTTATATAATTGCAGACAGGCTTTCATCCAGCAATGACTGGAGTGGTTTTTAGCATTTTATTTTTCTTGCTGTTGCCTGGCAACAGACATCCTCTCATACTGAGTTGTGTCAGTTCAATTCAACCAATAACCGCCACTTATACCGGCGCTGATTGGCGTGACGGCGTGCACGGTTTACCTAGAAGCATGTTAACGTTGTTGTTACGTCAGATAAAACTCTGCAGATCAACACCTAAATTAAGACAAGGATATGTTGCAAATTCAACAGTGACAAAAAATAACTTTCCTCAAAGGTCATATTGTGCAGAAATTTAACATCACTCGTTGATCTTGTGTTTTTCTCAACATGTTACACAATATGAACATTTCAGTGACTGTTTAAATCAACAATGTACAAATTCAGCGGCCGAGCTGTAGATGCATCATCCGATGGATTCCTGTTGCTTCTACTTTGATGCCCTAGCATCCCCTAATGGACGAATGACCGCAACACATGCACGAGCTCTCATATTAATGCTCGGCTGTTCTTTTCTTGGTCTCCACGTTTAATGTTTTGTGCGGTGGCTGCTCACGCATTCAACACTACGCAGGTTACAAATAAGAGCCTTTGCAAACGTTAGTGGTGGAGGACAAAACACTGACATAAGTCTAATGTTTAAGTGTCTGAATGCGAGAGAGAAAAGTAAGAAAAAGATGGAGAGCCGGTGAGGGGATGACAGTGAAGTGGGTTTGAGTGGGCGGTGGCGGTAAAGAGGAATCAGAGGACGTAGGAAGGAGGATGGGGGCTATTGGCGGGTTGTGGGGGGTCTACACTGATGGAGTACCACTCTTGAGCGGAGTGGTTGGAAGCAGATAATCAGAGCGATGTGGCTCCAGAGTTCGAGAGTTCACATGCGAGCACTCTCAGCGCCGCCATTAAAAGCGCTACCCAGCATCTGATTACAGTAAACCGCGTCAGCAATGTTGCACAGATGTAAAAATACAAAAGAAACAACCGTCTGACCGATGAAAGCAGAGGGAACTGATTTGGTGAAGCACTGCCGGACACAAAGGGAGCCTCATGCGTCGCTGGTACGGAGCAACATTTGAAACAAGCACTTTAGTGATTGCTGGATAAAGAATGACACTTAGGGTTGTTTTGTTGCGCACACGTTAAACATGTAAACCACGTAAACCGCACGCAGCCCTAGCAAACCCCGTTTTGAGGGTTAGGACGTCTTCGATGCGTGATTGGATTGGAGTTATATTAAACACGTTTTTAAGAACACAACGACACTCAAAATGCATTTTGGTGGGAAAAGTTCAAAGTAAAAAATAAAAACTCACAATTTCACAGGTTACCATTAAATCTCTCTCCTAAAGATGTGTTATTATACAGCTCGTCGGTTCATTGTGGCTAACATGTTAGCACAAAGCTACACGAGAGTCTCCGTGGCTCCACTCAGCTCCTGTGTGACTAAAAGCTCAAACTAGGTCACTTCGTGTGCCTTACATGTAATAATTGTTTTAATTTAAGTTGACATTTTAACATTGGATGTTGTAATGAGTTTTATTACAAAGTTAAACAATATTGTAATCTGTGTTCTTCTGGGACTCTTGGGGTAATAATCTCCTCCAATCACAAGCATGCATTCGCCCAGTAAAAGTGTGCAAAAGGCGTAGTCAGCCAATCAGGATGTGCACACCGGAATACGCGCGGACCACCGGAGTATACGAGTCGTGGTCCCGCGCGAGAAGCCTCAGCCTGCGGCGGCGGAGCGACGGGGCCCTTCCTGTAGAGGGCGCCGCCTGTGCTCACAGAACCAGGGATACGATATCGTGACCTTTGCTCCCACGCAGGGTTCAAGAGATTCAAGCTAAACCTTTAGTTTATCGTCATTTAAGCCAATATTCTTTTAAGAGTTATAGATTAGTGCAGCTTAAAATGAGGCAATGAATTAAAATCAGTTGGTAGGAACAGAGCGATCGTTGATGTTAGTTATTCTCGTGCTTCTCCTGTAATGAGTCAAAGTCAAAGTGTCTGCTCACCATTAGAATCAAACATCACGTTGTTGTTGTGATATTTCACAACCGTGGACCTCGTTTGATGTTTAGAATAAAGGCTTTTGGCTTCACTGTGTGTTCAACGGCTGACCTTGACCTCCGGCGGCCGTCCTTTTACCCCGGCACAACGTTCCTCCTCCTCCTCCTCCTCCTCCTCCATGGAGATGTATCATCTCTACACATGCAACTGAAGATGGATCATTTGCCTCTGAATCTCTTTTGTACTTACTCCCACTCCTTCCTGCGGGCCTGCGGCGTGCTCTGGATTTTGTGAGCCTGGTGAGCCATGATGATGTCTTTCTGCTCCACGAGGCCGCCGCGCCGCCGCTGCACGCCGTGGGGGCTCAGCGACCCCGAACCCTGATCGGACGAGGCGTCTTCCCGACCGCACGGCACGTCGAAGCTGGCGGCTCGAGGGGGCAGCCCCTGGTACTCGGAGAGGCCGTGGGGCACCTGCAGGGAGCTGGAGCGGGCTCCCTGCGCCAGGCCGTGGCGGGGGCTGGCCCCGGACGTCCTCCAGGGCTCAGGCTCGGGGAGGGACAGGGAGGACTGCACGTGCGTCCTTCCACCTGGACCGGAGCCGGACGGGGACAGGGGGCCGGGCGAGAGGGAGCGGGAGAGGGACTGGTCTGAACTGGCGAGCATCTCTACGGGGGATGGCGGGCGGGGGCGTCACCATAATGCTGCAAGACGGGACAAAGGGGGGGAGGACGAAAGCGTTTATGAGTGAGAACTGGTGACACACGTGAAACATTTCACATCCAGCCTGTCCGCTCTCTCTGTGTCTCTATTTTTAGCAGCGATAGCTTGGCTCTAGCGACCGTGTACCACATTGATCCAGGTTGTAACATGTCACATGGATTTGTGCTCCCCAGACGGCGAAAGCCATTACCGCACCTGTCCCAGGTACCACGAGTACGATTTGCTTATTGTCTCACCTTCTTTCAGCAGATAAAGCGACGGCTTCAGAATCAATGCAAAAGGTGTTAGTGTCTAAATCTAAAAAAAAATATTTTTTTGGAGGCAAAAGACAAAGAGGAACAAACGCTTCGACCCAGCAGGAGACATTGAACACTCCACTTTCTTGCTTTAACTTGGTTGTGTGTGTGTGTGTGTGTGTGTGTGTGTGTGTGTGTGTGTGTGTGCGCGCGTGCGTGTGTGTGTGTCTGAGACAGGGAAGCAATGAGGGAGATGAGGCGTTTGAGGCGAGCCAGTCAGACAGACGAAACAAGGTTCTTCCCACTCAGCCGACTCCGGAAAAAGAAGAAGAAGCAGCAGCAGAAGAAGAAGAGGACGACGCGCGCGGGGAGCGCTGATCGCGGAAGGCGCGGTGACTCACGCGCACGCAGCGCGGGGGGGCTTCCTCCGACATGAACCGGGCACGGCGCGCTCAGGCTCTCTGTCGGCGTGTGACCCCCGCGGAACGTGCAAGTTCACGAACACAGCGGGTCAGAGAGGAGATGAAATCACGCGCACGTCTCGGGGTTTTTCCCGCGTTGGATGAAAACGCGCATAAATGAGACGGATCGGTCCGAGAGGAGCGTCGCAGCGGGGCGCCTGAACGCAACGATCAGCTGTGTGCCAGATGTTGTTATAAATAACATTATTCCCCGATCGCCTCTAATTAGCGCACTGAAACAACTGGCAGCCCCCCCCCCCTCACCTCACCCCTCCTCCCCCTCGTTAACAGGTACTGTTCATTAGGACGCAGCTATTTATTTGCATTGTTTTTGTAATTCCTGCGGAGTTGATGAAGAAGTGAATAGATGGATCAGACGCCACAAATGCTCACAGGAGGGGAGCGACGCCACAGTGAAGTAACGCGACGATGAACGGACCCGAGGCGCGCGCTTTCCCCTTACCTTGTTCCTTCATCGTTCAGGTGGATCCTCCGAATCCAGCCGCTCCCACTCGCTCCTCCACTCAGTTTGCAGGGTTTTCGAAGGTGGTCTGAGGACGCGTCTTCTTCTTCTTCCTCTTCTTCTTCTTCTTCTTCTCCCCCTGAGTGGTGATCGCGGCTCGCTTTTTTTGTTTGTTGTCTATAAATACCGCGGCGTGGCCGGCAGCCAGAGGAGCGCGGGCTTCACGTGAAGAGGCGCGAGGCGCGCGGATCAATGCCCGTCGTCCTCACCGGCTGAGCGGCGGGGACGTGACTCACGTCACGCGGCTCACGGCGGACTCCGCGCCGACACCGTTCAACCCGCCCGCAGGTCGGAGTCACGTATTCGGGTTGATTAATGCAACAGGTGCGCGTGATGGTGACCGTGCGCGCTGACGATGGGGCACTAAAGCCGCACACCTGACGCACACCTGACGCACAGCAGGTGCAGCGACAGAGGACTTCCTGGAGCAGCAGGGCCGCCACGGCCCTTTTGGGGAGGGGGGGGGGGCACAGGTGTAGATTTGGTTTATGCCCCCACCCCTCAAAAATAAAGTATTCAGATCCAGAAGTAGAAGAAAGTAGAAACAAACACAGCACTTCAGTGTTATAATAATAGTAGTGTAGTAGTTTTATTGCTAATACATCAACATGTAATGAATGGGAGGAGCTGAAATGTTTGCAGATAGTTCCTTGCAGGAAACTTATAATAATACCTATAATCAGGAATATATATATGCTTATAAAATGTGTACATTCACATATACATTTGTTCTTTAGTTGACACGTTTGCAGCATTCAGCCAGGAGAGTACAAACAAAAAGTACAATTTCTTCAAGAAAGCCAAACTACAAAGTGGTTTGAGTTTTTAAAAGAAGTGTAAAAGCAACGATTAAAACAGCTGAGTGGCATAACATTGTCTTTCTTGTGACTTACCAGAAATGATCTGTTCTTGAGTTATTCATTTAGTAACGAGTAGACTTTTAAAATACTCTGTTTTTCTCAGAGCGACGCTGCGTGGAAGATAATTGTTATTGAAATAAGGCGCTGGAGCAGATGTGTGTTGTGAAGGTGTTTCTTATTGTGTGCTTTTCAACGTTATCGGCGTGCTCGCTTTGGGGAACGTGGCGGTGAGTCGCTGTAATGATTTGAAATGTCTGATGCTGTTTATGTTTAGTAGCCAACGTAAAGGTTTGACGAGTGAACTCAAACTAAATCGATTGTTGTCTGGAGGGGATAAGGTGGACATTTGCATACAACAGATAGAACTCCTAAACTTCCCGAGCTGATTCCATTGATGGTTTTTGTTTTAAGAGTTTAGACATGCAAATGAAGGAATGTCTGATCAAATACGTCTTCATTCCACAAACAACAAAACAGCATTTAAAAGTCCATTTTTGTCATTTTTTTGGCAGCAAAATGTTATTTTTATTAATCACACCATGAAATATGAGATATAATATAAATATCAAATACATGTTAGCGGTTTCCTTTCCACCAGTTTGACAGAAGCCTGATTCTCTGCTCAAATGTCTCCATAAACCTCAGTGTCTCCGTAGTTGCTGTCAGCCGTGTCCCTGAAGGTCTTTTTTCTAGTGTGCCGATGCCATATTGGATATGGATTTATGTAATCTAGCAGAATCATCACTGTGAGGAAATAATTGCCGTCTTATCCTGCAGGCGGCCAAGTGGATGCATGACGTGGAGACGCCAAGCAGACATATTAGAAATAAACCATATGTGTGTGTGTGTGTGTGTGTGTGTGTACTGGTGGACAGAAATGGAAAATGTTCCTTCAAATGTCTCTGATTGATGTGAACACTCGGCCCGAGCTTCATGCGATCAGGAGTTGTGCTTTAATGATTCGGACGAGTTACAGATCTTGAAGTTCTTTCGTCCTCAGATGCTTCAGAACCTTTTGTTCATGACACCTTAAAATAAAATATAGAAATTCTACTTGAGCAGTTCACCCAAACGATGATTTGGTTTCATCTGATTACAGTTTGAATGTACGATGAGGTGAACTATTAAACTATTAAAGGACACTGAATCCTCTCAGGAGAAGCTTATTTTGTGACTTTCATAAGATTTGCGTCCAGAGAAGAAATATTTCTGTCTAAAATGGCAAAGAAGGGAAACGTGTATTTTAATCATCAAGAGTCAGTTTATTTTCATCTAAAATGCAAAGGACATAACAGGATTTGAGAATAAATCCAGGGTTGAGTGCACAAAAATGTTTCACTGCAAGCGATTATGTACAAGAATGAAATCAACAAATCTCTACAGGATCCAACAGGTACTGCATCGATATTTAGAGTCAACTTTTTGAACCCAACAACGTAGACTAGACGGGACGTGGATTCATTTGATTATTTTTTATTTCTTTTTTTAATCACAGCACATTGATTAATTTACATTTGAATGAACTTTTCTTGCTGAATCAAAAGTTCACCGTTAGTGCATAAAGGACCGTCGAGTGCTCGTCTTTCACTAAAGAGGTCAGAGGTCAGTTACGTGGCCTCATAAACGGGCCGGTTATCTTTAACTCGTAAAGGTGAACGAGCAAAATTCTTCTGTTTACCCAAACGCGCTACCCACAAATACATCGGCTAGCAAATTCAACTTGATTGTACCGCCAGCGTTTAATTAACGTGACCGTTAGTGCGTCATTTCAATACTATTAGACTTTATTCTTTTTGCCTGCAGCACAAAGAATAGTAGATTTTTTTTCTGTGACGTTATACAGAAACACAACTTCAGTCTGGGTGTAAATTATGAAGACAATTAGCTATAAATTCCTGATTGAGATCATTGTGTGTGTCTATTTAAAAAGGTTGTCTTTTGCTCGGTAACAGCTGCCGATAGGAAAGGTTTCTGCACGGAGTGATGAGGAATATCTACACACTTTGATCACCACGCGTCTGATCACCTTTACCTGCCAGTTAGTCCAAGAAACAACACCGCGTGTGGATGGAAATACGCCTCTACGGAATACAAGATAAAAATGGATTTGAAAGCTATAATTCAACACTATGCGTGCTATAGTAGAGACCCCAAAACACTCACAATCAGCTTAAATCAAATATGGAAGGAACCATTTCTCAGAACACAGATGAGTTTAAATACATGAGTTACGCAATTCTTCTTCTTTTTTTACTTTTTTCTTGCTTTTTTAAAACCTCCAGTGAGGAATAACGAAAGTGCTCTGGTCAAACCTGTAAAAAAATAATTTATACACACCCCCTCCCCCGCCCGCCGTCTGGCTGGAGGGTTTTGTCACAAAAATGGTCGACGACCGCTCCCGCTCATCGATGGTCCTCCTCCCAGTCGGCGCCGCCCCTCGGCCGGATTAGTTGTCATTTGTTAAAGGGAAGGCAGGCCGGCAGCGTGACGGTGGAACAGGACGGGCCCGCCAAGGGCTCCGCCACCTCCCCCTCCAGCTCTGTCCACGTTCCCTTCTCTGGGCTGTAGCAGATGGTGGAAGACTTATAGGCCCCCTGAGGAGAAACACAAGGCGGAGTCACTCCCCTGGTTGCTCTCGGCGCCGGGCGGGTTTTCAGGAGCTCCTCGACTGCAAAGATCAAGTCTGGCGGCTTTCTGCAAACGCTTAAAAAGAGAAGCGCGAGGCGCGAGGGCCGTACCATGCTCCAGCTGTAGCCCCCCACCAGGAAGATGCTGTCGTCAAACACGGCGCAGCCCGGCCCGCTGCGCCCCTCCAAGATGGGCGTCTGCAGGGATGTTCCACTGGTCGGCCTTCGGGTCGTAGCACTCCACCAGCATCACGTCCAGGTGGGAGAAACCTGCGAGAAGGAACGAAAGACCTTCTTAAACTGGTGCATTGTGGTGTATCGGGTAAATGGGGGTGCAAGGGGGGGGGGGGGGGCACGTTCTGCTCCTTGTTTGGCTTTGAAAGGCCCCTGAAAACACGTTTTCCAGCCGCCAGCTGGGAACGACGGGTTCCTACGTGAGCGCTGTCCACCAGCTGTTTGGGTTGTCTCTGTATCGGAGCCGAATGTGAAAGAGATGCAAACCCAAAACGCATCATTTCAGTCATTTCAGCGGCTTGTTCAGGGTTTTTTTCTTCATCTATTTCGTTCCTTGATTGCTGAAGTATAAAAGAGGTCGCGCAGTGGAAAAAAGGTCCTCGGCTGCTCATGAAAGCAGCCTCACTTTCACTGCTCTCTATCGGACAAAAGGGAAAGGAAAGTATGGATCTTGACCTCTTTTCCCTTCGAACGGATGCTTACCTTTCAAATGGTTTCCACCAATCGCGTACAGGCGGTCGTTCATTCCAGCCAGGGCATGAATGGCCCGCTTTGTGTTCATATCCTGTTTCCGTGCCCACACGTCCATTACGGGGTCGTAACAGTAGAGCCAGGACACATACTCTCCATTGTGAACTCCTCCTGCAACAGGTAAATATAGAACTGGGCTTGGAAAACCAAGTGGAAACGCGCGGCAGGGCAAAGCGCCACGTGTGCTTCTTCTGTCACTAAACCGGGTCGCCGTGCTGCACAGATACAGTGAAAGCATCAAACTGTCCGTCAAACAAACGGCACCGAATCACGGATCGGACGTGAACCGCAGAAGCTTCGTTTAAGGTGAACGCGAAGGCAGCTGACAGGAAGTAAAAATGGGCCCAAGCTGTTGCCTAGCAACGCTATCAAAAAGGGGCGATTCAGGCGGAGGGCGAATAGGGAAACGCTCAGAAGATTAAAGCTTGCGAACATGTTCTAGAAGAAGCACAAATGGACGGAGGGACCTTGGAGGAGAACTTAGTATCCTTTAAAACTATTTAAAAAGGTACAAGTGATTCTAGATATCTTTATTTATATTTGATATTTAATGCTACATATACTGGCACCCGACTCGAGCCACCAGCTCTTTGCAGCCGCTCGGCGCCGCTGCCCTTTGTTCCCGGTCTCTTTTATTTTTACGCGGTAATAACAGCCACAGTGTGTAACGCTGCACAACTTGCTGATGATTCAGTGACAGCTTTTCGGAAGAGGAGGATAATGTTGGATGACGTTCTGCGTTGGTGTGAGCGAGTATTTGATTGATTGAGGAGTCAATTAAACAACAGATGTCGTCGTAGAAGAACTGGAAGTGTTGGACCGAATTTTTATTGTAATTACCAGATAAATAAATAAATAAACCAGAACCTCTGACCAAACGGATTAGCGTTGTGTTGCATTGTGGGTAATGTAGGTCCCAGGTTTTAATTAAAAAGACGGAACTGTCTATTGTGAGTTTTAAACATCATGTTACGATTTTTGTGATACTTTTGAACACAATATTATTATTATTTTTCCAGCTTGCAATAATTTGGCTTTGTTAACATTTAAGATGAGATGCAACTTGTGATTGTTTAGCTCATAAATCTTTACATTTGGTTATTTACAATGTGTCATCAGTTTGTATTTGTGTAAAATGTGTAGTATTCAGATTGAAATTTCTACTTATGGAACAGAATGACTCTTATCAGAAAATACGGTTGATTTTCTCACGCCCAGAGTCATGAAATAAAGGTTAATTTAACCTTACGTGTGTACTTGACTAAGTGTACTTGTACTATATATACTTGCAGACTCTGCAATAATAAAGATTCCTCACTGACATTGTTGTGCCCAATATGTATCTTTCAATAACGGAGTGCATATCCATCCCCCGTCTCCTCACCCGATATGTAGATCTTCCCGTTGTGCACGGCTCCCGCGTGGGCGGCCAGAGGCTGCGGCAGAGGCGACAGGTAGTTCCACTCGTTGGTCTCCAGGTCGTAGGACTCCACGCTGGACAGGTAGCCGCTCTCGTTTCTACCGCCCACCACGTACAGGTGCTTCTCCAGGCGGCAGGCGAAGAAACTGGCTCTCCTGAGGACGGACAGCGGCAGACGTCAGACGACATGGTTAAAGCCGGAGAGGGACGGCTAGAACAAGAAGCGCTTACCTCTCCTGCATCGGGGGCAGCTGAATCCAGCTGTTGAACCTGGGATCGTAGCGGCTGACGAAATGAGTGCTGTGCTTCCCTGCGGAGGAAACGACAGAAAATCAGGCCCAACGTCTCCACCCACACGAGGCCACCTTTGTTTCCAATCGCAGTGCGATAATCTCCGCAAGAGCATCTGAAATGGTCCCCGAGGACGTGTTTCGGTGCCGTGTTGCTTCGCTCTCGGGGCTAAATAAGCACAGTTGACGGTGTTGTTGTGATACTTGGGTGGGAAAGGAAGCAAAAGGACAGTCTGGCATTCTCCAGCCTGGGTTTGTTACCACGCCGCTTCACGGCGAGCACTTAAATGTTTCACTGTCACAGTTACTTTCCTACGCCAGTCACCGGCGAGCGTCTGGTGGAGTGTTGCTTGTCCACTCAGCGTTTGAAACGTGTCGCGTCCGCTCTGAACCGCAGGCTCGCAAAAAGAAGTAGACAATGAAACACAAAAGTCGCAGGAAGGTCGCCGTACCGTTTGGGTTCCACTGGTCCTCTCCGCCCAGCAGCAGCAGGAAGTTCTCCACCTCCACCACGCAGTGATGGGCGCTGTTGTAAGGCATTACTGGACGGGACGCAGAGACAGAAAGGTGTCAATCGCTGAAAAATGGAAAACTTCTTACTTGACGACGAGGACATTTTGATACAGAGCGAGGGCGGACGTGGCAAAATCTGAGCTCCGCGTTAACCGGATTTTTCATGGAACTTGAAGGCCTCAACGACAGGAAACCTGTATACATGCAGAAAAACAGCTGATCACCCTTGACAGTATCACAGAAAACCTAATACTAAACCTCAAATACTCAATATCACTCTCAATTTCTAATAATACGAAGAGAAAAACGACCCATCAATGAACAAAGCTGATATGAAGTCGGTCTGACTGAAGTCCTTATTGACGCGGCGTCCATGAGGACACTGCCATATCTGTGCTGTCCTCCCGATCCAGTGACTACTTTTATTTGGTCACGCCGAGCCTCCCGTTGTTTGACAAGCGCCGCTCATTATTCCCGCTGAGGTCCGGATTGATGAAATCTGAAACGCACTCGTCACGAGAGGAAAACATTCTCGTTACGGCGACGCGGCCAGACGAATGCGAGTCGACGCTAAAGGATTTATTTCCCCTCCTCATTGCTTTTTGTTTTCCATTCATCCATCTACAGGAAGTCATTTCTTGTGGGAAATCAAGCCTGTTGACTCCTTAACCGGAACAAATGAAAATATGAAGCAGAGCAAGCAGCCGACTGTTAGTCGCAACATCCATCCGTCTGTGTGTTTGTACATCTGTCCATCAATCCATTTAGGAGCCATAACTCACCTGCCGGGTACCGGACCTCAGCGCAATCGCTTCACAAATCCCACTGCAGCCGTCCGTCTAGCGACAAACCGAATATGTCCGATAAACAGGCTGTTTAGTCGGCACGAGGAGCTAGAAGCCCGCAGCGGGACCCCCGGTCTGTGTTTATGCCCCCCCCCCCCCCTCCATCTTCTTCTGCTGAAGTGACCCCATTGAGATGTAGAGAAATGGTCTTAGGTGACAGTCATAATGAACACGGCCGTGTTCACTCAATAAATCTCGGGCCCTGGCGCCTTTTGAGCACAAATCAGTGAAATGTTAAAGCCCCACCTGTCTGTCTCCATCAGTCATTTTCACTGTCACCTCCCCACCAGGCTGATGGATCGCAGTTGCTGCAAAATTAGACAGCCTTGAATCTCGTTCCTTTCCAATTGGCCCCTCGCTGCCGATCTCCCTGCGGCTGGCTGCCGCGCGCCGGCCCGCTATGAAGTGGGAGTCTAACGCTACATACACTGAGCGCGGCTTTATCTGGCGGCGAGGGGGGAGGGGGGGGGGGGGATTAGGCCGCCTGCCTCCAGTGCACCTCAAAAGACGAGTGCCGTACCACTGCCGGGTTCCCTTACGTGCTATTTACATTATCACCCAGCCGGCGGCGTGCGGCACGCGGACGGGCGGCTCTTTCTTGCACGTCTAGCGACTTGACGTCGAATGTCACGTCGTCCCCGCGGGAGAAGAGGATCGTTCGCTTTGCAGAACGTCTGCAGAATGAGTGCTGCACGGAGGATTTGGGGCGTTTCCCTTCCAGACGTGCTTTAATGTTATGGTGGGGCTTATGTGATTAGGTCCCTCAATCGATTGGCCTCTCCCCCTTCTTTGTAACAATCCTTGAGGGGTAACATAATAGCAATACTCGTCTCTGGGTAGAGCGGTGAGCATGTTGAGCGCAGATCTCCCCCTAAACCCGCCGCAGGAGGGAGGAGGGGGGGGCAGGACGAGCTCGCCATCCCTCTCTACACTGAGCTCCGGGGCTCACTAGAGGGAGTCAGAAACCTCTGCATAGACGGCAGGCGCCGTCCGGGCCGCTCGACTGGGCCCCCCTTCCCTCCACCCCCCCCTCCGGCTAATGCACCACCGCCGCCTCCTCCAGCTCCGCCGCCTGCGCGTCCCACTGAGCGGCGTTCCTTTGTTCCAGGCCGGCGCCGCGTGCAGGAGGAGGGCCACATCGGAGCGGAGCAGCCTCTGTCTGGTCGCGCTGGTCCACGCCGCCGTGGGGGCAGACTCCTTTCGGGATCCATCCGACAGCAACGAGGGGGGGGGGGGGGGGGGGATCAGATTCTCCCCAAATTGTGCTGATGAATGTCTTAATCAAAGGCTGTCGCTCTCAGCTTCGCCTCATTGAAAAGTCCTGATTGAATGTTAATAATGTGCTATTCCACATCCATTGTGAGGAGGCGACATCAGATGCCCACTAATGTGTTAAGGGGATGATTTTGCAGTTTTGTCCTTCCACTTGGCCACGGACCATTTGAGAGTTGACTTTTTAGTTTTGAGTGATGGAAATCCCCAGTGACCTTTTGCGTGTTTTCAGGTCCACAGACACAGTGTGTGAGTGCAATGGGAAAATGACGACACACACACACACACACGCACACACACGCACCAGCGGGCTGCAGGCTGTTGTGCATACGTGGCTCCTTTGGTAAAAAAAAATACCTCCTGCAATAACAAACGACGGCCATGTGAACATTCTAGCAGCAAACTTTCTCTGAATTCCACAGAACAAACCCACAGTCCTTAAAATCTCGCGCCATAAAAGGGAGAAATAAAAAATGTATGAACGTCCCGGCTGACAGACGACGGAGCCACGGCTAATACGTACGAATGAAGGGACACTGGCAAAGCGCGGCTGCGAGCGAAAAACTCGATATGTCTGGCGATGATGATGATGATGCAAAGGACAAATACGGCCGCCCATTAGCTCTTGGTCGACCTTTGCAATGTGACAACGATATAGTGGCGCGCCTTGAAAGGTCAGGAAGCCCGGGAGAGAAAGAAGAGCACGGTGGACTCTTCAGAGGTGAGAACAGGTTCTCTGTGGACACACCACTTTGTTTTAAACAGAATGGATCCTCAGGGGGAAATGATCCGATATCATAAGACCAATAACCCGAGCGTGAGTCCCAATTTGTGACGTGACTTTTTCGCTATCACACAAGTGTGAGTTCTATTTGCTTTTGCATGTTTGCCAGCATTTCAGCTGCTGGGTTCCATCTCTTTGGCATCGAACTCACCTTAAATAAACCTGATGTCAGCAGATTTAATCTGAGGAACGGATCAATGCGAGGGAATAATCCCGCTGAGCTTAGTAAGGCGGTATTGAGGAACGATGGCAGGTTTTCTCTCCCTGTCATTAGATTCAAGTATGAATCTCATCACGCATCCTGCCAGCAGATTTCAGCAAAAACAACAAGGGGAGCCGGGCATGAAGCTCCGCGGTGCTGTGAAGTCACGGTCTGATTAAAAACGTATATTAAAAGTAATAGTGATACATTATTACCTAAAGGATTTAGGGAACTCCTTCCCCTCATTTTCCATGGAAATTAACCTGCGTTAAAGTCATCCATAGGAACTACTTTTTCTCATCATTAAAGCCACTAACACGAGATGCCTCAGGTTGAAAAAAATAGCAGGGAGGAAATCAGCAGAGCCTTTCGCTACTCACTTGTGAGGATCTTCCATGTCTTTTTCTCGTCGTCATAGTACTGGACCAAATTGCTGGGGAGACGATCGGGTCCAGGAGGCAAACCACCCACCAGTAACAGCATTCTCTTATTGGAACGGATTCTGTAATGTCAAAAGTGTGTGTGTGAGTGTGGGTGTTGGGAAACGGGGAACAAAACACTTATTGGGCCTTGAAAATAAAATAAAAATAGGCTCAACCTTTACCTGGACGCCTCTAATTTCTTAATTGGCATAATAGCTTTGACGCCGTTAGCAGCAGTTGCTGAAAATGCGGAAGCAGCAATTCGATCATCAAGGAACAAATGGAACCAAATGCACGGATTCAATTACTAGCTGCTTCCTGTCAACTCCTGAACAACGACGCTTCACATCGGCCGATTTGCGCCAAAGTGCAACAGCGAGCTCATCCTTCTGTTATTGATCAGTTATTGCACTAAAGATATATTTTTCCAATTATCTGTGAAGAGAAGAAGATCCCGCTGGAGGCTAAAAGCACATTAACCTGCCCGAACAACGTCTCCTTTTCATTGGCTGCAATGATTCATCTCTGAGCCAGTTGAGAGGTATTTCCTGTTTTGTTTGTATCTATACAACACAAAAGTCAGACACTTTATTGTACATTAATGACCGTTTTCTCCCAGTGGGACACAAATCGACCAATGAATCACGATAAGCATTAAAAGATGCAGCTGGCCTTTATCTCCATCCACGTTCACCTTTCTCATATTTTACTTTTCCACACTCGGGAAATCCGCCGTCGTCTCGGTACATTCTCTCTGCCACCGGCCCACTCGGAAGTGTTTTGGGGTTATTCATATGCAAATGAGCCCCTGGACATAGATAATGGTGATTAATTGAGAGGAGAGAGACGGCGGCATGCGAAACCAATTATGAGGATTCTCCATTCTTTGCTCATTCAGGTCCATATGTGGGAATAGACGTGTTACTGGGACCACGCCGGAATAGAACCATGATCTACTTTTGAGACTGTTTGTGCAAAATTCGATTAGAATATTTATGGATTCTCCATCCTACAGCTGTTTAAAAAGGTATATGCACTTGTGTCATTTAACACAAGTCTCCTGTTGACTTGAATTTAGGGGACTCTTATTCGATAAATCCTTAATTAGAATAATTTCCCTCTGAAAAGACTTCAGCCTCGGTAGCCGCGTGTTTCTTCCACTCATACCAGAATTGTTTCATGATTACCATGTAATCCTGGTAACAATTACATCAAAGCATTTCAAATTGTATTCATGAGAGTTGCTGCACATCAAACGCATAACCTTTATCTAGTTTGCTGCATCTTGTCTACACTGATTAGAGAGCAATTACACAGATGTGTGAGGGAAATAACGAGTTGGGGGTTTTTCTCCCTTCACTAAAACATGAGGTAAGTTCCTAATTGTGGATACAGTGAAGCACCGAGGAGGCCGAGACCCCTGACGGCCGAAGGTACTTCACAGGACGAGCCCCACGACGCTCATTACTGACTGACTGACCGCCCACGCGGTCCAGCCTGCACAGGCACAGCGGGCAACCCTACCGGCGTCGGCAATTTGTCCAGATTTAACACGTGGGAGGCCTCTAATCACCTCACGTCCACTCAAAGGAAGCTCCTTGGCCGAGTGTGAGTGTGTTTGTTTGTCTCTTCCTCACCTGCTGGCCGTGGTCTGCCTGCAGTGCTGCCTGAAGGGCATCAGGTGGTAGTTCATGGCGTCCATGAGTAGCTTCTGGCACACGGGGTCAGTCCTCATGAAGTCAACGGACTGCACCCTCTCCACCAGCTCCGGGGCAGGTATGAGGGCGAAGCGCAGCCTCTTCATGAGGTCCGGCGCGTAGTGCATGCGAGTCTCCCGGTCATGCTCCAGCCAGAGGACTGACATCTGGAACAGCGCCAGCTCCGACTCCACCGGGGGCGGCAGAGCATCCAGCATGGCGCACATCTCCTCAAAGTTCAGCAGCAGCACGTCCTCCACCAGGTACTTGTTGGCCAGCTTCTTGGTCTCGTCCAGGCCGTGGAGAGCGGCGATCTTGCAGATCTGCTTGTAGTTCTGCACGGAGATCTGGTCGTTGAGGAACTGCACGCTGAGCTTGGTGATCTGGGGGACGTTGAGGATCTTGCTCACCGACAGCACCTCTTCCACCGTGTCCAGGGAAAGAGTCACGTTGGCGGTGTACAGGTACTCCAGCACCAACCGTAGTCCGATGGACGAGCAGCCCTGGAGGACCAGGTTGTTGATGGGCCTGGAGCCGGGGGTGGCCAGCTTGTCGTCTGGCGAGGACGAGGGGGTCCCGCTGCTGCCCTGGTCCCCTTTGCTCCCCTCATTGTTGATGACGTTATGGGAGGAGAAGAGGGATCTGAAGTACTGGGAGCAGGAGGCCAGCACGGCTTTGTGGCAGTGGAACTGCTGCCCCTGGGCGGTGAGGGTCACATCGCAGAACAGCTGTTTTCTCCACAGGAGGTTGAGCCCGTGCAGCAGGGTGTCACTGTGCGTGGGGTCGAAGGTGGATGTTCTGTCGCCCGATCTGGACATGACTCGCTGGCTGGGATCGCCACCTGGCCAACAAACACACCGAGCACGCCATTTACCGCGGGGGGGTCACGTGTTCGCACGCACACACACACACACACACTGAGGATGCAATCGATCAACTAATCGAATAGAACCATTTCTCGAGTTAAGTTATCGAACAGAGTGTGTGCGTGGTGGGGGGCACATCTTCATGCAATGCCAGCCGGAGAGAACCGACACCCGACGGACTTTGAGCTCCCGGCGGTGAAGCAACAAACGGAACCGCGGTAGTTTAGTTCCCACAGCGCGCCGCGCGTTTTCATTCCCAACGCGAGAGGCTTCGAGACGGAGCCGAAAGAAAGAAGCGGGGTTTTTTTTGGTCTCTGGAAAATAAAAATAAAAAAGCAACCGAAAAAAAAAACAGCAAACAAACAGGCGCAGGAGCCGCGGGCGCTTCTCCTCCCGGATGACGCGGGGAAGTTGTCGTATCTCCGGGCGGAGAGGACGCGGCGGGACGGAGAGCACGCGGCGTTCGGCACTTATTCCCTCTCCCTGTCTTTGCAGCACGCACACGTACACGCACACGCGCGCACAACGAGGACACCTCGCACACGCCGCGCGGGTCCACGGAGTCACACAAAAGGCGGTTTAGTCGGGTCCTCCGGAGCCGCCGGCCGGTGCGCCTTCGGCCCCGCCGCGCGCGGCCGCGGAGGCGGAAAAAAACCGCGGCGCGGCTTCCCGGCGAAGTAACACGCGACGCGCGTATCTTATCGTTCCGCAAAAGAAAGAAAAAGGAAAAAAAAAAAAAGCCGCTAATTCTATGTGCGCAACGTGCGCGAAGTTAACGGCGCCGGCGTGCGGATTCGCCTCCAAAACGCGCCCCGTCTCAACTAACCGACGCGAGCAGAGAAGCGGCCAAACTTACCTGACTTCAGCTCCTGGCACGAACCAAAAAAAAAAAAGAAAGTCAGCTTCAGGATCCCAATATTCTCACGTGAATATTTCCTTTGTTCTCCTCTTTTTTTGTTCCCGTTTTAGAGGAATGTCCCGTCCTTCTGGTGTCTCAAAATAACCATTGACTCCAACTCCCCAAAGTCACGGTTTCTTTCTTTTTTTTCTCTCTCCAGGTTATTTGTTGACGTTGATCATTTGTTCTCCCGAATTAACAAGAAGTGCGCGAGAGTGTGTGAGAGGGAGCTGTGCTTTCTGCAGGAGAAGAAGAAGAAGAAGAAGAAGAAATATACGTGTGACAAATTATGCTACCAAGAAACAACACATCATTATCCTTGGGCCTGGGGCTCAGTGAGTCGTAACGAGAGTAATAGGAAATCCACGGTTGGGGAGAGAAACGGTCGTGCATGGCCGGTGGAGAGAGACCATGCAGGGGTATGGATGCTGGAGAGACTCGCAAAATTATGGCTCAAGGCTATTGTAAAAACTGTCGAGCGTAAATGACTGCGATTTCAAACATCTATGGAAGAAAGGAAAGAGAAAGGGGGAGAAAAACCGAGTCTTTCCCTCGCTGTTATAGAGAGAACCGTCAAGTTTTAGTGCGCATTGCTAATTAGTCAATTTCTCTCTGCCTTCACAGCCCGACGACTTTGCTGCTGAGCTGAAACTGCTAATTTCTGGGACCAGCCTTTTTTTGGCTGTGAACTGGATGGATGAATGGCTTGTCTCGCACAAATGACAAAAAGCCCCTGCCTTAATCTCCATCGCCAAAATAACCCCTCATCTCCATTCTGCTCCTGCTAGTCCTTCAGACACAAGTTTAGCATCTGCACCATAAAGAAACGCACACGCAGCCACAACGTCCACGTATTGTTTTATAACGATGAGTTGAAGCTTATTAAAATGGCCTATTTACATTATTTACACACACACACACACACACACGTGATGTGAAGTTGTGTAACAACGAGTCCAACCCAACGTGCAGCGCGTCCATACAGCTGGCGGGCCCGCCAACACAACGGGTTGAAACCCGATCCGGCGTCCAGCGGCTCACGGTGGCGCCTTGTGTGTGGGGGGGAAAAAGTCCCGGATGGATATTTAGAGTCCGGAAGCGCCGACGTTTCCACCGACGACACCGACCTTTACGAGCGACCGCGAACGCCCACTTGACCCCACGGTGGCGAAAGGCCCCACGTGGCTTCAGTCTGTGGGGGGGTCACAGCGGCGATATCGTCTAAACCAACGCCGCATCTTTGCCGCAGGTTTTGGGACCAGCGCCACGACGCTGCTGCTAATCCAGTCCCAAACTGCTGGTGACTTATTACAATGTGTCAATTAAAACGCGGGGCTCAATTAGAGTAAAGAGACGCACGTGCGGGACTCCCGCGGGACCCCGAGTGACAGATAACTCACAAGTTAGGGAATGACAGATAAACAGGGTTTGTTCACGCCGCGCGTCGCCGTCAACAACAACAACAACAGGCCGCATGTAGCATCCGTTATAGTCGCAGGCACCGTATCGTCAGATGTTTGACAAGCACCCAGCCTGCGTGTCCCCACTACCCCCCCCCACACTGGTAGTTCCACTCAGCCCACATGGACGCTGTGAGGTGGCCGGTTGGATCGCGCACGCCGCATCCCGCATAACAAACCGCCGCCCTCGCGCTAACCGGGCGCGTTTGTTTGCGGGCTTTTTATCGTTTTATCGTGGTTTTGTCTGTACCCTGCAGAGAGGCGCCCGGCGCTCGGCTAGCACGCCGTTACCCGGGTCTCCAGCGGGCCGTTCCCACGCAATAAAATGACCGTTTCCAACTCTTCCAGCTCTTTGTAGCAGCTCGGTCTCCCGAGGCCGCTGGTCTTCAGATTGCAGGGCGTTTATGGTTGTAAGTTGTTGCAGTGTGCAGAAGGAAGGGGAGGAGGAGGGGTGAGGGGGGGTGAGGGGGGGGGGGGCGGGGGGGGGGGGGGGTCATCAGATAAGAGAAGAATTTCCAGACTAATTAAACCCTTTGAGACAGAGAATCACACCACAGTGATTTACAACCCTCTGTACCAGTTAACCCGACTCGTATTTATCTGTCATATTACTCAGATACCATATCTACCTCGTAACAAGTCTTCTTTTTGTCCTCGGCGCCATGGATACAAGAGGGGGGAGATAAAAGAGCGAACAACAACACTTACATGAGAGTTCACATTCTGCATTATCGGGGACAAAATGCTAAAAACGTAGTTTGAAAAAAGGCTCAGACGGATAACGGCGTCTTACATCCACCACATGAGGTGAAGCGTCGTAATAAGCCCCTTATTCCCCCCTCAGCTAATACACAACTTTCTGTGCAGATTACAATGAAGCTTCTCGTGGCTTATAACACGTAAATATGAACCGTAACAGCACAAACACATTATTTGCCACCTTAAATCACTAAACTGAAGATTTAATCTAATCAGTGCAACACAACAAAACAAAAGGAGAAGCTCCAAAGTTGTTAATCGTAGAGTCTAGCAGGCATAATTCCTTTTGCTGGCTGCCGCAGAGGGGTATGCTAAGATAGAAAGTATTATTTTCCTAAATGGAAGGTGTCAGATGGTCACGGAAATGTGATCGGCTGTTCAAGATCACCGCTTCCCATCTGCAATTTGTGACGTGTGAAAGATTCAGCCCAAATGTGCTCAGCGAGCGTGAATCCTCAGCACTTTCTCTTATCGTGGAAAAGCAAGATAACCAGCTGTTTACAGATCAGAGAACATATCATATTAATATCATGGAGAGGGTGATATCATCTTGTTTGCAAAATATTCTGTTAACTAAGTGCGGTGCGGCAACCTATAAAGTGAGATTTGTAATTTATGTTTTGGTGAAATGTTGCTTTCTGATAAAAAATAAATAAAAATAAAGGAGGCAGCAAGCAGCCTCTTAAAAAAAAAGACTGTAGGGCGAGATGATGAATTCAAACTGCAGGTTACAGAAACACAGCATTATAGATCCTGCAGCACAAACATTTGAATTAAAGACATCCAGCTAACTAAACACAGATAGTGCTGATTCCTCATCCATCTTATTGTATTATTATATCATCATACATTCTTAACTCATCACGGTCGTGTTCTTTTTTTAATGTTGTAGTGTGATACGACTGCTGGAGCCTCTTGGGAATCCGTATGTGAAGCGATTTTGATGGCGAGTCCCAGTAACCTGACACTTAAACCGCGTGACACAGTTTGGACCAGCGGGGCTTCTCCCGAGAGAAGCTGTGACACAAAAGGAACAAATGAGTTCACCAGCAGCATCAGTTTGACCTGCAGAGGTGAGGAGGAGGAGGAGGAGGAGGAGGAGGAGGAGGAGGAAGGGTCAGTCAGAGTGCAACAATGTGGACATTTAAACAGCTGCAGGCACGTGTTCACTCCATTAAATGGCTTCTCCTCCTCGTCTTTTGATGCCGGGACTGATGAGCTCGTCATCTGGGCTCAAAGTTAGTCGGATATGATTCTGGAGGCGTCCGCGGTGTAATACGTTCTATCTGCCATCCGGGGAGCATGGGAGGCCTGCTGTTTTAAACCCCCAGATCCCCCCTCACACGCCGCCGCCGCCACCACAGACACGGCTCAGAGAGTCAGCCGGCAGCCGGGAGGTGAGCAGAGAGGAAACAGGCGGTGTCCCCTTCAGTCTGTGTGTGTGTGTGTGTGTGTGTGTGTGTGTGTGTGGCGTTTCTCAAATGACAAAAGGATCCCAGTCGAGCGCTTCAGGTGGGAGCAGACACGGAGACTCACCTGAGGGAGAGTCCGGCCTGTTGGGACCGGGGGGGGGGCTGCAGTGGCGACCCGGAGACGTGTTGAGGGCCCCGCAAGTGGCCACATTGCTGTTGAGGAGGAGGGGGGGGTTGTTTTTTTTTATTGCAGGGTTGGGGGGCTGCTGGAGGAGGGGGGGGGGCTGCTGTTGCGCAGTTTCCCCAGCGTGATGCATCTACCTTCAGGGTGGCAGCAGGCGTGGAGTGGGGTGCGATGGAGCGAGCACGGGCTCAGTGGCGCGGTCACCTGGGGACGCGGGAGCTGCTGTAGCAGGACTGATAGTTATTCCTTGGGAGAATTGCAAGATGAGCCCCATTGTATTAGCAGCCCCCTTCTACTGAAACGGTATCAATGTTCCCCGAGCCTTTGAAGAAACAAGTCGGGGTGCAAAATATCTGAAGAAGTTTGCTTTAACAGGGTGAACGTATGAGCTAGAATAGTGGAATGCAACAATAAACCAGTTTCCTGTGAATCTGAAGTTAAACTTCAGTAAATTCCTTTGGCAACGGGAAGCCAGCTAATTATTCCATACTGATTTGAAAATTGTCAGACATCAAAATTTTCCGAGGCGCGCTTTAGTGTTGCTACCGTTTCAGTCGTATGTTTGCAAACTCTCTGCGTCTAATATGGTCAGCACTCCCAATTATTCACTCCACTGACAAGTGAAACAAACGGGACCAACCCGTGCATTCTGTATTATCTGCACCCGTCGGATTCCCCGACAATAATTAATACAAAGCCAAGCTGCCGTTAGCAGCTCGACGACGCGAGTTCTCCTTTTCCCGACAGTTTAGGAGAGGAAATCGCATCCAGGGACCGAGGTCACATGCGTCATGTCCGGCAGCCGGGTCACATGACACCGCGGCCTGTGGTGGTGGTGCTATTGTGGAGGGTGGGGGTATTACTCACATCATCGCAGCACGGGACGTGTCCAGAATGATATGAACGTGGGACCGGCTATAAATGTACAAGTTTATTAATGCGCAGCTATGGTCACACGGCGCTATGTAGTATTGGCTCTTAACACACACATTACTAATACATCACATACACAGTGTGTGTACAGCATGTAAGCAGTATTTGTAATGTAGATGTAGTTTTCACAATAAAACACCACTCTGATGACAAAACAAAATGAAATCAATGCAGTGTTTATTTTAAATGTCCTTTAAGGAGTCGTCATGTAATCATAGGAACCCCTCTTATTTTACCCTACGAGGATATTAAAAGGGTTTTTTTTTTTAATTATAGAGGAGCACATTCGCCTAACATCCATTAAAGGAATGCCATGCTAATTTTAAATCCTCGCAGCAGGCATTGGCATCAGCAGAAGAAAAGTGGATGAGTTTCTCTTTAACAGCTGTAATTTGTGTTTTCCAATCACCATGCTGATTTCTGCTCATTATACTCCGGTTTCACACCGGTAAGTGAGCAAAGTTTGGATTGATTGACTCTAATTAACTAAAAAATGTTCCAAGCCAGGGATTTATTATCATGCTAGCTGGCCACAAATGTCAGAGACTTTCACAAATTATTATCCCGTTAAGATAAATATGTTTGAAATCAAACGAGTGTGGCAACACAACCAACGCGTATTGTTAAGCTGATGAATCTGTTTGGCATGTTTTTCCGGCGCGGTTCCACATTAGAGACTCACCTGGGCAATCACACGGTTCCAGTGTGTCGTTCGGCTGCACAGTACGACTGAACGACAGATGCTGCAGTTACCTAAACTTTAAAAAGGAACACTCGGCCGTACTGTACAAACACTGCCGGGGACAACGCTCAGCAGACTTTTAATCAGTTAGTCGCAATAAAACGTGGGGATGTAAGAGCTGAAGTGGTGGTCAGGGGAACTCGCCCCTCCCGTGTGCATCTCCCTCATTGACATTTCAGACACAGAAGCTCACCAGCTGCTCACCAACGGGGAGGTTTGCAGCGGACGCCTCCGGCTTTTTTTTTGTTTTTCCCCCCGGATCTTTTGAAAAGATCTCAAAAGCAGAACTCTGGTTAGCTCGAGAAGACGGAACGTTGCTGCGATTCGCTCGGCTCCACGTCGGCGATCAGAAGCGGCCGCTGGGGTGGATCCAGGCGAAACGGGCCCATCGCCTGCATGGTGGCGCCGGGGCTGAAATTGGGAGAATCACGCTGCCTGCAAATCGGATTTTCCCCCCAACATGTCTCTCGCCAAAATCAGCGTATTATACAAAAAAAATGACCTAAACCAGCTTTGACGTGTCGCACAGCGACGCTTGTGCTGCCCAACACTCATCATACGGAGGGAGGAACATAGAAGAAAATACATCTGAGCTGTCAGGGAGCCCCATCAGTGTCCACAGTCCACCCTCTTTACAGCATGTACGTGTGTGTGTGTGTGTGTGTGTGTGCGCCTGCAGATAAATGCGATGACATGTAGTTGTGGCTCACTTTCATTTTTTTTTAGGGGATTGATTAGATGCAAAGCGAGTAGACGAGCGCGTTGGGGCGGCGCTTTCATTTCAGATACCGCCGTACAGTCGGTGAGGACCATGAGACCATTTTGCTCCTCACGGTTCTGTTGGAGATCCGGTGGCGCCGTGCGAGTCGCCCGCGTCAGATTCCACATCAGTGCCACCGGGTACAGCGATAACGTGTCAACGCTAAAAAAAAAGAAAAACTTCTGAATCAATCCAAGACGAGTGAATACTTTGCTTGTTTGACGATATTATTGCGTGTGAGTCACGCTAATAATCCTTGATGGCAGATGAAACGCTGCGGCCGTGTTCGCGCTGCCCCCCGTCTGCCCCCCCGAGTCAGAGAGGCAACAACAGCATCTCCATCAGCACGACGTAGAAGGAGCAGTCAGAGGTCTGTTGACCTTGAAAACCCTCCACAGCACGGAACCGAAGAATATCACCGATTCGCTCATTTCTATTAGTTATGCAAATGAAAAATATATGAAACAAGTTATGAGATTTCGACGACTATTCCTCGTCTATGTAACTTTTAAAGTCTGCTGTATGCGAAGCAGGCGTTAGTGTCGTGCACCATTAGCACGTCATTGATGAAACACACAAACAAACTGTTTTCCAAAAGGACTAAATGTTGTTGGTTTAATATTCCAAATTGAAAACAGTGTTTCCCGAGGCTTCTTTAGAAAGCCAGTGGATAGCGAGCACGCAACATCCTTTCCTGCACACTATTTACCCCTGGATTGCTTCGGGCTAATGTCTCAATAATTTTCACTCCTTTCTCAGGTCCTTCCCACAAAGGACTTAACTAATGATCCATGGACAAAATGAAGCATTTAAATTTATTCATTAATCATTCATCTCCAGCTCATTGAAAATGCTAAACTTCCACAAAATTAAGATTGAATATTGAAAAGTGATTGAGGGAGACAGCGCTCGCTGAGCGAGGCGAGCGGAGGAGTGCGGCGAGCGCCAACAGAAGCGGGGTCCGTCCCCCTCCCCCTCCCCGGGGGGGGTCGCGGCCCTCGCGCGGACATCGGTCAAGGTGGCCGAGGTGCGCTACGTGCTAGCTAAGGTCACAGGGTTTCACTAGTTGTAATTGGATCTCGGAATCTGGAGAAGCGTAGAATTTCTGTCAACACTGCCTGTAATTATTCTCTTTTCCAATTAATGGTGACATAGATTAATTATCTGATGAGGCAAAGCCAATTGCAATCATTCACCCAGCTAAAATTAGATCAGTCCTGACAGCAGCATGAAAGTCACCTGTTTCATTGTTATGGATTCGCTGCAAGTAAAGAGGGAGGGGGGCCGGGGGGGGGAATAGTGAAGCGTGCTGGGGTAAGTAAGTAAGTTGTCTGGTCCAGGTGAATGTCCAATTACACTGCCGTTTGAACTGAAGGCATCTACTCATTCGGTCCTGGGCCGGTTTGCTCGTTTGTTGGCGCCGGCGTGGTCGCAGGCGGACGAGTCATCCGTCAGCGGCTGCAGGAACGCAGAGATGAGCTGAATTTCTGCTGACAAGCCTTCCTGTTTAAATAACACGATACATGGAAACAAGCTAATTAAGAAAGGCAATAATACAAACTCCTCGCTCTGTCTGCACCCCCCCCCCCCTCACACACAGCGGATGGTGAGTCTACATTTGTGAAAGTAAAGTTACCAGCTCGCCCTTATTTATGTGAGGAAGGAGAACAAGAGGCTCCTGGTGAACCGCGTCCAGGTTCACTGCTCTTCTGTTTTAAAAACCTCAGCATCCAGTTTTTCTATTAAACCGCCTGCCGCTGTCAACCGGCTTGGGAATCTGAACCCGGCCTGGCCATGCGGAAATTCTCTGACTAACAATTATATCAGAAACAGGATCTTGGATTACGGTCCCGGGGGACTGGGGCGGTGGGCGTCTGCTCCAATCATTACTGGCCATTCAACAAGGCTGTGCACCGCGCTCCGCTGTTAGCCATTGTCAATTACGCCATCCCTGGTGTAAACCCGCGCAACACAAGGCTGAACTGCCAGTTCTGGCAGGAGTGGAACGGGATGACAGACCGCCGAACCCCACCCACCCGACCCCCGCCACCCACACACCCACCCACGGCCCTTCCTCCCCTCCAGCTACTTCTGAACAAAACTGCCACTAGGCTCCCGATTCATGCACGCCGTAGCCGTGGAAGCGCTCAGCCCGACCTCCCTCACGTTCTTCTGGTGGGGAGGGGGGGGTTAAGTGCACGTGATGGATAAGAGGAGGCCGCGTCAGGACGCTTTAGGAGCCAGTCACACGTTGTGTGTCTCTCACAAAGTGTTGTGACGGTGCATCAGTTGTGAATCGCTCTCGTTTTATAAATGATCTGCTGAAACCCGACGTGCATCATCACCACCGGTCAGAGTCTTTCTTTGTGATAGGATCACACACAGGGGTCTTAATATTCTAGTCATTGTGCAGATTGTGCGTGCGCGCCCTGCTCGGTGGTTGTTGTTGTTGTTGTTCGTCCTCTCCTCATATAGGTCGTACTTTCTGGAGGAGAGACGCCGGGCTGTTTAAAGTGAGTGCTCCCTGCTCTGATGGACCCTGCGCTCAGCTGTGACGGGTGGCTCTGTGGTGCGCTTGAATACACCAGCTCTTTTGTCCTTCACACTCTGCGGCGCTCTGATAGCTCCTCCCCCCCTCCCCTCCTTCCTGCCCTCGACCGCCGCCCCCCCCCCACTCTGCTGGGGCCTTTCGAGGCTGGGCCACTGAGACATGGCTGCTCCCTGTAATGTCTGGACCAGACCCATCAAGAAAGAGAAAAGCATGTCAGCAGCCGGCAGGAGGAGGAACAGAGAAGGAAATCACTAAATAGTATCAGATCCTGGATCTAATCAAATATAATATATATATAAAATATAGTGTATCTTAATTTTGGTGAACAACAAAAACAAACATGGCCACTTTGTGTGGGTTTGGCGCCGTGCTGAGGCGGTAAAAAGGGGGAAAGTAGTTCCATGGTGCGGTCGCGTGTCACACGACTCTGCAGGCCGGACGGGACGTTTCATAAAAGATTCATCACTGTCTCTCCGTCCGCTTTGCCCTCATCTCACATTAGACACCGATTATTCTCTAATTTAAGATCTTTGCTTCTCAACCTTGTAGAATATGTCGCTGCTCTCGCGCAAAAACGGGCCGGTGGGAGGGGGGGGGGTCACTCCGCCGCAGAGATCTTCCACGCGCTGTGATGAACTCACTCAAAGTCAGAACAACGCAGTAAACGGAACCCGGGCTCAAGAGTTAATGCGATGCGACCAAACACCAAAGTGCTGTGTTTATAGAGTCATCCCGAGTGGCAGCCTCAGACAGGGGAGGTCACCGCGTAGGCACTCGAGCAGACACACCATCCATCACGTCAGCCCGCGATCTGATGACTGAATGTATGGGAGGGACTGCGGCGGCGGCGGCGTCTTTAACTCGGCGGATGTCCGCCTGGCTGCCCCTCGCTCGGCAGACAGACTTGCCGGATGGGGCTCAAACGGTACGCAAAGGGAAACGCGCTTCCATCCGGCGGGACTCCGGGACGAGAAGCCGAGTGGGAGGATTCACCACCGAAATGAAGGGCGGGCGGTTTGCAGCACGTGTTCCCCCCACCCGCCTTTTTATTCACGTGCACGTGTAAAAAGAAATACCTGGGGCAGTTTGTATTTTCCGGTGGGTCCCTTGAGAAAGAGCCAGGCACCGGTCCAGTTCAGCCCGGCTGTAGAGGCTGCGTCGTTTGAATAGCTTCACATACTTTCGCGTGGCGTCTGTTCTCTTTTTCTCTATCCTACCAGTGCGTGCCACTTCCCTACCGTTCTTCTTTTCTTCTTTTCTCGGGTGGGGGGGGGGGGGAGAAGGCAGAGAAAAGGAATTGGTAAGGCAGGAGAGGAAATTAATGGCAGTGTTCAAGAAGAATGATGGAGGGGAATAGAGAAAGCAGTCAATAGCCCATTCTGCAGTACACGGGCCTGACAGGAATTTCACAGTCTCTTGGTTTCTCTGCCCACTCGTGTGCACTCATCAGAATCCAGTCACATCTGGCTGCCAGGATGGGGGGTTAATTTTCTCTAAATGCTTCAGCAGTTTTGTTCTAGCCGAGGCAAACTCTGTGACTGCAAAGCTGATGAGTAAAATATTTCTACTTCACCCAGTTTAACTTTATACCAATCCCCTCAAGACATATTTTACACATACACACAGAGTCATGAACCCCCCACTGAAAGCAGAAATTATTCCTAGTCTCTTGGAAAGACATGCTGCTTGCTTTATTATTTGAACACAGTTTAAATTCTGATAGATGCCGTTGCTTCTCTTCCCCCCTCCATCTCTCTGCTCTCCCTGCAAAGCTTATCATTGCTGGGCAACGTGTTCCCCGGTGCATCAGAAACTAAAGCGAATTAGCTCAGTCATCAGCTCCTGAAGGAAAGACAATAACAAGAATGCTCTTTATGGTGTAGCCTGTTAAAAGACAACTCTGCAGAAACAAAAGCAGTGCTCGCAAGTGCTATCGGATGCTAATGAAGCATATATTTAGTTGATTTTTGCTTACTTGAATGTATTTACATTTGTTGAATATTTGAAATATCCTAATGTTTTGCTAAATTTTGTTACCATTATTTCTCGTGTTTGAGGTAAAGGTACTTTACTGTACTGCTAGAGGTGTGATTATTGATCATTATTATTGGATTAAATGGAACTAGCATCTACTGTGGTGGAGCGAATTCTAACTACTTTATAAAAAAGGGGCGTAGAAGTCAAACTCCATCCGATTTGTACATAAGCACAGTGCTACATGTACTCCGTAGCATCCAGTCACTACCGGTGGAGGTAAATGGCTGATAACACTTAACGTAACAACGTTGACACTAGATGCTGCTTCTTGAGAGAATAAAGCCCGCTTTAAAAATATAGAACAATAACCTGCATTTAAAATGTGAATATTAACTGTATTTATATAGCGATGGCATGGAAACGTTTTAAATCACAGCGGAGTCTCTTCTTATAGTTCTCAAAACAAAAACATGTATAGTATTTAAATCTTGTCACTTGAATTATATATATAGGATTATTTTTCAAGGATACTTAAGAGAGACTCATTGTGCCCCTCACATGAATATAATGAAAGAGATTATTGCCTCTACAAACACACAAAGGAGGAGGGAGGCACACGCACACGCACACGCACACACACACACACACACACCTCAAATGAGGCTGACAACGTTAAATGCATTTACTTTGTTGCCTCCAGTAGCAAGCAAATGGTAATCCCATTGTGTAATATATGTTTTAACTGGGACGCAGAATCCAAACATAACCTGAACGTTCCTGTATAAATCAGATTAAACGTGGTCTTCATTTTGGAAACATTATTTCGATGATAAGCTTGTTATCAAAACTAAATTCAGGCATAAAACGCCAGCCGAGAGGCTGCAGTTACAGGAGTGTAGAGTTGAAACAAACAAAAATGGTGAGGGCTGAATCCGGAGTAAAAGAAAATCAGGCTTTGATCACAAGCGTGGAAAATCCTGTCCACAGGATTTTATTTTTGCATGCATTTTTCACTTGATAACATTCATGCAGTTAGATGAGGAATCGCTCAAGTAAAGGTATTAGTCATTTTTGGAACAAATAACATGATTTCTTTTCCATTGCAGGAGCAGTGCGGCTTCCTCCCGCTGTTATGCTTGTCATGTGTAATTCCCCTCCAGTTCAATAGTGTCAAAAACTATACAGAATAAACGGTAAAATGCTGCCGAGTTGTCTCCTCCAACTAGTCAAGACCTCTCGAGCTATTTCAACGCTGAGGGCACATTTATTGTCTGATCCTATCTTATGATGTGTGTGTGTGTGAGAGAGAGAGAGAAGAGGCCAATATGGAACCTTCCCGATAATAAACCGCCTTAGAAAAACCATAATCAGGAAAAAGTGGAAGCCGTAATATTTACATGTACCATCAACCTCCCTCTTTACTCCCCTTGGTGGCAAAACTACACAGCTATCATTACATTATGTCACATCCATCATCCTCCTGCACTCGAGTTATCTCATCGTTATTAGACTGCTGCAGACCCTCTGGAGGTGCGCTGCCCATGCAAAGAAGAACATGACCAGAAGAGAGAGGAGGCGGATACCTGAGAGTAGTAGAGGAAAGATTTGTGCGCCCGGTTTTTCTCTCGCAGTGCGGACGCCTCCTCCCGTTTGGCCTGCGTGAGGATCTTCCGAAGACCTTCGTACTCCAGCGCCAGACCTTCGTTCTCCGCCAGTGCGATTTTTAGGGCTTCCTACACCAACGCATGAAGATGATGAAGACAAAATGTTCGGGCGCGGCGGTAAAGTACGCTGCTAAACGGCAGGAGAGGAACCTCACTTACATTTACTTTACTGTGTAGTTTAATACTGCGCGAGTCTGTTAACTCAACGAAATGAGAAATAAAAAGTGATGAAGGTGAAGAGATGAAAAAAAAAAAAAACGGACTTGAGGCCACTTTCTCTGGTTAATATTAAACTCAAATGCTGGTAGCTGAATAACCACAGACAAGCAGGCACTGTCAGCTGCAGACCAACGCTGAAACTATTGTAATTGAGGCAGACCTCCTCTTCATCTCTCATTAGCTATTACTAATCCAACGCCAACCATCGCTTTGGCTCAAATTTAAATCATTTACAACATGATCCCTGGTCTCAATAAGAGAGGGATCATTGAGGTGCTGAAAAAAAAAAAATGGAGCTGGTGTCCCTCTGAGACTAAATCCATGTCCATGATGTCATAATGACATTGAAAAGGAAACCACATTTAATGCGATACAAGGTCTGATTAATTGTGATCCGATGAGTCGGATTCGAGCATCCCAAATTGTCACAAATACACTCAAATGACAATTGAATACAGGAGCTTCGCACACAAACATAAGCACTCAGAAATGGATTTGCGTTATTACGATGATCGTTTTAACGAGATGTTTGCAGTAGAAGAAGAACTGCTGAGGCATCGTTAAGTTCAGTCGAGGTGTAAAATACATAACGAATGATTACATGGCTCCATGTTTCCGCGGCGTGTACAGACACCCGAGGAACCATTGTCAACGCACAGGACAGTGGACGCTGCACGGCAACACACACTGACCACTGAGAAGATACTCCAGCTGCACGATGTGTGCGCGAAAATACAACATTCGTTCCGTTAATTGAAGCGATATAAATAGCCGGCTTACAACAACGGGCACTTTTCTGGGGAACCCGCTACGTAAATCACGCTGGGTTTGTGTCTATCTGCGTGTCCGCTTCTTGCTTTTAACAGCGTTCCCCACGCACGCGACCGGCGACTGCCTCCAGTCTACCTGCAGACATAATGAAGTGTGTCTCTGCAGTGGAACAGAACAGCACTAAAGTGATGAGTTTAACCCAGCAGAAAGAGGGGCTGTAAACATGACAAATGCCTGCTATTGATTTCAGGTTTAATTACTCCGTGCAGCACTGACAAAGCCCATCTGACGCCGTTGTGAAGTGTAAATGGAACAAATTACACTTCGCTGCTCATAAGAAACTGACGGCGTCGGCAGTTTGCGTTGTTTACTTTGTGCTCGCCAAACCGACGGCTGGAGCGCGTGTGAAGGACACACTCACAGACGACCACAAGTCGACCCGTTTTAAATACAACAATGAAGTCTCCTTTATTAAAAGGTGAACTGACCCGCGCTGGCTTGCGGAGCAGTGACCTACAGCAGCTATTTGAGCGGATAGCACGAGGTCAGCACTTTTAGAAGAAATATCTAAAAGAGTCCAACCATTCTGCTTCATGCACCGGGGCTTCTGAATGCGCTCTCTGCTTATTATGGTATGCTAATGCAGACATTATGTGTGCTTCATATTGGTCTCAATGATTAAAGTGACCAATTTCCTCTCGCTTTTCAGACCCTGATCTTTGTATTTGGCGAGGAGTATTGTTGTTCGTCTTATTTTGCGAAAAGACTAAACCCTTTTCTCCGCATGGCTGACTTTTATCTCGCTAATGGGAGTTGTGTCTATGAGGAAGACTTCTAATTCTTAAATTGTCTCACGCCAACAACTTCCTTAAAGTTGCTGCACTTGGATGCATGGCGGCTTAAGCTCCATTGCCTTTTCTTGTTTTGAACTAATGCATTCTTGATCACCGTTTAATGAAACTATATACCACATGGCGATTTCACATTAGATAAGCCATGTGAAACCGCCATCAGCAAAGAGACTCTGGCTGGGGCTGATAATCCTGAAGATGGAAACCTTACAATAAATAGAGGTTTCTCTTACAAAAGGAGTGTTCGAGTACTTGCCTTTTTGTGAAGGAAATCACCGCGTCTCTACAAGCGCCCATTACCGGCAGACGCGCAGAAAAACACCCAGATCATACGGCTACTTCACATTGTGAACGATATGAAAATATTACAGACAACGTTGGCCTGCAGGTGACGGAATAAGAGCAACATCTCAGCGCGACGCGCATCATCGAATTTGTCCAGACAAAAGACTATAACAACAGTGAGTCGTCATTTGTGAGGAAAGCACTTAAACGAGATTGACCGCGGCTTGTAATTTTAATTGCACAGCGCTTCTTTCTCTGCATCTTAAGGGAAGAATTGTGACGAGCAACGTGCTGACACTAATCCACAAACAGATAAACAAGGAGATGGGCTTCTCTTCCACAGCATGGCTGAAGTATTTGACACTAAAAAAGGTGGAGTATTTACAATGGTGAACAGCATTTTGTTACCTTGGTGTCTTCCATTTCCTTCCTTCTGGCTGCAACGTGAGCAGTGTGTGCCTGCACGGATCGCTGTGTTCGTTGTTGGCAGTTATTAATATCAGACTGCAAGGTGCTCATTACGAGAGCAGCTGACTTGTTTTTGAAATCCACCGCGTCAAAGACGCTCCTGCAAGGTGAAATCAAAACACATAAAAAGACAATTAATTTTCAAAAAGAATCACTTTTGAACATCACGCACGTACGATCGCTGCATCAGAGTGGGCGCCTGTAGATGTACACGGAGGAAGAAGACCTGAGATATCACCAACATTTTTTTAAATAAAAGGTTGATAATTATGTGTGGTCTTTCAAAAATGCTGTATTTTGAGTATTTAAAAAAAAAAAAATCCTATTTTTATTATAGGCCATGTTCATGCAGCACATGCTGGGGAAAATCAAACATACCGTAAAGATAAAAAGACACAACATACAAAACGCTAAAGCCGTCTGAGTCAACAGAAAATAGAGTTTTCTCGATTCTAAACTGTTCTGAGAGCTTCCTGCGAGCTATTAACTTACTGAAGTTCTGCTATGACCTCCGGCATGTTTTTGAACATTTCCTCCATTTGATCGGAAGCCTGGCGGCAGTCCCGGGTCTTCTTTGTCAGGTCACTGATCCGGCCCGCGGTGGCGTCATATCGCTCGGCGGCGGCGGCGAGTGAAGCCTGTCAACAAACAGCCGCATTTATTCTGAAAGTGTGTTGTTTCCTTCAAAGTGTTGAAAGATTACTTTGTTCCACAAAAGAATGACATGAGAAATCGCCGGGACCAGCTTCGTGCTCAATGAGCTTCACGGAGGGAAGCTGACTTGGCGACTGCTCTCCGACTCAGGATGAATTGCTTGTGTCACTATTTACTTTTCTCTTCCTACCTGAGCAGCTTTCAGGTGGTCACGTTGGAGTTGTTTGTCCGTCTCAAGTTTGACTAATGTGTCCCTGTGTTCACGCTGGCTCTCCTCAAAATGTTCTGCCAGTTTCTTAATTTTCTGTATGAACAGAAGATTAGATTATTACCTTTTTTCACACAATTGTATCAATGTACAATTTGCCTCAGGCTGAGATTATATTTATCAAACTGTCTCATTACCAAAAATGAGGTCTCCAGTTCTTTGGTCACTGAGGATGCATCTTCAAACTCTTTCTGAAGTTTCTGGTTAGTCAGCGCTCTGCTCTTTTGCTGTCGATACAGTTCCTCACTTTTATTCGCACACTGACCCTGATGAGATAGACAACAGGACGCAGAACGTCATCATCCGAAAGGCCTCAAACACTCACCGGGGGGCAAAAGCAGTAAGAGGAGATGTAACGGCGGTGGGAATGTATTAAATTACACACATTACAATTACGTTACATTTTTATTGAGAGTGCGCTTTGTGACGCGTCACCTCTTCACATCTTTCATCTAATAACATCAAACCTCTGCATAAAACCCTGCAAAAATACCTTGATGGTGAATTTACCTTCAGTAGCTCCAGGGCGCTCGTCCGACCCGTCAGATCCTGCCTCAGCTTTTCGATCTCTTTCTGTCGAGCACACAGGTAACACAGACGAACACGATCGGTCCCTCACATTTCAGCCATTGAAGCTGGACACGCGTCTCAAACGGACCTTGGTCCTCTGCTCCTCCGCGAAGGTGAGCTTCTCCCGCTCGTCCAGCGTGGCCCGGGTGACGCCGTGCCGGGCTACGACCTGGGCCACTTCCTCCTCGGCCTCTTCCCACCGCTCGTCATTGTCGATGATGCTCAGCAGCATCTGCTTCCTCTGCTCGCGCATCTCCTGCACCGCCTTCTCGCTAACAAACAAGAAAACAAAAAAAAAGAAGATTATCACACAGTAAATAGCATTAACAAACCAACAAACGGGTGGTCGGATGCATTCCTGCATTGCTCTGCACCTCTCAGACATTTTCATCCTGTAGTCCTCCGCATTCTGTTCACACTCCATGTTCTCTTGACGAAGAGCCTCAAAAGCGTTACGTTTTGAAAGGAGCTGCTCTTCTATGCAGGAAACCTCGGCTTCCCCGTGAAGCCTCTGTAGATAACATGACATAACATACAGTGTGCTGCAGAGCGGATGCACTTATCCAAAACCCCTCACAGAGCCGCGGCTTCGAGCGGCATCGGCATGCAGAGCTCCAGCGAGAGGCCGTTCGCAGTCTGGCAGTCGTGTTTACTGCGCTCTACCAAAAGAACTATCAGGACACACATAAGCAGACAAAGCCAATGTTATGAAGGTGACGATACTCACGGCCTTCTCGATGTCTTCTCGCAGTGCGGTTAGTTTGTCTTTTGATTTCTTATTCTTTTGCATTTCAACCTCGATTTGAAGTTTCAGTTGCACAATCTGTAATGAAAAGGAGGGAAACCTCAAAAGGACTGAACGGTACCTTTGTGGAAACTTGAAGCAAATCTGCAAAATATCCTTTACTCTGTCGTTTTCCGTTTTCTCGAGCTCCATCATTTCAGGGATGCGTTGCATTGTGGCCGCCACCTTTTTTTCTGTGAGCGCGATCGTCTTTTCGGCGTCCTGTATTTGTGCCAGTTGACCCTCCTCAATCCCGGTGAACCGGTTGGATTCCCCCCTGGAGAGTAAAGCAGTTCTGGTGGATTAAAGGCCGTTTTTGAAATACACATAGTTGGCTCAGGATTTGGAATCACACAATCATTTAGAATACGGGTGGAGGACGTGTCCCATGCAGGACACTCCTCAGTGAGAAGGACACGTACCACAGACTGACTGATTACTCATTCATGTGCAATATCACCAGTGCACAATATCGACATTCTGGGCAATATCGCTATTCCATCCGCTATCAACATTTCATATTTCCGTGTTTGAATGTGCAGTAATGTGAACTCAACCATTCAGCCTGTCTATGATTATATATTTTTTTACTGTTTACTTATTTAGTATACCCTTACTGTTTGATTACTTATTCATCGTGCTCGTTTTATTTCGTACGGATGCATCTCCTTTTCACTGCCGTCAAACCGCATATTCCCCCGACGTGGAACTAATATCGGATTACAGGACTTCAGGACTTCAGCATGAAAGAAAAGCCATTTATTTTGTACATCTGAATCCTTTTCTAAGTTTGTTGAATGAATGGTTTGGTTTGTTACAGTGAGCCTCGTCGTCTGGTAATGCAGCATTAGGCAGAAGTATTGTTGCTATGGATACATGCAGTTTAATACACCTTGCACCCTGATTTAAAGCAGCAGTTGACCACGTCTTGTTTTCGAAAATACTTCTAGTAACAAATTAAACGTTACTTTGGATATAAATACATTTGACTTCAGATGTTTTCTGGAACTTCCTTTGTACTTTGATAGTGTACAGTGCATAAAACCTTCTAGAAATCACAGAATATAAAGGAAGTAATAATTTGACCAAACAACGAGAATACAGTGAGTCTATCATTTGTCTCCTCTGATGCACTGAGATACTCACAATGTCTTATCCAGCTTGTTCTTTATGGCCAACAGTTCACTATCCAGTCCGGACATTTCATCGTTGGTGTCCAGCTGCAGCTGTTTTTTCTCCTCCTCCACCAGGAGGAGATCACTTTGTGCTTTCGAGCAAACTTCATCGGCCTAAAAAAAGTGTTTTCCTCAGATGTTATTAGTGAACAATTTCCTGTAATTAATCTCTAGAGGTATAGATGAAGATAGACTTCACCTATAAGCCACTGCCAGGGGCCCACGGCGAGGCTCCGCACATATTGGGGATATTATTTTCGATTTCTTTGCTCAGCTTCGGCGAATATTTAAAAATCTAGAAGTAACCCTGTGAAATTCCAGATACGTAGATAAACATTTGAATATCGGAGCCCGAGGATTTACGCTCAGTCACAACACTCTCAGGCAATGACCTGATGAAAAACACATCATCAGTACTAATTGAGTCAGCCTGGTGTTTTATTTGGGAGCCATGAAGATGCAGAGATTTGGCATAAAGGTCGACCCCCCCCCCCCCCCCCCCTCTCACTGGGACACATATTTGTATAAAGGCGTCTGACTCAAAGTGCAATTGAGCTGAATTCCGTCGTTACATGTTGGTGCATCCAGATTGGAAGGGAAAAAATTACAAAGAAGAAAAGCTAAATGAAAAGTGAGGGAATTATTTGGGTGATTAGGATGCGTCCTCTGGGGACCATGAATGTCCGTACCAAATTTCATGGCATTCCAGTTATTTTGTTAAAACGGAATGACTTTCCTCGACCAATGTGTTGGATAAACACCGGACCGACGGACCAACGCGCGTCCCATAAATCCCCCGCGCCGCGCCACTTGTGGATTTAAAATAGATTTAAAAGAGAGCGAGTGGGTGAGCGAGTGGGTGAGCGAGTGAGAAAGAGCTATTTTGTGAGGAAGTAACAAATGTTCTTTGCTTGGTGCTTATTCTGCAGTGGTCACGTGCACAGGAGTGAAACAAAGGGGAGTTTACCTCCGCTCGGGCGCTGTTGATTCCATCTATGAGTCCTCTCTGGAGCTCCAGGTTCTCTCTCACAATAGGAATTTGTTTTCGGGCAAAGTTGATGTCCTCGTGTAAGTTCTGGTTCCACACCTCAGTGAGTGACAGCTTCTCCTGTGCTCGCTGAAGTTTCTCCCTTTCTCTCCTTAGCTGCCACTTCAGCCCAGTGATGTCTCTGATGCACGCCTCGTGCTCTGCAAAAAAAAAAAAAGAAACAAGTCAAAAATGCATCGCAATATTTCCTCGCGGAAATGACCCTAAACCTGTCAGTCACGGACCTCTTTGGACTACAAAAGCGTGCTCTCGTTGCTTCCAAATTGTAATACTGTCGAGTTGGTTCTCCAAAAATCTTTTTCTCCTCTTCTCTTTGTCGAGAGCTTCCTCTGCGTACTGCCGATCAGCCTCCAGCCGCTCAATCAGATACACGACCTCTCCGAGGACGTCGTTTATTTTCTTCAGCAGTGGCGGTAAAGGACAACTTTTGTCTACAGGAATACAAACTTTACAAGATTGGTGCATTGCAATCGACTGTGTGGCACGTTAAACTCAATAACAAACTCAATGGCGAGTAAACTATTATTTGCAAAGCTCTGTTCCTGTAATCTGACCGACTGCAAAGCGAACATGAACCCCAAAAATCAATGGTGGATACTGGATGCTTCTTTTTCATTATCACGTAGACAAAAGATGTGAACCGGGACAGGTGGGAATTATTGTCCCACTGAAAAACTACACCTTGAGCTTCTCCAAAGGAAGCGCGCACCTCACACGTAGGTGTTGCACCTTTATCTAAAATGAAAAACTGGTGTAAAAATATTTTAGAAAAGGACTTTATGGTATTAGAAAAAGAAAAAGGTTCACCTCTCGCAATGATAGCGATGCCTTCAACGAACAATTCCGCAGATGTCACTGATTCGGTGTCTGAGTCTCCGGACTGAAATCTGTTTTAAGAAAGTTCCGTTCTGTTTCCACATCCTTCTGAATATAACAAAATAAAACAGGAGGACTTCACCTGAAAGTCTTGCGGTGTTGATGCTTTTCCCGACTGATCTGCAGTGGATATTTTCCAGACTGGTACAAGACAAAAAGGGAAATAACTGCCTTTCTAAATCATATTTAATTTTACGATATCTCCTCGTCACATCTGACATCGGTTTACCTGTTGACACCAGTTTTCCACCGTCACCTTCAGCTCTTGGATATGCTGAATGGCGTTGTTCACACATGGCAAGGGGCTGTTGAGCAAAGCACACGTGCGACGCCTACCAGTGCGGACAGCCTGGAAATCTGCTTGATCTGGAGAAAGACAAAACTTTATTTGGCTGTGAAAGAGGTTCTTCACTTTTCCCCTTTGTTGCATAAACCCTGCAGGACATTGGAAGCATCAGTGACAGAGCACAGACAACCAATTCAAACGTCTCAAGACAAACCCAAGGGCACAATTCTCAGTGGTGAAAGGGCGCCACCTGGCGGCCGTAATGGGCAACGGAAACAGTGCCGGTGGCAATAACTCAACATCTGAGGAACATCTTAAGTCTATTGTCCACATCACCACGTGATGCTTATTTATGACTAAAAACGACGAGCGCAAAATCAAAACAGTGATGTTTGTTTCAGACCAAGTTGATGTCGGGGACAAAAAGTTACCTGTAGTTTATATTCTTTCGATGGACACATATTTCCTTGCACGGGAAAGTAGATAAAAAGACAGAAAACAACCACAAATATACAGACTGTTTAGAAAATAATGTTTTGGTGAAAAAGGAGGTAATGTTTATTTTCACTACCGGCCCACAAGACTGAGTGGAAAAGAGAGGTTTATAACCACCAACACATTTCCCTTTGAATTACAGTAATTTAGCCAATTTTCTAGTAATTTATTTTGATGGACAACTTTTGTTCCATGTGTGTGTGTGTGTGTGTGTGTGTGTCCAACTTAACAAGCTGAGGGGTACCGGCCTTGGAAAGAGGGGTCTGCCCACACATTCCGCTGGACATGAATGTACTCCACCCAAAGGCGGGCAGGCCCACACCCACTAAGGTATCATCCATTGCCCCGGGGGGAGGGGGAGACTTGCACCACCTGGCGCGCATGCACCCGTCTGGCCAGAAGGGACGTTTCCTGGCACTGTTCTGAAAAGGACATGCATCCCACGTTCGGGGTGGTTGATTTGCTCCTTTCATGACGGTCTGACGGGTAAACGACCACGTCAATGGCGCGCCGTTAATTGAACAGTGGCTGGAAGTGAGCCGACTCAGGGGGGAAACTGTGGGGAGACACGAAATGACTGCTGAGCACCTCAGATGAATAATGCACAGTGAAGGAAGGCCGAGAGGCCGGATGCCACCGGCGGGGCGAGGAGGCTCCAAATCAGGCCGGCAGGGAGGGTTACGGCCACGGAGCAGGCCCAAGTGAGCCAGCTTCACCTGGAATTCCACTAACAACATCAGATATTTCAACAGGTAATTATCACAAAACTGAGACAGGTGTGGTATCCAAAATGGCCGACATATTCTGTGTGTCAATAAACCACCACTGGTTTGTTTGTTTGTTTGTTTGTATTTCACCTCACATCCGTATCAATCGCTTGCTGTCTGCACTTGTAAGAAATGCCGGGTGATTATTCTCACCTTGCGGGCTCGGTCGCTCTTCCCTCGACGGGAACCTGAGCGGTTCGACGTCCGGCATCGAGTCCTCCGTCCCGGTGAGGCGTCCCGGTCCAACGTTTAACGGACGCCGTCCTGATTGGCGGTTTTAAACCGGACCCTCCCGGTGATAAAGGCCGCCGGTTGAACGTCCCGGACTGCGTTGAAGTCGTGCGAGCGTCGGCAACGTTTAAAGTTGACGGTTAATTAACTCGGCCGATGCCATATTAATGAGCGGCGGGGGGGCTGTTGTCATGGCAGAAAGTGAACGCGAACGCATGTCGGGCTATCGGCTTACTCGTGTTTTAACCTTTTGACCGCCAGCTATCTGTTAGCATGACGTCATCTCTGTCGTTTATCGGTCTTCTGCGTGACGCGGCGGAACCCGCGAAGCCTTTTAATAAAGTTTACTTCAAACGAATCGGTCGCTGTCAATCTCCCACGGGGGGAGGGAGGGGGTGTTGCTTAGCAACAAGGGTCTGCTGCTACGAGGGGGCGCGGTGCGTTCAAGAGCACAAGCGAAGGTTTGTGATTTCAGGGGTGTTTGCTGCTTAATGTGACAAGTACAACAGATTCCATTGACGATGACGGTAAAGACCCTCATCTTGCTGTAGAATGTGTGTGCATTTTTAAAGTTATTAGCAAAGGCTTAAAATCTAAACTTCTACACAAAAATAATATCTATTGTCTTTATTAACATTTGTTGTGTTACAGATCAGATCAAGGAGTAAGCGGTCGTCTATATTTGGAACAGCGCTACTCCTATAAATTAATCACATAATTTGTACGTTTCTTGAGCAAAATGGAACATTCGTGCATCTGAAACTCCCAAAACAGCCAAAATCATACAATCCAACATGGATATTTATCTTTTTATATTTCTGGTTGCAAAACCTCTACATACCTTGATTGTTTTCATTTACTGTCATATTACTTTACCTCCCTCAATCCTAAAAAATACATTCAAAACATTTAGGAATGTATTCAGTTACTCGGATTTTTTTCAACTACAAGAAATCAGTTTCTCTTTAATGCTCTTCATTCTACAGCAATTGCAATGTCTGTTATTATTTTTGTTCGGGTATCGAACAACTCGCGTCTCGATGACGTCATCTTCCCATAGCTATAAAAAAAAAGAGGAAAAAAAGGCGAATTAACAGAAATGTGTTCACGTCCACGCGCAGTAAACCCGCGTGCACACTTATACCTCCTATCTGTCCCTTTCATCGCGTCAAACTCTTTTTCGCAGCATCCGCCGGCCGCGGCACACTGACGCGAAGAGAGGAGCTTGTGCGTTACGTCATCGCGGAGGCCACACGCACCGGCGGGCAGCGCTGCCCCCCCATCCCGCCCCTCCGCCGGCAGTGCTGCGCTGCCCGGAAATTTCCACACGACGAGAGCCGGTCCGCGCGGAGGAGGCGGCTCCGGATCGGCCCGCCTCGCGCAGAGATGCAGCAGCCGACCGCGGAGCGCCGCTGACCGCAGCGCGGGACCCGCGACCCGCGCCGGACGGATGGGATCGAACGGAACAAACCCAACAGATGCATCGGCGTCGCGAGGTCGAAGCACATCGTGGTAAGTCTCGTGTAAAACAACAACAACAACAACAACAAAAAGTCTGCAGCTGCTGGCGGAGGAGAGACCGCAACCTACTTTGAGTTTCAAGTTTTAGCGATTGGAAACAAAATAATGTTAATAATAACAACAACAACAACAACGGTGTGCGAGAATAAAACGCAAAACATTAGACGGGTGTCGCGTGTGCGGGATGATGTTTGTGTAACAATGCGAGCTTTGTGTTGCGAGGGCTCCACACAGGTGTCTCAGGTGTGACAGGTGACGCGCGGGCTGAGGATCCACCGCACGGTGCCTGTTGCCATTCTCGCTGCCCTGTTTTATTCTATGGTGGAATCAAAGTTGCCCTAACGTGTGTGTGTGTGTGTGTGTGTGTGTGTGTGTGTGTGTGTGTGTGTGTGTGTGTGTGTGTGTGTGTGTGTGTGTGTGTGTGTGCGCGTGCGCGCCCAAAAGCACAGCTCTTTAAAGCTCGTGATCAGAATGCGAAATGTATCCTGTCAAATCACGTCAGCACAGAGAAATTTCTATTTCTGATACTTTGAAACTTTTGCGTTGAGTGCAAAGAGCTTTACACAAAAACAACCTGAATTTGTAGCTGCTCTGTCATTTAAGAGCTGAGGTTTTGGCCTTTTTGCAGCTGAAACCATGGTGATGATCAGCGGGCGGCAGAGAGCGGAGGGACATCCAGACACGCTACCTACACAGTATTCACCACAACACAAACGCACAACACCTCCCAGCTCCAGCCGGTTGACCTGAAGTCCATCGCACAGCTTTCTTTTTTTTTAAACTTATTTCGTCTTTTTCTTATTCCTCTCCGGGGATGGAATTCGGATGCCAGTCTTGTGATGTAAAAATAACTCTGGCCAATCACCGGTGACAGCTGCGGCGTGCCGCCAAACACAGACTCAAGCAACTGCTTGTGTCTGGGAAACCTTGATTAGCGCTGGTAATGTAAATAACCGACCTAAGAGGCCTCGCAGTCCAATGTTAAAGTCGGTGCAGCGTTACAGATGGAGTCGTTCCTGCGGGTCCCTCGGCGGCGGCGCTCCAATGTGGACGGCACGCGGGGATTTTCTTCTTTTTAAGGGCAGTTATTAGTCTCCTGCTGCCGATGTTTGCTGGGCACGTGCCAGGAATGAGGGTTCGGGGGTCTGCAACCAGAGAGCCAGCGAAGAATGTGGAGCCTTCTCATTTGGAGTTAAAGATAGAGGCAGCGCGGCCGGGCTCCTGGCTGACAAGTTTCTGGTTTCAGACATCCCACTACTCGTCCATGTGGGTAAAATCTGCTTTTTCAGAAAGCAGTCTGTGTTGCAGACGATTGTTTTCTCGGAGGAGGACCGGGCTTTGCAATAACAACCATGGTGCTTTATGAGAGGTATGTTGATCATCTTGATATCCCGCCGCCTCGCCGCCGCAGACTTTGTGTTGGCTGTGCTGGTTTAATATCGGCTCCAATAGATCGTATCAATCTCGGTTATTTCCGCGAGTGAAAGCAGAGCACAGGAGGTCACGAGAGAGAGAACGATATCAATGTTCATTTATGAAATGGTGTCTGTCTGTAGACTTCCACGTCCACTCGCTGTGTGAGAGACGGATGAGACGGGATTTCTTCTGCTTCCAAGATTGTTTACATCCTGAGTAGTTGTCCGCTGTTGTCATGACCTTGTTTTAACTGATGGAACCTTCATTTATTATTCATGTGTTAACACAGGGTTGTCATTTACAACAATGCTAATATGGATTATCTGCTCTGCTTTGTCATGATAACGTGTCGTTGATAACCAGTTATTATATATGTATTTTGCAGCACTCACCGCTTTTGCTGCAAAGTGATTTCCTGAAATAACCAATATACTTGTTTCTGCACTTCCAGCGTGGTTTTAATCCCTTCCCTCCTAATCTGCATTTCCAGAGATTCCTCGAGCGCCGCAATTCACCGCTTAACCGGCCGGAAAAACAAAAGTCTACTGTTGCTCGCTCCAATTTCCACACCGTGGAAATGGCGGCGTGACATTTCATTTATTGTCAGAAGTAACTCGAGATAACGATCGTCTCGCTGAAAGCGTCCACCCCGACCAAGAAAATTTACAAGTGCAAACTTTTGTCTGCAGACTCTGCTTGTCTTCAGTGTGATGTGTAGTTTGCGAGGGGGGGGGGGGTGCACTCTCCTCGTACTATGTTTTTATGAATAGAGTGGCTGGGATCTTTGCTGCCATGGCAACAGACCACATGACTAGCTGTATTAGATTGCCTCAGACGGTGTGCAGCGAGGCATGGTGTGAGCATTCTCTCTGCTGCGCTGCCCCTTTGAAAGTCTCGTCCTTGTCTTACTTACGCCCCCCCCTCCAGTCCCCTCAATCGGATCTCTGCACCGTAGTGTGCTTTGTTTATTTTGCACATGTTACATTGATGTAGAAATTGAGGTCAGTGTGTGTTTACCACTGCCGGAATAAACTGCTTTGCCCGAGGGCAAAATGAGCCGTGCTCCTCTGTTGTCCCACCTCCCCCGTTGGTATTTATAATTATGGTTTTTTTGGCCATTTAATTAAGCATGAAAATGCCCACGGCCTTAATATTTCAAGCTAGATTGGAATTCCGGGTACGAGCGTGAGGCAGCTGCTGAAGGTCTGGTGCTTCTGCAGGTGTTCACATCCTTCCACTTCTTGTTTAGCTTCGGATGCCGCTCAGCAAATGTGCAAGCGATTAGATAACCACAAACGGATTTGCAAATTCGATTGATCCTTGAACTCCCCCCCCAGCCACACATTGATTACCCATTGGTAGCTAAGCAACCATAAGTAAGCACAGCGGGCCCGTCCGCCTTCGGATTTCTTCACGAATTGAAGCGACGCACGTAGGAAATAGTCAGATGATTGAAGGGCTTGGAGGCCTGTTACCGTGTCTGTTAGCATGTGAAGCTAACGTAACTAATGCTAACGGCCTTGAACACTCTGTTACCAGCAGTCAACGAGATGAGTGTTTTATCTGGTTGGTTGAAACCGAGCTCACCGCTGTGACTTTCACGTCTCCGCCTGAGGGAGCTGACTTTATGGCCTGCAACACGCGGCTTGAGCTTCGGCCCATCACGGTAACGCGCGTAGCAGCCAAGCGCACATTTTGAGTTCGAGTGAAACTCTGGACCCACTGTTTCTTAAACCGCTGTGGACTCTCGAGGGGGGGGAATCCGTATCTCTTGTCCCTGTGAACCGCTGAGCAAGAGCAGAGCTTGGCAACGGTAACTGAGGGTGTGAGGCTTAGTTACCAGTGATCTCGGAGCCCTTAGGTGCCTCGAGCGTCTCAGGCATTTAAAGTGAAATGATGTGGCTCCGTGTTGTCAAACGGGCTTAATGTTACTACAGTTTAAACAGGGAGTCATAAAGTCACGACACACGCTGATAAACAAATGTTTCGAGACGCGGCTGAAAATGTCAGGTCAGCACGGCGGCTTTTATAGGACGGGTGTTTGTGGACGCACACCGGCTCTGACATTACTTTCTCTCCTCTTCACCAGAATGATTGAAGACTTTGGGCAGCGCGGTGACAACATGGCAGATCGAAGGCAACTGTTGGTGGAGATGAGTAAGTGTTGAGGGCCGCGGCCCGGCGTGATCTATGTGTGTCTTCTGTTTAACTCGCTGAACATGAAAACGGCAAATTCCGCTCTGTGGCTTTCTCGGTTCCACCCGATAGATTTTAAACACACGTTGTTCAACGTTAGATAAATAAATAAAGTGAAATAGAGTATTTTCATAGGTCCAAAATTTACATAATCTCACTATTTTTTCCAATCCACCAGTGTGGTTTTATTCATCTGATATTGAACATTTCTGAGCCTGCACACACTTTCTAGCATCGATGTTCCGATGTTATCTGATAACGAGTAATTTATTCTTCAGGGGCTCAAGATCTGGACTCCATACGACTGTCGACGTACAGGACGGCCTGCAAGCTGCGATTTGTGCAGAAGAAATGCAACCGTGAGTACGACGCGGTGCACTCCCAAAGCCCTCCCGCGCCAATCCAAACGCCAACGCTCCGTTTCTCCCGCGTCCAGTGCACCTGGTCGACATTTGGAACGTGATCGAGGCTTTCCGAGAGAACGGCGTCAACGCCATGGACCTCGGCGACGAGCTCCCCGCGGCTCGTCTGGAAGCGGTGCTGTCCACCATCTTCTACCAGCTCAACAAGCGCATGCCCACCACGCACCAGATCGCGGTGGAACAGTCCGCCGGCCTGCTGCTCAACTTCCTGCTGGCGTCCTATAACCCGTGAGTGGCGGGGTCGCGTGACGCGCCGCGTCGGCGGCTGGTTGTGTTCTCGTGTAGTTGTGCTGACGCGATGTGAGGATCCTCGAGAATGTCTCTGCTCTCCTTTTCAGGGAAGGCCAGGGCAAGATGTCTGTCTTTGTTGTGAAGATGGCGCTGGGAACCATTTGTGGAGGGAAAATCCTGGATAAATTGAGATGTAAGCAACACAGCAAATACTCATTTTACTTTTTAATTGTGAGAAATTAAATTTTTCCTATAACGTTATTTTTTTTTAATATACCCGCCTTGGAATTTCCAAACACTATTAATGTCTGTATTTACTATATCTCTGCTTAGCCTCCGTAAAGGAAGAAGCAGCACTGGCTGAAGAAGTCATTATTCATTATACAAAGGATCGGGTTTATTACATAATCTACAAAATCCGTGGGAGCAGTCGCAATGGCCCGTGAAGGGAAAAAGAGGAGGGCTGTGTTGCTGGTGTATAATAAAAATTGATTCACTCTGATTTGTTTTCCCAAATAAGTGGGATAATTGTCTTGTGTTTGCTGTAATTAGCCAACTGTGGTGGCAACCGACAATTAGCTTAATTAATTTGTGTAATGTCTGCCTGCCTTGTTTCCAGATATTTTTTCCCAGATATCCGATTCTGCAGGAACGATGGTCCACTCGCAGTTCGACCAATTTCTGAGGGAGGTGCTCAAATTACCCATGGCGGTTTTCGAGGGGCCGTCATTCGGCTACACCGAACAAGCTGCGCGAACGTGCTTCCCGCAGCAGGTGAGGGGTTCGCTGATTATGTGAGCATTGACGTCCCGGGAGGGGGGGGGGGGGGGTCATGATTTCCCCTCAATCTCCCCTTGGCCTTTTAACAAAAAAAAGGGTCCCCCAACCCATTCCTCCATTCCCCGATTTCGGACCCCGCCCCCCAGTGGCTGGTGTGGCCGCCGCTCAAGCATCGGCCCCCCCACCTCGAAAACGGTACGACCCCCCGCCAAAAATTTAAGCCCGGGGGGGGGGGGGTAAAGTTTTTGCCCCAAATCTTTAAGGCTCCCTTTCGAGAGGGGTGTGTGTGGGTTGAATGTGCCCAGACCAACACATCAGCACCTCCTGAGCAGTAGAGACACAGTCACATGTTTACACACATACACAGCACATCTGTCCTATAAAATGAGTGAAAATTAATCCTCTTCTCTTTACAATCACATCTGCTTGTGTGCATGTGTTTGTCCATCTGCGCCCCCCCCCCCCCCCCCCCCCCCCCCTGTTCCCCCCCCCAGGTTTTTTTTCCGGGGGGGGGGGCCACCCGCCCCCCCGAGGGGGAGAGGGGCCCCCCCCCCCCCCCCCCACAAGTGTAAAATTAAACCCCCTTTGGGAACCCCTTTCTGGAGGGGCATGCCAGCGGTTCTTCTTAGCAACCAGCACCAAATGAAGGAGTATACGTCATGGGTAAGTGGAGGAGGAGGAGGAGAAAAGGGGCGGGCTGAGGGAGGCGTGGTTGGGCCACATGCGATGTGAGGATGCTGAACGCCGCATGCAGGGGGACGGTGACGACGCCACGTGTTTTGGAGAGAGAGAGAGAGAGTTAACTCGCCCGCGTTTTCAGGATTTTCCCGTTGCTTATGTGTTTCACCCAGAAATCCCCCGCTAAGAAGTTATCCCACGCGCTGAGTAAATCCCTGAGCTGCGCCTCCAGCAGAGAGCCTCTTCACCCCATGTTTCCCGACATGCCAGACAAGCCTCTCAACCTGGCTCACGTTGTGTAAGTTCAACCGCTTTCTCTCCCCCGGACTGCCGGACGCGCATTTCTCCCCAACGTTTGATTTCATCCCTCAGCTGATAGTTGCCCTTTTCGCTGCCTCGAAGTCTGGAGTGAATCCAGTCAGTCTCGTGGGTCAGCTGATGAATGGGGCTTAATTATAACCCTGGGAATGATTGTGATCTGCAACACCGCTGCTCCCCGTCCCTCGACTTTGATGTTTTGAGTGGTGTAAAGATAACGTCACAGACTCCACAAGCGCTGGCTGAATACCAATCGGGTGCTGTTTATTAAAGGCAGGTATAGTTACACGCAGTAAGGCCACTCCTGGAGTGAACATCTGTTTGTGCGTTTATTCCCTCAGCCTCACGTTTAAGATGCATTTCACAGGATAATAGTTTAATCCAACAGGATTCAGGTTATTGAAGTTTGGTCCAACTGAGCCTGACAATTACTGGATTTTTGAGATGAAACACGTCGTTATTATAAACAGTGCCAATTGCGTTTGGGCGAAATAGTCCTCGATTCATTATTTTCCTATTTCAGTAAACTTATTGAAAACTCTTTCTACATTTAACATATTTGCACTGCTGGGCTGGTTGTGATGAACATGTTTTCTGTTCTGTCCCTTCCTCAGAGATACGTGGTGAGTTTGCTTTGCTTTGCCTACTCAACACGTCGTAAAATGTGTCCGTACCTTTTTTGTGACCCGTAGATCTGAATCCTTTGTTTTGTGTCGCATCCAGAGTAGAGCCTCAGTCTGTGTGTGTCGATCCACGGATCCATTCCCCCTCTCGTTGCATGTTTTCATTGAGCACAAACCCTGCTCAACCGACCCTCTGTGACTGTGTCGTGGTGATGTGATGTATGCAGAGTCTACCGTCAACACTCCCGCACACGCAAACAAAAGTTGTGTCTGTTTTATCTACGTTTGACTTTCCGTTCAGGCCCCCGAGACCCGTGAACGTCACCAATGACTACTCGCTCTCCCACTCCATGCCCACATCGGGGAACCCTTACTCCACCAAGAAGTGAGTACACGCCACGCCTGCCTCCGCTCGTCCTTGTTTTCCAAACTAATGCGCACGCGGGAACATTTGTGTGTCATCGAGCTCCTTCTGTTTTTTGTTTTTTTTCTTTCTGTGTGGTTCTTTGTGCTGGATGTAAATGGATTTTATTGCAGCAAGAATAATGACGTTGAGCAAAGAAAGCCGTTGACTCGGGCGGCTCCACATCTGTTCAAAGGGAGAGGGTAAGTGACCCAGGTGTGAACGTGAGACGGTGCTGCAGCCTAAATGCACGAGTAGACTAATGCAGATAATCACCACGGGGCATAAACGGCAGCGAAGGGTTTACATCGTTGTACTTGAGGGGCTTTTTAAAGAAATGCTGGAGGAAGAATGCGCCATAAACATATCATATGTCTACAAACGTATCTATCACAAACGTTGTGGGAAACCGCTGCTTTTGGAATGCAAGCGTCTTTCCTTCGTCATCCACTTTGTTGAAGCTGTAAAACAGTTTTGTTAAGAAATCAAAACCTGTTTCAGTTGCTATTGACATTATTTTTGTATATTTTTATCTTAATGTGATTTTCTTTCAGTAAAAGGCCTTTGAGCTCCTCTGCAGCTGCACTCGACGGGGACGGTGTTTCTTTAAGGGAACACTGGTTCCTTTCATAGCTCGTTCTTATGATGAGTGAGCGTTCTCAGCTCATTGTGCATATCGGAGCATCTGACCTTGTGGTCACTGTCTGCACAGAGGCCGTATGATGCGGTTGATGTGCCCTTTGAAGCTTGACCGGCTAACTTCTGCTCAACTAACGGCTGAGAATACGTTCCGAGACTCCATGACGAGAGTTTCCATTTGGTGCACTTCCAAAACAAGAAGGCTACACTTCCTACAATGCAACAGGATATATTGAAAATGGGTTGATTGTGTGCGTATACTGTCTAAAGTCGCTCATAGGTTTAAACCCGCAGTTTATCTTTGCATCCTTTATTGATTGTCGTTATCTTTCTAGTAGCATGTGGTGCAGCTTTCATCAGGAGGTCAATTTGCAGTAGACGCTGTTTTTTTTAAATCGATTTAGCCACTTGAGAAAATTAGAAAGAAAGCTAAAGTTAATAATTAAAACGGTTTAGCCTAATGCTAAAAATAATAGACAATTCATGCATTTGTTTTACATTTCTTCTGATGAATCGGCGATGTTGCTCTTCGTTAATTCTGCATCGACCTTCCAGAGACGGTTGCTGAAGGAGTTTGTGATGCAGACGGGAAGCCTCTTAGAAATAAAGGAGCTACACCGCAAAGCACGCTGGACATGTTTGAGTGGCAGACTGTTTTACTTCTAAATAACTTTCCATAGTTTTAATAACAAAGCGCCGAGCGATTGATGCATGTAAACGCGCAGCTCGTGGAGCTTTTCTTTGCTTTGGCACGTCCTAAACCCGTCTCCTCGCCTTCGTCACTGGAGTCTCCCTCCAACATAACACGGCCTTGTTTCTCTCCGGTCGCCCGTGAACGGCTGCTTTTCAGCCGCTCGCCCCCTCTGCCCCCTCGCCCTTTCGCCTCTATTGTCACGTTGTGTGTTTTGTGAAACCTTGCGCCGCTGCAGGTTGAACTACAACCTTGATGTTGCCGATAGGCTTGCAGACGAACACGCTCTCATTGGCCTCTATGTGAATCTCCTCCAAAACGACCACAAAACATGGTTAGTTTGTGCGGCGTGGTTTGTCCCCGGGCCTAACCTCATTGTGAGTGTGTTCCGGCGCTAACGCTGCATGCCGCCACGTTTACACACCAGTCATCTCAAACTCGCACTGTTCTGACCTATTTGTATCGGAGTTTATTTTGATCAAAGTGAAACCCTTATTACCCTTTTTATGTTAGTTTTCTATCATGGTTTCTGACTGAAATATGCAAAAGAAAAAGGGCAAAAATGTGTCAGTTACTTACCTGGTACCAAATACTTAAAAAAACCTTTAGCTGCTGCTCAGGTTTGACCTCTTTAGTCTAAAATGAGTTTGTTGTGAACCACTAAATCTGTGCAAGCTGAGTTGGGTTTTATTTTACCACTTGAAGGATGACAGTGTGTGTGTGTGTGTGTGTGTTTGTGATGGTGGTTTCAGGCTCGTCTAGCATGGTGGCTCTCAGTAGCTTTCTGTGTGACGGCATTTTACAGCTTTTATTTTTACTCCATCATTGATAAGTAACCCCCCCCCGATTCCGTCCGCTCCTCCTCGCTAAGAACTAACCTGACTATCCAAACAAACTAAACTTTTTTTATGTATTTCCTTTTCCTCCGCATGCACGGTTGATTTATGCGTAGCGGCGTACTAACCATGTCGCGTGGTGGCTTTCCCCCCTTCACCAGTTTGCTGGAGGGTACCCATCAAGATGAGGAGCACAGCCTCATCGCCCGCTACGCTGCTCGACTGGCCGCCGACGCCGCGGTGAGACATACGCCGTATTTATTGCCCGGCCACACCTTGGCATCTGTCGTCGGTGTCCGCAGCCCAAAGTCTGTCCTTCGTGGGGGTTTTAACGTGCGCCGCAAGCTGCGAGGAGTTCGTTTCCTTTCATTGGGAAGATGGCGAAGGGGTTTTACGGGCGGTGATCATTTCTAACCAGACCTTCCACACCTGTTTATGCTCGGATCGGGTCTTGATAGACGGCCGGTGTCTTGCCTGTTTGATCGCCTCCTCCCCCCGTGAGATAAGGTCGATGGATGACATCGTGCCGCGGTAAAAAAAGCCACTTGGCGTGATGTCTCTCGCTCGGCTTCACCAACAGGCTCAACAGCAGCGGATCCCCACGGACCTGCCGTGCTCGCTGGATGCCAACACGCAGCAGAGGCAGCTCATCGCCGAGCTGGAGAGCAAAAACAGGTCAGGGATGACTGCTTCGGTGATGCTTTTCGGTCCTCTGTTGCTTTTGCTCAAGAGATTCCCCGAGAGGATAAAGCGTCCTGGTCTGACAAAATACACTCAAAGCTCATGCATTACCAACAACTGCTATTATTGCTATAAACGTGTAAATAAAACCATTTATATGAAGTTTAAGACTGAAGAATATAGCAATTTATTTATATAACATATTTTACGCACAGTGGAAAATTTAAAATTACACAAAACAAATAAAAAGCAAGTTTAACATTAATATGACAGCGATAAGTAATGTTGAATAATGATACCAAAGGGGAGAAAAAAGTCCAATTACAGGCAACAGTGATCAAGTGCATATATGCTGCAGCTATAATTAATACTTTTTTTAATACAAACAATGTGACTGTTTCTACACGTGGTTAACAAACCTGCAGAGAACCATCACCCGACTGCAGCTCCTTGATGGGCTCACGGTCACACTGGTGAATAGAGAGCGCAGCCGAGGTCGACCATGTAACATGTGTACTCCGGGATTCTGAAAAAAACAACTGTACACTACCTGCTGCAGACGCACACAATCTAACCGCTAGCTGGTCAACTTAGTGGAACTTTTAGAAGATCTTTCCCTCAGGAATTTAAACAGCATAAAGTGAGTAAATATCGGACCTCATCAGGCAGATACAAACTAATATTTGCTATAAGTAAGGTGATGGATTATCCACAGATTGTTTCTGGCGCCCTCAATTTGCCAAAAACAACTCTTGTTGGACAACTGATTTACCCTCAATGAGTTTATCCGCTTTGAAAAAGCGCGTCTGACCTGTGCGACCCGGTTTGTTCCTCTCGCAGGGAAATCCTGCAGGAAATCCAGCGCCTGCGCGTTCAGCACGAGGAGGCCTCCCAGCCGCCGCCTGACCGGGGTCAGCAGAACCCGACTCTACTGGCCGAGCTTCGGCTTCTCAGGTAGCTCCGCTTCTGCTATATGCGGCGCATTCGCCCCCCGGCGCTTCGGCTCGGGCTGCTGCAGGACGTTGCCGTACATTCTGTGATGAGCACCAGATGGTGGAGCCTGCAGATGCTCAAACATCGGCCTGTGTGTCTTCGACGTGACATTATTGAATCATCACGACGTGCGACTTGTTTCCTCCTTCCAGGCTGCGCAAAGACGAGCTTGAACATAGAATGTCTGCTCTGCAGGAGAGTCGCAGGGAACTCATGGTGCAGCTGGAGCAGCTAATGATGCTCCTCAAGGTACGCCGACGACGTGCCTTCACGGCACTCGCACGCGCAAAACAGACACCTTCGTGATCACTGAACACACATTCTCCACTGCACTGGGATGATGGAGGTAACTTTCACTGCGGCGTCTCCCAGATGTGGGCTCTCCAGCTCTGCACATTAAGGATGAGGAACGTGTGAGCAACACCTTTAGTAGTCGCGCTCCGTGGAGACCTGTAGTGTCAGTTATTAACGGTACAAAATAGAGGTACAGCATTCACGTATCTGAGGCATGACGTCTGCGTCAAGTTTGAAATCATATCAGGCTTGAACTGCACGAGGCGTGTTTTTGAGCGACGGGAGACGACCAATGTTGTGTTTGGGTCTTTTTGCCAATGCTCTTGATTATCAACAAGTGCCTTCTGTCAGGTGCGTCTGAGTACAGTAAAAGGATCTCCCTATTTACCTCCAGGGAGTCCAGAGAGGTGGTTTAAGAACTTGGGATTATGCTCCTCCACACCTCACAGGGACAATAACCTTTGGTGCGAGAATATCTTTCCCCCCACACTGAGACAGGAGTCCCTGAAAGCTGCTGGCTGAGCTGGCTTCAGCGTGGAGCAGATCAATCTAATTAGTCTGAAAGGATCAATGTTAATCCATTAAACTTGCATGAGGAAGCCACATGCTTGCCGCATCCTGGAGAAATTACTGATTGGATTTTCTCTCAATGTGATGTGGTCGTCGTTTCATGAGCCATAAAATACTGTTGTGTGTTTTTTCAGTTGGAGGAGGAGCGGAAACCCGCTGTGAGTGCGTGGAGCAAAAAGGGGCTGAAACTACCCGCTTGGATTCAGAACGATTGCATGTTTTGACGTAAAAACCAACGGCTTCTGTTGGGTGAAAACTTTGTATGTGAGATTTTGGAGACGCACGGCGTTCAGCAGACCGTTGAAGAGCTGGAATTGCTTTTAAGGTTTTGACAAACGCAGACATGATGACAAATGCATCTTAAAGACTCCACATGTTGTACATTTCTAGCATGTGTGTGATGTTTCTTGCACATTTAGGACGAACGGTTGACATAAGAACACCTATTGGTCTGAATCGAGTGTGGCGTTTTTTTGGTGTCTGGCATCCCTATTTGTTTCCGTTGCGCGTGGCAGCTTCGCTTTGATGGGAAACCCTCTGATCCAGACTACGCTCCGTTCCTTTTCGATGCGGTTGGCACAGGCAAACTCTCAAGCGGTATCTGTGTTGCAGACTCAGGGCCCCGGCTCGCCGCGCTCTTCCCCCGGCCACGGCGCCGGCCGGCAGATCCCCGCGCCCGTCCACTCGGACTCCGCCGGCACCACTCCGACTCACGCGCCTCAGGACTCGCTCATGGGCGTGGGGGGGGACGTTCAGGAGGCCTTCGCTCTGGGTAACACGGGCACAGAGGCATGCGCTTGTTACGGATGGATGCTGCGGTTCTGGTTTCTAAATACGTTTCTTGTTTCAAAGGTCCCAGGAGGAACTTGAGGAACGACCTACTCATCGCTGCTGACTCCATCACCAACACGATGTCGTCGCTGGTTAAAGAACTCAATTCAGGTAAAGAGGAATGGATGAAAAGTTGTGTTTTGCTCTGTGAAGTTTTGTGCTCTTTTTAAATGAGTTTTTCTCAAAGAAGGGGGAAGTGAGACCGAGAGCACCTCGGATTGCGATTTTGGACGTGCCGACTTGTTCTCCGAACCCTCTTCAGATCCATTCTTCACGTACAAATCGAGGTACCACCTGAAGTGCAACTGAAGAAGAGCATCTTCTGTCACGACGCCTCCGGTCTCCAGTCGTGCGACTCGCCCTGAACCGCCCCGTTCTCTGTCACAGGAGTGCCAGCGCAGCGGAGGACCGGTTCGAGAGCGACCTGGAGCGGCAGCTGGAGGACGAGCTCGCGCTGGAGGAGCTGACGGAGCGCCGGCGCGGACCGGACAAGGCCGGCACGGTGGGTTCCGAGCGGCGTGCGCGGGCGGCTGTGGGTGGGAGGAGCGTGCTTTCGGCTACAATGCTAACTGGGCCGCGCGTGTTTTTTGGCGGTGCGCTGCAGGTGACGCTGCGGCAGTGACGGAGTTTGTCCAGGTGAGTGGTTCAAGTGTCTGAAAGAACAATCAAATGCATCGTCTATGTATACTTTAACTCTAGCAAGTTGTCATCACAGTGTTCTCCACGTGTTTTTCATTCTTTACCGACTTGATTTCTAACTAAACCTGAGCTTGAGGAAGCACCTGCCAGCACGAGTCATCATTAATCCGTGTGTCTATCCGGGATACGATGCATTGCACTCGTAACATGTCCATGTGCTTATTAGCAGATGAGAAATATGAAAAGCAACAATAGTAGAAGACACTGGACGAGGCGACGCTGGGCCGACGGTACCGAGCACTGACGACGAGAAGAATTTAATTTGAATAAATGGCTGAATTCAACCTTTGAGAATACATTTATGTAAAGGTATATTTTTAAGGTAATACTGTGAGCCAATGTAAAGAGATTAATTCGCAAGCTGTCTATTACACCACAGGTGCCATGGAAAGAAACACATGACTTCTTTTTGCCTTTTCTTATATGAGTTGTCCAGCAAATTTACAACCACACGGTTAATCCGATTCTTTCAAATTTCCATGTTCCCGAAAACATTGAACCAGGTCATAAGTGCTTGTTTGTCTTCTGATTTAAAGTATAAACCTGTGTGGGAGTTGAAGTTACAGAAGATACATTTTGCAATATTTAATAAATGTACAACCACTGGTCCTTACATTTCTTACAGTTGCTGTCAAGTTGCTTTTGTGTTGGGTTTTTTTTGCATTTTTTTGGAGCAGCCAGATCAAATCTGCTTGTTTTATTTGATACCTTAGTGGTAATAATGCACACATGCCTTAGCAGATTGGAAAACAGAGCTCATTCAAACTGTCAATGCAGCATGTAGCTGACAACAAAACAAGCAGCTGCGCTGGTTGTCTTTACCTGACAAAGAAGGTCAAATTAAATAAATCTCATGCTGGGAAGGGATTTTGTCTGCAAACATGTACACTGTCTATTAAGTTAAATATACATATTGGTTCTGATATAAAGTGTTTTAAGATAGTGACAACATGGTTGAGTTGAATTGTAACATCAATGTTTTATGAAATGAAGGTTCGCTCATTTGCCATCGTTTCATTTGCTAGCGTCACTGCTCTCACACACACACATCGATCTGTGGCTCTCTCACCAAACACGCACACTCTTGATGTATTTCCTGAGTGCGCGTGGAACTTCACTCAGTCACTTTGGGAAAGCCAATCTAAAATGTGTGAAATATAGTTTGATTTTTTTTTTTTTAGCAAGCAGTGATTTCTGCATGGTGGTGATGCACAATAATAAAGTGTTGACACAATATCACATTTTCTGTCCATGGACTCTTTCTGTCTTTCAATTTCCGTTCTGGATCGGCACACTTGAATTGGTTTAGTTTGGCAGTGCACATTTATTATCTGTCATAAATGAACCGTTGGCTGCCCTCAACCGATTGTCTATAATTCATCACATTGACCCATCTGAGGTAACATAAAAGCAGCCATCTAGCACTGAATCTCACAGAGAGAGAACATTGCTCTCAGGCTCAGGCAGTATGAACTAACCAATGTTAGTCTTAATTATTATTGACATTATTGTATTTTTTATATAAACACAAGCCCATTCTTTCCACAAACAGGTTTCGTAAGATGGGTACAACATCTTTAAATAGGTTTCTGCATAATTGAATGGCACCTTGGTGTTGTATTTGCTTTATTTATATGGTCTGTGTTATGTCTGTTCGCCCTCGTCCTAATATCGTATGTCTTTTATCAAGTGCGTGACTGCTCCCTGGTGTTAAAACAGGAGGAAAGCCTCTGAGCTGAACTTCAGGTTTATTCAATCAAAGATGGGAAAACTCTTTGGATGACCAATGAGGGAACGAGGCATTGTTTAAAAATACATGTTTAACTTGCTGTCTAATCAAGGCACTAGAAATTTAGAATTTAAATACACACTGTTCATCTGATCCAATAATGTACATATACTAAAATGGTATATAGGGATTTATAGTGGGTTCATCAACGTTTCAACATGGTGTACAATAAATATTAATTAGTTTACATTTATTTGCGTTTATGTGGGAAAAGTGATGTGACACGCAGCGACAGGACAGAGAGCTGCTGGATGTTCCCAACGATCAACGCACCAGGCCGTGATTGGTGCAACTTACGACCGAAGTCCCCAGTGGACCAATCAGCTTCGACGCCGGTGACCGGTCGTCCAATCAGCTGCCCTCTTTCCGCTCATCGTCTATCGAGAATGGGCGTTTGAGGGTGGGGTGACTCAGCCGGAAAAGGAGCATTTTTTAAACACCTAATAACCTGCGGAACCGAGTTCACTGGTGAGTCTCGTTTGCTTTCCCCACCCGTTTCGGTGTGTATCGTAATTCGCGTCGTCCAATCACGGCGGGTTCGCGTTGTAAACCGGCGCGTGTGGCCGGTCCGCGCTGCCCGTATGTCGGATGTCACCACTCTCGCCGAGTGTCGACAGGGACCAAAATTAGCTCGCCCTAACTTGACGGCTAGCTTTACGAAAATACCCGAACCCGAACTGCAAGCAGCGCCTCCGCCGATAAAAAAAAAAAACCCATTCATGGTTTTATTTGGTTCTGCCGTTGTTTCACTGTCGTCTGTTTCCACTCATCGCTTCTCATTTAACTGTCACTCTCGAGGCGAAGCCGCGTTAGCTTCACTCGGCGGCTAACCGGGTTAGCTGCTGTGGAATCTCACACATGAGCAAAGAGGGTCCCGTGTTTCCTTCACTTAAAGCTGCTCATGAGCGATGCACACGAGAAGAAGAAGAGGGGGGGGGTCTTTTGTCTGGGGTGGAAACTGGCAAAAGCAAACTTTTCTTAAGACTCATGTGCCAACTGGCTGGTTTAAATCCATCCTTCTCTGCCCCCCCTGCCTTCATATATTTAAGCATGAGGTTCCCCCCCTTAAAAAATGTTAAAAAAATGTTGGGTGGAGCTGCCATCCTTCATCCCCCCCACTGGATCAGCCAGTGCTGATGTGGAAGTAGCCTGTTGATTTATTACATCGCCTGATGCTGTCATTGATTTGATAAACCAATTCTGACCCCCGATCAACTCCCAACGGCTCTTGACGTTTGCGGCATCTTTGGGGTCACTTTTTTTCCCCCTAAATCACAGCGTTTCATTTAGTTCGTTCTGCTCAGCGGTTGCTGATTCTATCCAACGGCTGAAGTTCCAGTTGGACGGTCTTGAGACCTTTGAGACCACGTTTAGATGGACGTGAATAAAACGCAGCATCCCAATTTATTTTGGACGCCCGGTCCAAAAAAGTAGGTAGAAATCCACTCGACTGTGAATGCACTTTGTGGGCCAGTTAAATATGTTGGAAGTGCACATTCCTGGTAGATTACTTTTCGTTGTAAAATCCGTCCTCGTGGTATTGTAAGTCTTATGTTATGTGGATGTTTTGGTATCCAATAACCTTTTTTATGTTCACAATTATTTAATCCGAGCTGGATTAACGTTGTATTTTAACACTCAACAGTTCCTGAAACAACAAAGCTGAGATGATTTTAGCCTTAAAGATGGTTAGGTGATGTCTTTGGTTTTTATTTTTTGATTTGAAGGACATCTTCTCTCCAAAACAGGCCTGCAGGAGACGTGTTTCACACCTACGTGGTCCAGTATTCACATATTAAATTGGGCTGCACAGTCTGAATGTTTTTCTCAGGACACCCGTTGCTTCACCTCCGTCAAGTGTCGAGCCCCTGATGTGTGACCGTATCCGTCTCCTGCTGCTCGAGGCCCGTTAAATGCACATTTTGATTTAAAGGTGAATTATTGCAGTCACAATCAAAGGCAACCTGTGGCACATGCGTCCTCTTTGTCGACATGCCACTTATGAAAGCTCTGTTGTGATTACTTTAAGATGAAAAGAACACAATGATGTGCGCTATGGCCATCATTTCACACTGTTGGAATTTGAAATAAGCTTCATAGCATCTTCTTAAAGCTGCCACTGTACTTACAGTGATTGAATAACCATAAAGACGTAAAACTAACTGGAAAAACGAGTGATCACCATGGTTGTCATTGTTACTGGGTTGAATTAATCGGGCGGTGTTTGCGGGGGTGAAATCAGGAGTCTGTGGGCTCTGTGTAGAAGTTCCTCATGTGTGGGTTTAAAAGTGCCCCCGGCTGGCCTGCTGGTGGCACCAGAGGAACTGTTTGCAGTGAGCACACTGACCCAATGATGTGAGGATTTGACCTCTCGGAAAGAAATCCCTAAAGCATTGCTGGATAGTTTGAAATATTATTCACCCCTTTGACAGGAGGAAGCTCACACAACCTCAAACCTTTTGTTGATGAGCACTCTCAAGGCCTTCCACAGAGGCAGCGCAAAAATAAATGTTTCAAACAATAATCACCCTGTGACCACGTGTAAGAAACTCACGGCACAAACGGCTTGCACCTAAAAATGAATGTTCATGCGTTACTGGCAATGTGGGTTCACCTTTGGACTGATGGTTGTGCAATATGGATCGTTTGTATTGATCTCAGTCTAGACTTGCATTTCATTGTGTGTTTGACATTGTATACACAATGTAACGGGCTGTAATGGACCTTGAACATAACGCAACGAAATAAGGATAAAAGTGAAACAAGACCCGAGTGATTGGCTGCTTCTTCATGCATAATATTCCCAGCTAAACATCCCAGCTGTGTTGTCCGGGCTCTGTTGTTATGGAGCTGTGTCATTTGATCAGTTTGCCATCATGCCCGTTCACCTGCCGTCCCACGCACACCTTCGCACCGATTAGGTTTGTCATTAAGTCACACTTTCAGATATTCCAATATTAGGGCTGTGGCGATTCTTGGTGTATTTTGATATGTCGCCCGTCTCACAATTAGTTGTTGCTCAGCAAAAGCTGCAACACAAATGTGAGGTTGCTGATCGGTTTGTTGGTTCGACAGAAATTGAATGCGCCTCAAATTTAGAAATTGATTATCCCTCGGTTCGGGCTTTGGGACAGGATTAACAAAGGTTATTTTAATTATGGATTACTCTGATTGTTATATTAACGATTCGTTGATTGGTCTATAGAAATGCAAGTTCCAGAGCCCCCTTCAAAAAACAATATTATTCACATTTCAACAGCTTGAATCAGTGGATTTGTGCTGCAAATTACAATTTAATAAATGATGTAAATTGCTTGTGATACAGATTTCTTGATCGCCCTTTCGACGTTTTTTAAAATCTATATGAATGGATTAGCTAATGCGGTTCATTTTCATCACACTTCCGCCTGCCATGTGTTGCGTCATCATTTCATCAGCACCATTTGTGTCAGGATCTGCTTTCTCTCCCCATCAGAAATCACATGACTACTTTCAAGGTGAAACTGGTTTGCGCTGCATTCCTTTCAAAACATATATGTGTATATATAATCATTACAAATAAATAATAATCGTCCCGGTTGACCGGATCTCGAGGAGCCGAGGTGCATTGCTGGATCCGAAACCGGCCGTCGTGCACGCGGGGGCGACGAAATTTAATTCGGGTGGTGCTGAAATAGCCCACCAGAAGGAGCAGGCAGCCAGCCCCGCCGGTCACGTGGTGCAGGGCGCAGCGACGTCATCGGGGCAGCGATCTGTGCGGAATAAGCAGACGGAGGGAACGAGACCCGCAGGCGCGGCTCTGCTTCAGCTTTTGCATCGTTCCTGTTGGCGTTTTTTTTTTTTTTTTTTCCCTTCCTCTCTCTCTGTAATTTATTCCCGGCCTGCTGAGAGAACAGAGTATCTGTTCCAACATTTTTAGACACCCAAATGCCCGGTCCCACCGAAGCCCTTTCCCCAAATGGAGAGAATAACAACGACATCGTCCCGGACAACGGAACCAACATCATTCCTTACAGGAAAAATACGGTGCGAGGAGAGCGCGCCTACAGGTAAATCTGTGTACTGATCCGCATTCCGTCCCGTGTACATTTCTATGTGTAACATCATTAAAGACGGAACGCTGGTGCAGACGGAGAGCTGCATTCCGGCCTCCTCTTCCTCCTCCTCCTCCTCCTCCTCTGTTGCTCCGCAGCCATCGTCTCCCCCGTGTTGTCTCCTGTCATGTTAGCGCTCCGGACACGGCCTAAGTTAGCTTAACGCACCGTCTGTTGCCGTGTGTGTGTGTGTGTGTGTGTGTGAGGAGGCCAAAAACATAGCGAGCGCCCGCGGTAATGTTGTCGTGTGTGTGTGCGTGTGTGTGTGTGTGTGCGGTGCGCAGTGGTACGTTTCGCTAGCAGCGGATCGCTCGTTTAATGACAGGGAAACACGCCGCTAGTGGATCCCCGTCGTGACATGACACAGCTACACAATGACGCCTCACGACGCACACACGTCTCTGTGTGTGTGTTTGTGTAGGTGGCGCTTTTAATGTGCTTTTAACCTGCAGTCCAAAGCCTGATCCTCACCCCGCCCCCCCCGGACCGACCACACACACACACACCCTGTCTGAGCCCAGACATCAGCCCCGCTGCCCGGCTAACAAAGCATGCTAGCAGCGCGCACACACACATCCGCTTTGTTGACATGAGACCCCCCCCCCCTTCCCTCTCTCGCCTCCCGGAGGAAGCTGCTCCTGTGCGGCTGAGATAGCCCGACTTGACCGCGCGGGGGTTTGTTGTCACCCTGCGTGCACGTTGGGTTGTGATGATGATGATGATGATGATGATTTGTCGATGCTGATGATGTCAGTGGCCATGAGCTGGTGAAGAAGGGTGTGTGCGTGTGTGTGTGTGTGTGCGTGCGTGCGTGTGTTTTTAATGCAGCTGTCCGGTGTTATTTTTATCGTTAAAGAGGAGCTGGTTTGTGCAGCACTGTGAAGGGAATTAAAGATGGTTGCAAACTTGATTTTGGGGTTTGGGATAAATATTACTGAGTACTTCTTTGTCATGTACATGTGAACTAAAATACAGACCCTGCAGTGTGCGCGCACACACACACACACACATCAGTTAGTTTGTGGGCTTTGAAGGGCCGACTTCCAACAAACATTCTGTATTTTTACATTGCAGGAAAAAAATGAAGGCATCCGCGTGTTGTCGGGTAAATTGATTGATTATTAATTACATTTTCTGATTGGGATCAAATAAACCACTAATTTAAAACTGAATGGAAAGGCACCTTGTGGTCTCTAATGTATTTGGCTGGTCGAGTATGATCAGTGTGTGGGAAACCCTGTCAATGAGCCCCCCCTCCCTACTCCCCCACCCCCAACCCATTTTATGCATTTATCCACTGGCCAAGGATCAACGTTTGAGATCCCTGAAGCATTTTTCTGCGGTTATGCTTTTTTTGTGTGACCCTGATTGTCCTCTGTGTAAGTGGGGCGTGTGTCCTGGAAGTAAGCAGGAAAAATGACATCTTTCTAAACCAACTTTGTTGCCTTCTGACTATTTACACCAATCCGTTTCACACTAAATGCAAGAAACAATTTTTTTTGTCAAAGTAAGCAACACGAAAACACATTTTCAGCGTGTCCAATTCGATAACTGAACTGAAACGGTTGCTCTAATCCGGGCACGTTGCTTTTCTTCTTAAATGTTGTGGTTTTTCTGTTGCAGTTGGGGGATGGCGGTCAACGTATATTCTACCTCAATAACCCAGGAGACTATGAGCAGGCATGACATCACTGCCTGGGTCAACGATCTCGTCAGTCTCAACTACACGAAAGTGGAGCAGCTCTCCTCAGGTGAGAGGAGAACCAAACACGCCCCCCCCCCGTACTCCTCCCTCTGCCCAACGGTGCCGTTTCAGACGGGAGGCAGGTTTTAAGAGATTACATCTTTGCCTGTAGTGCGGGGGGGGGGGGGGTCAACTCATTCTGTGTAAGCTGGCAGCTAAAGCAACCTGTGGAAACCTGCTAGCCTTTCTAGCAGATAGCTGTCTATAAATAAACTTGTAGCTTGCAGTGTTCTCTCGCTTTGACCATGTAAAGCGGCTTGTTTGGTGCAGATCACCTGTGTGTGCTCTCTAGTTGGATTCATGTGATTTCGATCACAAAGTTTGCTGCCCTCTTTTCGAAAAGGATAAAGGCCTAACGAGGCTTCAGTTAATATTAGCCACGTCAACAAGTATCTGCATAAATAGTTTCTTTTTAAGGAAACCGGGTCAATGATCTGCAGTCCCTGTGCTTTTTTGTCTTCTTCTTTTTATTCCCGTCATGTTAAATCCTGTCCCAAGTCTTTGAACTTTCCACGCAAGGGATTATGTACTGAACTAACATTTAGTTACGTCTGCAGGAGCTGCGTATTGCCAGTTCATGGATCTGCTCTTCCCTGGCTGCATCAGTCTTAAGAAGGTCAAGTTTCAAGCTAAATTGGAGCACGAGTACATTCACAATTTCAAACTGCTGCAGGCCTCCTTCAAACGGATGAATGTGGACAAGGTGAGTTTCTCAATGACGCTCGGACCTTGTTCAGGATAATTACAATTGCATTTCTGCTCCACACTTTATCTGCTTCGAGTAAACTGAAGTGAATTACCCTTTTTTTTAAATCTCTCCTCGCCCCCCTCGTTTCAGATTATTCCTGTAGAGAAACTGGTCAAAGGCAGATTTCAAGACAATCTCGATTTCATCCAGTGGTTCAAGAAGTTCTTTGATGCCAATTACGACGGTAAAGAGTACGACCCAGTTGCAGCCAGACAGGGTCAGGATGCCATTCCCCCACCTGACCCCGGTGAGCAGATCTTCAACCTGCCGAAGAAGTCCCACCATGCAGCCAGCTCCCCCACTGCAGGTGAGCCCCTCGGGAGGAAGGTTCATTGAGTCCTTCCCAACTCTGAGAACAGACGCGTTGTGTAGTTCCCTGTGAGGGAATGACTGTGTATCCCTCTATCCCCGAGTAAAACACCCCGTGTGCCCGCTTCAGGAGCGTCGAGGTCGAGCTCCACAACCCCCAAGATCGCAACCCCGACATCCAGACCTTCGTCCGCCAAAAAGATCCCTGCACTTGCGACACCGATTCCTGCCAAAGGAGAGAAGGAACTGGAAGCACAGGTCACTCATCTTACCGAGCAGGTGTGTTTATGCCTTTACATTCCTTTTTTATTGATCTGTTTTTGACTTCTGATGTAGTCTTGTTTACATTCCTTGTGAGTCAAAATAGAAGACGAATGTCTAAATAAACGTAAATTTATCCTGTACACAAGATCTAACATGCAATTGTTCCATTGTGCGATCCAACCTGTTTCTGTTAAGTCCTTCTGCAACTTGATTGCCCAAAGTATTCTATTTAAAATGCTACCAAATGAGTGTTTACCAGTTTTAATTGGACAAATGACTGATTGAGAGATTATCTGAACAACGATAAGATGACAGTTGAGTTCCAATCCATAGAACAATCTAGTAAGTAATTTACTGTGGAGGACTCATGTGACGTGTGTGCGTCTTTATCTCTTGTTTGTCTCGTTGATTGTTGTGCTTATCTGTTGCCTTTGGTCTTTAAACAAAGTCCACATTGTCCTTTTTTTTAAAAATGTTTTTGGACTCTAAACATTGTTTCTGCCGTAGATGGAGACATTAAAGTCGGCACTGGAAGGAGTGGAGAAGGAGAGGGACTACTACTTCAGCAAGCTGCGAGAGGTGGAGCTGCTGTGCCAGGACCAGGGGGAAGAAAACGCTCCGTTTGTCGATCAGCTGATGGAGGTCCTTTACGCTACAGACGAACAGGTGAGTCCGCGGCGCTTCTTTGGATCCCAAAGGGATTTGGGGAGAGTTTCTTTGCAGCATGAATGGCATTTTGCCCCTGGTGGTAATATCGTATGGATTTAATTGTGCATTTTGAATGAGATCACCTGCCTTGGTGGGGAATCATTTGTCGCCAACATGAGCCTCCTTCTAAATGTCTAGGGTAGCCCACAGACTTTCACATGCCATTCAAATATATAAATATATATATATGAGGTTATGTAACGTGTTATCTCACAGTGACAGTTATTGATGATGGCATTTCCGCTCAACTGAACACGAAGGGGACCTACGAACAGAACAGCCAGCAACACATCATTCAAGCCTGGGGGAATTTAGAGAAATTTTAGCTGGACCGACTGGTTGGAGCAGAGAACTAAAGCTCTTTCAGGAGCAGACTTCAGTAGCATTCAATCTTAAGCCATATATCCCCTTCATATTTCCTTAGGAGGGAGCAGAGCTGGCTGAGGGCGACGGACAGGAAGTGGATCAGCGAGCCCACGAGGAGGCGCCGAATGATCAGCAGGAGGAGCAGGATGAATACTGACCGCCACCATCTCTCACCGCAGCGACACCCCTCTTTTTTTAAATATGTGAGAACTGTTACAGGATTTTGATTCTTTTTTTTTCCCTCATGGTTTTCCTTTTTTGTTCTCTTTAAGACTGAGCACATGAAGCAAACATCCTGAGTAGAAGCAACGGCAGTTTTTTTTTTATCGTCATTTTTTGTATCCCTCTGCTCACTGTTCAATGTTTTTCGTGACCTCGTGGTGAACTGCTGGGGAAGGTTAGTGGTAATAACCTCCACCAGCGGAACAAGCTCAGACCATCACAGAAGTTTCTAAGGGACTGTGTGTGCGTGTGCGTCTGTGGGTGTGTGTCTGCGGAAACTCAATTCAAATCCTACAGTAGACGTGATGAAACGCTGAAGTTTAGACGGGTAACTGTTTACCTGCCAGTGCAAAGTGTTAACTTCCCAACTTCTCTCCTTCTCATTTTAGTTTTTTATTTTATTTTGCATATCAAAAATAATAATCACAATACCGCAATAAGCAAAGCCCTGAAAGGGCTCGTAGTAGCTCTTATTTAACCTCCTTTCATATGTTGCACTGACATTTGATTCTGTATTGGACAATCTGTCCGTAGACTCTCACCATATTTATTATTGTTAAGCCTTAGAAATAGTGCGAGGTTCTGCATTGCACCCTGGCGAAGGACGACGGTACAGTCAATGAATTGTGAATACAATGTAGTACAATGCCAAGTTTTGACTGTTTGACGACTGTCCTCGCAAATTTTTCGAGATTTCCGATAATCAACAATGTGTTATTCAAACCACGCAGGGCAGTCTGGTGATGTAGTTGACCTGGAATGCCATAAACGTAGGGAAGAAACGCTATTGTGGACTAGTTTTATTATGATGCAGCATTTTAAGTTAGAAACCTCAGCTGAAAACTTGACAACTGGTCTGTTCAGATTTTCAAAGTTCTGTAAAGTCTTTTTTTTATTGTTTCTAAACCACAGGTTTTAGGAAGAGTCGGTTCACTGAGTAATTTGCCATGCTATATTCCAGTTAGTACATCGTATACCCTTTCTTAATATTGCATTTACTAATATTGAACTTGGCAGTGCACCATAATGCTTTAGTTATATATTATTATGTAAATGAAAAAGAATGTAAACATGTACTGTCAATAATTAATGAATGGTAAATGTTTTTTGTTTTTTTTCACGTCCCACTCATTATGCATTCCCCAAAAAACGTGTTGCATGTGTGCATTTTATTTGTGAATAACTTGACCTGCTTTTTACATATTTAATAAAAAAAACCCAAGTATGTTAAGTGAGCTTTTTGTATGTTTAACCTGCTATTTTGAAGATGTTGAGATTCGGATGAATTTGCTGTAATAAAATTACGTTTCGAGTCCATGGGAGTGTTGTCACGTCACTCCAACTAGCGCTCGCCACAATTTTAAGAACTTAAGTAGAACTTAAGTCATCTGCTGCAGCCAGAAGTTAGAATTTACTGTTAAATTTGATGCATTTATAAACATTTTGGTAAATCCACGATTTATTGGGTTGTTGGATTATATTTAAAGTGACAGGTTGGGTTATTAAGGTTATATATGTAGTTCTTTGCCTTTAATTCAGAGGAGCAAACCAATGCCGTTTGTCATTATATTTATTTATAGTTGCTATGGAAATACCAGCTGTCACTGAGGTCTTATGTGGACAAAGAGCGGTTTGAATTTGGGAATATGCAGTTTCTTACTGAGACCAAAATATCCTTTGCACACTGGTCATTATATATATTTTTAAGACATTGATTTGAAACCAAACCGTGGATGAGTCAAATTTAGTATCACGGGAATAAAAGGAAAAACGTTCTGAAATGTCATGTAAATAGAGGGATGGGGCAGTTAATATTTAAGGTATTATGATTCCAGAGAACTTGGAAGATCTTATTACAGTGAATAATACAAATAGAGAGAGAGAGGTGGAAAACGGTCTACAACCGCGGAAGGGCAAATCCTGAGCGGAGGATGAGAAGCGCATCGAGCCGCAAGGTTGGCGGTTCGAACCCCGGCTGCTCCATGTCCCATGTCGAAGCGGGTCTGAGCAAGACCCCCAACCCCTAATTGCTCTCCGGGCAAAATGTAAAACCATGGGTTGAAAATGCAATGCAAGTTGCTTTGGATAAAAGCGTCAGCTAAACGACATGTAATGTAAAATCCAGACATTGAGGAACTCGTCTTACAAAAGGAGCGTAATAATGATTTTTTTTGTCATTTTATTTATTAGCGGTGAAATAAGTATGCAGATCTTTTAAATGAATAGTGGAATAATACCACACTTAAGGCATTAAAGTATAAGAAGGGAAAGGGCAGCATGGCCCTCTCCAGAATAATGCACATTCAAATATTGAATCAACGATAGATTCATATGAAGGCTACATCACCATTACGGGGCAGCTGGTACGGGTGGAGATAACTGCAACTACTTGTTATACTGGGTGACCTAATCCATAATAGTATATTAATATTGCACAATACTTAAGAGTAATGTGGTATAGATACTTTCACTTTTGTCTGAAAGCTCAGACCCACACCGGTGTCCTCCGGGCCACGCGGTCGCATAATGAAACACACCCCTCTCCGATTGAGTAACAGCCTCAACTTTGCGTTCCGCTAACTGGACTTTTGTTTGCAAAATAGTGAGTTAGAAACCACAACGTCAAACCTCTACTAAACAAAGACGGGTCAGCGAGAGACATGCGACTAGACGCCGTTACGTGGACACGCATGTAGCAGCAGATGTGGCTTTAACTTTGTCTTAATTTGTCGCCATGTCTTCCAGAAAGGTAAGAAAGCCGCTAGCTAGCTATACTGTTAGCCAGTTTATGCTAACTTCTAAGCTACAGGCTACTTAGCTCTGTCGATATCCGCCTGAACCCCCCCGCAGTTTACCCGTCAGGACTTGTATTTACCAATGTGAGCGTGTATTGTCTGTTGGAACAGATACACCACTTTTGTATCGCAGTAGTTAGTTTTAATGATCTAAACCGCCCCCGCAATGATAATCAGCTCAGGTTAACAGCCACCAAACCGGCTCTTTTTTAATTAGTCACGTCCATCTTCGCTCTTCGTTTGAATTGTCGCAGCGTCGAAGATGCTCCAAGGACGTGACGGGTGTTTCATTTCCGGACGAAGTCGAAGGCGGTTCGAAACCAGCGGGCAGAGAACCGCCGTCGCTGTCATCTGCGTCCTCCGCCAAGAGCTGGGAGAGGTGTGGAGACAGCTTCCTGGAGGTTAGACCACCTGGAGATATGCTAAACCACGCAGACCTGCTATCAGCCTCTATGCATCGTGACCATGTTGACCCTCATGCAGACCTGCTATCACCCTCAGCCTCTATGCATCGTGACCATGTTGACCCTCATGCAGACCTGCTATCACCCTCAGCCTCTATGCTTCGTGACCATGTTGACCCTCATGCAGACCTGCTATCACCCTCAGCCTTTATGCATCGTGACCATGTTGACCCTCATGCAGACCTGCTATCACCCTCAGCCACTATGCATCGTGACCATGTTGACCCTCATGCAGACCTCCTAACACCCTCAGCCTCTATGCATCGTGACCATGTTGACCCTCATGCAGACCTGCTATCACCCTCAGCCACTATGCATTGTGACCATGTTGACCCTCATGCAGACCTCCTAACACCCTCAGCCACTATGCATTGTGACCATGTTGACCCTCATGCAGACCTCCTAACACCCTCAGCCTTAATGCATCGTGACCATGTTGCTCTGACGTTGTTGATGATTGTGTTTGCGTTGCAGAATAATCTCCAGACATCAGGGAGGAAACTGTCTGACATAAGAAAGTTTCCCACTTTAGGTAATTGTTTTGTTTAAGTCTAGTTATGATGTCTCATTCCTTAAGGGCTGTGCAATATATTGAGATTATATTATCGCTCTTATCGCTAACTGTTTTCTTTTCGCCCACCAAGATTTCATATCACCGGTCAAGTAGTGAAAATTGCCATTGAATCATGGTCCGATTTGTAATATTGTTTACTTCTTCGATCAGATGGTTTCTGATTTAATCCCAGTTTTATCTTTGAATCAAAAGGAATAGTGAAGCTGCATGTGCTTGACAACTTTTAACTTTAATTTTAAACAATACCCAACCCTGTTCTTAATTAAACACGCAAGAATATAAACTGCTTGATTCCGTTCGAGTGCGGCGGGGGACTTTAGTGAATCTTTTCCCGATGACGGCGTGATGTCATCCTCTCGTGCGCTCTTGTGTTCAGTGCAGACCGCTGCGGTCAACGAGGACCCGGTGCACATCGCCTGGAGCTCCAGTGACGGCGAACAGTCCGATGATGACACCCAGGAGCAGCAGCAGCAGCTTCCTCAGAGACCAGCCAGACCTTCAGCTCCCGCTCAGTCCTACAGCAGAGCGCTGCGCATGCTGCGCACGGAAAAAGGTACTTTCAGGAGTCACGGCTGGGACAGGCGAGATGGTTTAATGAGCCGACGTTTGCTTTGTCTCTGACGACACTATTTATACCCCGAGACTTGAGCTCAGTTAAGTGTCAATTTAAAAATAATGTTGATAGACATTGAAGTTAACAATAACATTATATACAATTTCTGAGCACTTTTAAAACTTTTTTTATCCCACTTCAATTGACGTTGAGTTGCCTCAATTAAATATATTGTGCCTTAATCTTTAATACTTGATAAAGTAAAAACAAAAGTCACTTTTATTCAAGAAGATATGGTCTAGGTTGAAAAATACCAAAGATACTCTTGGTGTTAAGCAGCCTACGTAAGGAACATGCTGGATGAAACAGCCGTTTCTACTCGCTGACCGACTGTGAAATGTTGTTGAGAAAGAGTTTGAGAAAAAGCTGGTAAGTGGCCGTGGTTTCCTTCTTCAGAAGACTTTCCAGCCATTGACACAGACAGTGACCTGGACGCATCTGAGGGAGATGTGGAGAAGGACAGCGGGCCGCAAATCTCCGACTGTGAATCGGAGCGCTCCGTTGAAAAGCCAGAGTCGCCTCTTCGACCATCAAATGTGAGCAAACTCTTCATAATCAGAAACCTTCTGATGACGATGCACGTGGTCTGCAGATGGCGTCCCGTGTGTTTTAATGGCCACTAGATGGCGCCACACAACCACTAGAGCCCGACTGAACCTGTTGAGAGTCCAGTCTGTTTGCAATTAGAAGTGGAAAGTTGATTGCCAGCGCATGCAGTAATGTTAGAAGTCGTGCCGTAAGTGTCGGTACCAGATGAGACTTGTCCCCGAGTTGGTTTAAGACGGATGAGCTTTGCGTGCATGAGGTGAATGCATATCTTTCTGTATTATTTAAAAGAATACCATTTTGTTTATATGCTTCCAGGTCGGCACATCAGTGTCTCTTTTACTCTGATGTTTGTTTAGCTGATGCTGCTCCATTCGGTGGAGTGTTGCAGTCTCTCTCTCTCTCTCTCGTGTCCTGAACGAGCCCTTTGGCCTCAAGCCAGCACAGCAAACTAACCCAAACCGTCCAAACTGCATATCCACAAGAAAATGATATAATACATAGGAATGCTTTCTGCTTCAATGAACACAATAGATACTTTTTATTCCCTCAAACTCTGAGTGTTATTTATGGAAACCACAATACCGTAGAGATGTTATTCATCAATAGACAAGAAATGAATTGACTTTTATTGACTATTATTAATTTATTTCAAGCAGACATGCCGAGTATTTGATTGTTGCCTTTGCTTAAATCATGTGTTTTTTACTGCTTTTGGTGTTCCAGTGGTTTTAAATGTTCCAAATGTTTTAAAGACAAAAAAAAGTCAGTGATGGCCATTTGAGCTCTGGCCATTTTTCCCTGCTTACCAAATAGAAAAGTAACAAGCAGGTTAAACTCCAAAGAAAACAATGGTGAAAGCACAGCGTGGTAGGATGCAGACTCCTCACGCTTTGTCACTAGACACATAGTTCTGTGTTATCGCTCTTTGGTGGGCCCTCCTGTAGTGCTGTGGAGACTTGAATGCTCCTTCGGGATCCCTGTTTGTTGAAGGCAGAGCCGGCAATCGACCAAAAGTACAAGGAGTGGTGAAGGTTCAAGACCACACTCGGCGCCTGAAAGCTGCAGCAGAGGCGTTCGGCGTGGTATTGATCCGCCAGTCGCGGCCACGTCGCCGCGGTTTTGTCGGCAGCGTGTTTTTATTTGTTCGTGGGGAAAACGCCCTTTGAACAACCCTGGAAGCCGGCGATCGTTCGGATCGGCGCAGCGTTGGACAATAACGTGGTCAATAATCGACTAAACTAAAGGTGCACTAAAGCCACGTGTGCTTAGTGATGAAGTCTTTGCAGAGTGTAGAGAGGAAGCAGATTAACATCTCCCCCACAGACCCGGCTACTTCCTCTTGTCACAGTTTATTTTGCTGCTATCAGCTCTCTGGGGCGGAGGAGGACCTAAGATCTCCTGAGTGGAGGCTGGTGGTCGGACGCCTCCTACAAAGACGGAAAGGGTCCCAGTTTTAAAAATGTGGCTGTACCCAAAAGTCTGTATGTGAATATGAATAACAGCAATTAGTTTCATCATTATTATTGTGGAAAAACATTCATTTTTACTTTTTCAAAAGCATTATTCGTAGCATTGTGCGCATGTTTTGCAGAACAGTTTTACATCCCGACGCCTCACGTTCATCGTGGCTTTTCGTTATTTACAGTCGGAGCTTTCACCGTTTTTAGATTTGACAAAAAAAAGACTCCCGAAAAATTTCTTTCGCCATCGAAGCAACCAAGGATAATCAGCATCTTTTTAAATAGCGTTTCATTAAAAGAAAAATGTACATCTAATTAGGGCAGCACAACATAACAACAACTTTGAATTTCCCTGCTGAAATCTTGCCTATTTTAAATCAAACCGGATCTAACAGGATACAGAAGAAACCAACCCAGTCCAAGTCCAAGTTTGTCACTCCAGATAAATCTACTGCTGACTCACTCCACGTATGTCTGCCAGATTCCTGTGTTATTGTACTAGCGCCGAAAGTGGATAGGCGGAGCTATGAGGGCGGTTTTGTATCTCCTAGTCCTAAGAGGACGCCGGCTTGCCAGATGAAGCGTGTCCCCGGCCTCCCGGAGCCTCGCCGCTCCGAGGGTCAACGACCTCGACCCCGTCGGGGCTCCTCGCTGCATCAACAGCGCGGCACCATAAACATATTTTATTTTATTTTTTTTTTACTACTGTTTGTTCCGGGAAACACGCGAGGGCCACGCCGAGCGGTGTGCTTACAATGCTTTCAGTGCCGGCTGAAAACATTTCTTGAGCCGCGGCCAAGGACATAGTGTTCTTTTCTCCCCGCGGCGGGGTTGTGAGTGTGACGTCGACTGGCGCGGCGCCCAGCGGGGTCAAGTTGATTCGAATGAGACAGCGCGCTGGCTGGCTGGGGGCTGGTATGCTGGTCGTGTCTGCACATGACAGAAAACCCGTGGATTTTTCCATGAGAACGGGTTCCCTCAGGTGTAGCGAGCAGCAGCGCAGGCTTCAAGCCCCATCTTGTGTAACATATCAGCCTGACAGTGCATCATTGTACCACATCCACCCACTGTGTGGTTTAATTTATGGATTTGATTAAGTCTTTAATGACTCACTCAAGACTGAGGCCTGTCTAAATATCTAACATCGCCCCAATATGTCGTGGTATTTTATGTTGAATGAACGTGTGTTTCAAAATTGGGTCAAATCTTTTTAATTATTAAGTACTTCTGACACTTATCCCTAGATGACGGAGCCGGAGATCTCGGGCTACGTGTCCGGCGGCGAGTGCGCCGCCGTCGCGGTGACGGCGAGCAGAGCGGACTCTCCTGTCCGATCTGGTGAGGCCAGCAAGCGGTCAGTGAGTGACTGGGTGAGATCTGCTCAGGCGCTGCTGCAGACGCCTCAGAAACCGCAGTCCAAGGCCCCGCTGGACTCCGCCAAAAAGAAGAGGAAGTTTCAAAGGTTTGAATGTGCTTATTGTTTTCGAAAAGTGCCGCTTAGGGACGCATCGATTCCGCTTTTTTTTTACTGATATCTAATCTGCTGACTACAGTGTGTGTGTGTGTGTGTGTGAGACATCCTGCAACAGCTATAAAATCATGAATGATCGCATTAACAAAGAATGCCATAATTAAATGAATGTGTTTCATCACTTAGCTGCTTAATGAGGTCAGTATTTGCTCTGATTAAATGTTGATTTAATCAGAACAATTCTCTCCCTCAAGTTACTATTCATGTACCTACACATATATAGATATACCTATACATATATCTATATATGTGTAGATATATTGCCTCACAATAGGAGCACACAGAGCAGCGAGCCGCGTCAGTGTTTCCGCGGCAGAGCGGAGGATGAAAGGGACACCTGGTGTCACGATGTGGGTGCTAAATGTCATCGCCATCTCCAAGCCCCCCAAATCTGACAGATGGCTATCTGAAGTCTTTCAACGGCTTGCGTTTCGCTTCAAAATCTCAATTTCTTTGACATGAAGAACTCTTTTGAGTTCAGCGAGTGACTTCCATCTTCCCCTTGGTTCTGTTTGCGTAGCGGAGGTCTTGCTGAGCGGCTGAATCGACTGCAGGGCAGGCAGAGGTCCGCCGTCAGCTTCTGGAGGCACCAGTCCATCTCTGACACCCCAACAACAACAACAACAACAACAACAGGTCATTAACACACATCCGGGGGGTGGATTGGATGCCCAGGACGCTGCACACATTGGCCTCTGAATCACCATTCCTGCTTAACAATGAACTTTGATTTGTGAGTGGGACGGAGCAGGCGTGACTGCGTTCTGATCGCTGGGGCTCCGAGCCGTGAACCTGCCGTGTAGGTGACAGGAAACTGCTCGCCTAGTTCTTTTTTTTTTTCCTTTTCGCGGTGTACCAAAACCGCTTCTGTTGTGTCGCTGTGAAGCGTGTCCCTATAATAGGACACGAGCAGCGTTCGCAAAGCTGACAGTTGATAGTGGAAAAAAACAAACAAACGCCCACGCGCAGCCAAGAGTCCGCGGTCAGTCGACGGGTTTATTAGGGGCACGAGTCAAAGGGTGGAGGTTTGCATTGACTTTTTGTTATTTGACATTTTTAAAGGCCCAGTCCGTAGCGTGTTCCCCATTCGCCCTGCTTTGTCCCGCTTTGCCCCGCTTTGCCCCGCTTTGTCCCGCTTTGTCCCGCGCTGCACACTTCACCCCTTTGAGGAGACTTTGTTCTCGCCGGTGTTGTTCACGTTCCTCACTGCGCCCCAACTCGCTAACAACAACAGGGCTGTTACCCGATCGTCATGTCACGCCGTTACCTGATACCCGTTTATCTTTGGTGCACTCTCACAAAGTCGCCCTGCCCACAACTTATCGGCTCATTTTTGGGCCAAAGAGGAGGGCCCGAGGGCGATCTCTGTTCACGCCCGCCCTCCCGTCGGTATTCTGATTCTCTAGTCTGCAACACAAACGCACGCAGCACAAATGAAGAGCTTTGATTTCACGTGCGGACGAACCCACGTAAACATAAACCCTCTCCGGTGACCCCCTTTTGATGCGCTTTTGTCCTATCGCATTAAGATCCTCCCTCTGGCCACTTTCGGGGGGGCGTTAACGAACGCGCCGATGCAGCGGCTTTCACAATTCAATGCGATCAGCTCCCCGTGCAGCCAAGTTGCTCTGTTATCGCAGTTTGACTTTACAGCCTCGGGGCATTGTCTCGATTTGGCCTTTTTCTAAATTATGCCTGTCGACAACATCGCTCAGGCCAAAAAAAGCAGAGTCAACTCCACGGTGAAATTCCAAGATCTGCGCGCTGACCCCAGGGGGGGGAGGACTCGCTGAGTCAGTTACGCCTTTACAGTTGTGCGGTTCTGATGGCGAAAAACCCAATTACTCTCCGAGCGCATAATGAGTCCCTCAGAGAGAACGGGTCCGTGAGAGCACCGGTACACTTTCGCATACGCACGCTGAAACACACACGAATGCACACCAAACATCTGTGCTGTTGTTGATCTGCTCTCCAGTGGACAGGCCTGGCGTGCTGGTGCTGGAGGTGCTGGAGGTTCAGGAGGAGTGCAGCATGCAACTGGCGCGCTGCGAGCGCCGCCCGCCTCCCGGAGAGGGCCGCCGGCGCCGAGGCCCTCCCCCCGAGGGGGGCGCTCGTCTGCTGGTGTTGTTCAGCAGAGAGACGGCGGCGGGGCTGATGCCGGCGCCCGGAGACGGCATCCACGTGTACCCGCCATGGTGAGGAGACATTTTCAAAAGCCCTCTTCCGCCTTTTAAAACGGTGTTTGGTCGCTGTGAAAAAAAAATAGTGTTTCCAAGCATTCGTCTGCTGAAGGAAAAGTTCCTCTGAGCTCACGTTGAAGCGGAGTTTAACTCGTTGACATGTGAGCCTTTTTGAGATCAGAACTAGTTTGCAGCCAATGACGTGTCCAGTTCATCAAAGCAGAATGAGCACGCTTGCAACCTGGAGACATGTTGTTGCATATAATGTTATATAAATGTGGAGGTTCTGGCGTTTATAGTGAGGCAGTGGCAGCAGATGTAGATGTAATCTTACAAATCTTTTTAAGTTGTCAATTGACACCAGCTGGACCCAAAGGCCTAAATCCTGTGAAAAACGAATGTTCTGATGAGCGTAACTTTCTTGCACTTCCCTGTTTTTGGACCACGTGCAGGACAAAGAGTGAAAGGATCTGGTGAGATAATGCTGACGAGGCGTTCTGGACAACAGAGAAAAAACTCAATTCAACACATTCAACGTTGAGAGAAAAAAAAAAAAAAAAAGCCCAGCTTTAACATGAATTCTTTTGGGTTTTAAGTGACAAAATGTGCTGCTCTCAGCCATACCAAGCAGAGAAGGCCCAGATGTGCGTGTGTGTGTGTGTGTTTTCTGGGTGTGTTTTGGAGATGGAGCGAGGCGGCAGTTGACTCCAGCTGTTGGGAGTTTAGGTTGAGTGTACTCCTGGAATATCCAGGCTGGCGGAAGGGGCCTCCTCGGCGCTCCGACGTCACGAACAGCTCCAGGGAATGCTTCGCATTCCTCTTCCTGGCAGTAGTTCGGTCATTTCCAGCAAGCCGGGGGGAAAAAAAAAAAAAAACCCCGAGTGGGATTATTTGCTGGAGCATTTAGGAGCAGAGAGTGGAGGGAGCCAAAGGAGTGAGATTGAAAACACATGGCGGTTCGAGAGCACCTCTGACTTGAGCACCTCTCCTGTGTTCTGTTCCTGAAGCCGCAAGAAAGAACAACTCTCCCAGTTACTCTTTCAAAGAATCACTTCCCCTCTCGGCAAGTAACCTCAAAACCTCTTTTGTTAGTGCAAATGACTTCCAGCAGGTCTACATGTATAATCAATCAATATTCTAATCAGATATTCATGTCTCATAAACAAGAAAGGCTGTTGACATGCTTCATCTGGGGGGGGGTGGGGGGCGTTCACGTGTCCAACGTCTAAAGCCACAGCCGGAGGTGGAAAAACCCGCAATTCAGTGTCTTGTAAAATTCCTCCGACGAGCTTCCTGTGTGACGCTCGCCGGGGGGGTTAATCTGTGAGTAGGTTGGCTCCGCCCACCACCCACACCTCGCGGCGGAAATACCTGCAGGGATTGTTCCCCGTGACGGCAGCAGCGTCGGGCCGCTCCTTAACCTACCCGGCTACCTGCCCGGTGATGACAGCGGCCCACACACCTGTTCCCAGCTGGGGGGGGGGTCACGCTTCCTGTGTGCGGGCGTCGGACCTGTTCTGGTTAACGGCTCTCTGCCCACACGCCGCTCCGTAACATAGGACCCGATTGTGCCGATTAATCGAGCACAAGTATTTGTTTGGTCAGGAATGAGACGGAAATATAAAAAACAGTCACAGAAGGGATAATGTAGCATTATTTAATTATGTAATATTATTCTTTATTACTCGTAGTTTAAATGGTGCTAATAATTTGAAGCTTAACATGGCGTCATGTATTTTGAACTAATCTGAAAAGTAGCTAATTATAATAAAATGATATTTAACAGCAGTACTTGATAAGCTGTATTAATGTACTCGGTTGGTAAACATGAACTTGATTTAACTTTGCTATAACGCTGTACAGATGTGTGTGTTTTTTTTGTGTGTGCTTTAAAGTTTGAATATCCACCCGAGGAATATAAAATCACTTCTATCGTCAACTGTGCTTCAGGATGATCTGCTTTGATTTGATAAAGGACGCAGCATTCAAATCCCATTTTATATCTCTGAGGGTGGACTAAATATTAGTTGCAGCCGGTCTGATGTAACAGCAGAGTGATAAACTGCAGCCTCTCAAAAACCCATAAAGACAGCAGGCGAACTTCATGACCTCCAGGGTTCACTTCACCCAACAGTGATAACTGTTGTGCGTACCGAGTGTGTGGTTATTGGGACCATTACATCCAAATGGAGGCGTTTTTTTTTTTTCTCTCTCTCTTTTCATTTTTGTTGTTTCAGGCGGGCGAGCCGCCGCATGTTTAGCAGTTCCAGTCACCCGGTAATCTTGGCTCTGAGTCAGCGATAAGCCCTCGTCACTCCATCATCCGTGTCGCATGTGGGAAAAATTAAGTCGTGAATCAAACTTGAGCACAACCGACCTGCGGTGTAATTATCCATTCTTCAGGTTGATTCACCCTCGGGCTCGGTAGCACTCGGGCATGTGTGTGTGTGTGTGTGTGTGTGTGTGTCATTCATCTCGATGAGTTCAAACACTTGACCGGAAATGCGGTTTGTGGAGTTTATGGACGCGTCTTCTCCTTGATGGCACACCCGCATGAGGGGAAATCTGAGCCGCTAGGCGGTTTCAAGCGAGGGCCGTTAAACTCGCGTGATTCTGGGTTCCGGCTCAGCGCGCGTCTGATCCTACGGTGGAAGGAGTATCCTTGATGTTGCATTTGGAAAGTGTTGTGATCGAGCTCGAGGAGCCTTTCTTTTAAGAGCCTCGCTCATGTGGAAAAAGCCTCTCTCACCCCAGTAAAAGAGGACCAGAAGCACCGTGTATTTTCTCTGTTTTGATCTCGCACTCTGGGTGGAACCTGAAGAAACTGGCGGAGGTGGTTTGTTGCTTATCTGAGTTTGACATTCAGCCTCAGCCCCCCCACCTCCTTAAGTTTGTGCAATAATTTACTCCATTTAACGTGCAGTAAAATCTCAGTCTCTGCGTCTGCCAATCGACGCGCGAGCTGTTAATCTTTGCCCCGACTCCTTCAAGAGGTTTAAGCTCACAGGGAATTCCGGGCCCTCAAACTGCTCAATCTGAAACTGAATTTGTCTCTTTGCAGGCAAATTCTCTCCATAGAGGGCTTAAGCTGCAACGCTATTCTGAACACACACTTCAGCCAGAAAGTCTTCTGCGCGGGCAAACTCGGCGCCGCGTCCGATCCCAGAGGCCTTCCCTCAGCAGGCCGATGCGGCCCGCCGTCTTTGTGCACCACCTTTGGACTGCTGGAGGCATGCGGGGCCACGGCGGAGATGGAGGCCGAGCAAGTGTGTACGCTTCTATCGCGTTCGTTCAAAATACACCTCATTTACTGGCACGGTTTGGATCGTGTTAGACTCGCGTTAACTCTCATAATACACAATGTGTTTCCGTCAGAGGTCATCAGGTCAATGATCTTCAGTACGCGAGGTTATTCTCAGATTTAGTTGTTTTGTGTGCCAACAAAATGAAATTATTACATTACATCACGTCATTTAGCTGACGCTTTTATCCAAAGCGACTTACAATAAGAGCATTCAACCATAAAGATACAAACTCGGAGGAACAAGGAACAAGAAAGTGCAAAATCACCACACATGAGGTGTCTATAGTGTTTATAAATGTAATGCATTTATTCTTCCCATTTAACTCACTTTTCACACTAACGATAATAAACATTCTGTGTTGCATTCAGTCTGAACGAACACAATACTTCAGTTTCTAAATGTGTGTCACAGACGGCCGCGCCCTTTTTTTCAAAGCCGTGGTTCTTGTGGTTAACGCTGCTCACTGACATGAAGTCTGGTCACAGAGAAGTGCGTACAAATGACGTGTGGCGTGAAGGAAGTATTATATTAAGTACTATATTTGTTCGGCTTACTTTTATTAATCGTTACTAGCATTCACACGTCTTCTATCTTCATCAAACAAATATCCCTATTTATAAGCACAAACATTTCCCCTTTAAAAATGAGGTGTTCTGCCTCGTGTCCTCAGGGCGCCGCCCCCGGCTCTCGGCGCCGCGGCGGAGGTTCGGGGTTGCTGGCGAGACGCAGCCTCTCCCTCCTGGAAGCCATCGAGGGGCTCGGCCAGGCCGGCAGCGTGGGCCAGGACGTGGAGGTGGTGGTGCAGAGGGTTTACTCCGTCCCCGTGAGCGACGGCTCCCCTGGCTCCGCCCTGAAGGCCAGACTCCTCCCCCCGAGGTCGTCCGCGGCCCCCCCGCCGGCGGAAAAGGGCAAAACCAGGTACCTGTCGGAGCGGCTGATAGTTGGAGGCTTTTATTTTGTCACTTGATGATGATTTGTGTGCGTTTGTGTCGTCCTCCCTTTAACACCACTTCCGCTTTTCGTAAAAGAGGATCATTCTAATCGCATGCTGGTTTTTTCCTCGGCTTCGTCCTCGCTGGCGCGCTGTGTCTTCAGCGGTGTGTGTGTGTGTGTGGGGGGGGCTACTGTCCGTGGGGCCCCCACAAGGCGCTCGCGCTGTCTCCAGCCATATGGCATCGCTCGACGAAGGACACAAACATTCCTAATGGAATCCAGCCGCCTCTGTGAACAACTCGTGTCCAATTCTCTGGAAGTGCAGCGAGATGTGTCGACAATCTCGTCCACCAGCGGTTGAACCGGCGCCCGTTTGCTCTCCGCTGGGTGGAGCAGGTTCTCATCGGCCTCCATTACTTTAATGGCAGCAGGAAAACCACAAGTATATTTTATATGTGTTTAAAACTGTCTCGGCAACACAGAAATAAATCATAGCACTGGAAAGGATTAGGCGATAAGAGACGTAGTCGTTTTTACCAAAATCAGTTCAATCATAAACGCATTTAAGTGTGAGACGGTTGTAACAAATATTACCAAATATCAGGGAATCGAGAAAAGCGCTTAATATTCCCTATTTTTATGCTTGTTCCAGAAGATATTTTTCCCCTTCAGCCGCTCGATGCTCCGTTGTGTTTGCTTTCTGGTTTCAATGACCATCATTTCAAAAAAAACCTGCGAACCGGAGGTGCTCAGCGACGCCGGCGTGATGAGCCGCACGCGTCAAAGAAACCGCACGGCGACACATTAATTGCTACGCGCACGGACAAATCCGCGCTGGTGCGAGTGTGGGGTGTTCTCTCGATGGGTGAGGTGTTAACGAATGGGACAGAATGTGATCGTTTATGTAAGCGCGTGTGTTATTATTTTAATTGTGCTGAAAATTCAGGACACTGACGTGACTCTTGGCAAAGTTCCGCATCAACCGCCTGATGTGATTCTTGATTAGTATGATGATGAGGATGATGTTGTGGGCCGTAAAACCAAAGCAACGAGCTGACGGACACCTCCCGCTGCCGAGGGAAGTGTGGTTGTAGTGGATCCACAGGGGGCGTGTCCCTGCGGGGGGACCGACCTTCCACTTTCTCATTGCCGAGTTCTGCTCGTCTATGAATCTCTTGTGTTGATGTTGAATGCATTTGTGTTTCTGTCCAGAGACTTGGAGTCTGATTACGTTTCCCATTGGGCTCCTCGTGTTATCGAACTGAGGTTTACATAAGTGGTCTTATTATTGTTAGTGACTCACCAGCATGAACACCGCCCCCCCCCCCGGCCCCCCTCTCCCCTCCCCCGGGCTTGTTGTTCTAGTTCTTTGCTGAGTAATAGAAGAGACGCCTTGGTTCCTCTCAGCACACGGTCAGCTGACTGCACGAGCTTCGGTTGTAAAATGACACCTGCCACTGCCATGCGGCTTCGGTGACTGGTAAACAAACGCCGCTCTCTGACGAGAAAGTCTCTTCCCACACACCACCGCTCCCCCACCCTCCCCCGTCCTCCCTGGCCTCCACCCGTTGCTCTGTTACGCAACCCGAGGGGACAGGAACAAATGAAGGCGGTCACGGAGGCCTGAATTCAGACCACACGGACGACTCCGCCTCCCTGTTGTGACCGATGCTTAAACGTTTCTAATCACGAGTCGTACTTTTTATATCAGAGTGCTTTTTTTTATGTTGTTCCAAAATATAAAGAAGTATAGACGTGTACCCTAACAACTTATTGTGCTGTAGTGTGAATAACAACCTCCTTGGTCCATTTAGGTGCTAATAGGAGGGGGGGGGGGGTTACTCCTCGGACCCACTCACCCCTTTCTGTGCAAAGACGAGTACAGTTTGTTACTCTCACGTCGTGTCCCCGGCCTCTATGACTCACCCCCCCGGACAGCACGCTCATTTGATCCTTTTGTTGTTTAGCCTCTACGTTAACACACACACACACACGCGGGATGGACGCCAGTGGGATATTTATGCCCAAAGAAGACGTTACATTCCCGTAAATTCAGAGTAGAATAAACATGGAGATTAACTGTTTGCAGGGTGAGAGGAGAGTTGTTTCTTCTTTTTTCCTCCCCTCTGTGGAGAAGGAACACAATGTGCTGCGAGGATCCTGTTACAAGCGTGTTGATCACTGCGCCGCCACCGATTGGTGGGCAGCACTTCGGAAGGAATCCCGCCTGTCCGCCCCCCCGCCAATGAGGCCTCTCTGTTCTTAATGCGTGGGTCACTTACTTGTGCGTTGCCAAGTAATGTGCAGGCGCACACGGCGTGGGAGTGTGTGTGCATACGTGTGTGTGTGTGTGTGTGTGTGTGTGCGCGCGCACAGGCTCTGCTGTGTGTCGTAGTTCCGGGAACAAAACCGTAGTTACAGAGAATTCTGCGAACGCTTCCAAAAACAAATTCCTGAAAACTGCCTGAGAAGGAAGCCTGGCCGGCGGAGGGGGGGTCGGGGGGCACGGGGGGAGGGGGGGATTCGGGCTTTTGAGGAAGTCGGGCTGTGACCAGTAAAAGGAGGAACTGAATGTTGTTTAGGTCAAGCTGGTACCGCTGAGAAACTCATCAATTGTCTTCTGCTGTCTGTCAAGTGTCATATCGGGTCTCGTACCGAGTCTTCACACGTCGGGACAAGCCGCTCTTGAAGGGAAAGTGTAACTCTGTTCTCACGGAATGTGACCGTGGCAGCTGTACGCAGGGTCGTATTGATTGATTTATTGGGTTAGGCTGGTTCAGCTTCATAACTTCTGGTTCAATCCTGGTTGTATTCATTTGTTGTATTTATACTGCAAGTCGCATGTGCTTGTAGTAATAGTTAAACGATAGCTCTGGGGTTTTATACGTAACAATAAACACAAAGTAACAATGAAATGATCCTGCCGATACATTGTGTTCCTAATCATACACAAACATTCCTTCAGCCTTCCTTCTTTTGAGTGCATCCATTAAATTCCATCCTGTTATTAATAATGTTATTAATCTGCATCTGGAAATGGTCAAATGTTTTAAGGGACTAACTTTAAAGGGACGCCTTTGGTTTTCTATTAGCGACAAACTTTTAGAGCCGAATGTCTCCATTGGGGAACTGAGTATCATAAAGTGGTTTGAAATAGTTTATCAGATAAAGCTACTTTAAAAGAAGACATTTGCTTGTTTTATGTCATTGTGGATGTTACATTTTGGTCCGATTTTTTCTTATTTGTTTAATACACAAAACAGAATCAAAATTCAGATCACTGAAGAAGGCGTATTGTAAGACATACGCTCATTCATCTCACTCCAGCTGTGGGGAATATTATTTATGCTTTTTGAAAGAATGTGAGCGTTTCTTTTGCGCCTGAGGCCTTTCAGGCGTGCGTGCGTGTGTGTGTGTGCGTGTGCGCGTGTGTGTGTGTGTGTGTTTTCAGGTCAATGAGGGACTCAGATGAGCGCTCTAATCTTTCCTTCACCGTAAACTGTGGCTCCATCAGCAAAGAAAACATTTTTCTCTTTTTTTCTTCTCGGCATTTGCGTTTTCCGAGATCTACCGTAGTTCTCATTTTTGGAGCGTGAATAAAACGAACAGCTGAGAATAATCTTGGCGAAAACATCGGCCCCCACCAGCAGCAGTCATGGCAGGAATGTTATTGAGATCTCTATTTCCAGGTCTCTCGGAACAAACACGGACGGACCCAAATGTTTACCAACAGAGGACGCTTATAGGTCTAATCAGGTGGTCTCAAAACCTTCCAAATGTCCACCATGTGCGCATGCATGCACATGCATGGCAGCCCCCCCCCCCCCCCCCCTCCTCCCAGACTGTGCTCTGGTGCAGCGAGGGGATACGAGCTATACTGTTTACTCTCGGGGCTGGTACGGGGCCGTGTCTGGGCTTGACGGGCTGAGATACTGGATCCCACAGCGGTTCCAGTTCCTCCCTCACTGGGAGCAGCAGCGTGTAGGAATACGCTCTGTGGGCCAAAGGTCACTCCCAGATGCCACCATGAAGCCCGGTTGTTAACGCGTCGCTATTCATGTTTAATTGTCTCGATGGCTCACTCGTACAGAAAGAAAGAAGGATCGCTGACCTGATTCAAAAGAAACACGTTGGGTGTTGTGAATATCCGATTAGTGTGGTAGTGTCATCAACGCAAATACTTTTGCTTGATTGATTGATTCCCATCCAGTCAGTAGCCTGCAGGTGCAGCGCGAACAAACAAAACAGAAATGTTCTCTGCAAGTTCGTGCGAAATCCTTCTTCTTAATGGTGATGTTAAGACAATTTCTAAAACTTTGCCAACAAATTCCCAGTGAAAGTATCGCGGCAGCCTAATGCACTGTGACATGAATGCAACGTGACTGCCCTTTGAATGCACCATGAGTGCACTGTGAATGCAACTTGACTACACTATGAATGCACTATGATTGCATCATTGCTGAACCGTGAATGCAACATGAATGCACCATTGCTGCACCAGGAATGCACTATGGCCTTATCACCTGCAATGCATATCAGCAGACATGTTGTTCCAATAACAGAACAGAACAGAACAATGGGAGGAAGAGAAAATGAAATATTCAGATCGGCACGTAAGGGGAGGAGCTGGTGAAAGAACGCGATCAGAACACCTGGTGTGCTCGTACTCTGTGTACACACACATTGGGCTTAAAGTCTGAGTTAACACAGTCACTCGTTGGCCTGAAACACCTGTTGCTCCAAAACGGTCGGGATCCTGACTTGAGTACTTGAGTCCTCTGTTAGAACATCGACTAGAACCAAACCCGCTGATTAACCATTAACTGCTGTGATTCAACGTTTGAAGCTTGCAGACTGGTCCGTCTCTTTTCCAACATGTGAACAAATATGATCTTTGTTCACATTATCGGTTTCATAATCTTGCACTTCTAGAAAAAAACAAGGTGTTTATTCAATGAAGCAACGCTCCTCAAATACAGACATTTAAAAATCAAGTTAAGTAGTGAAGAGGAAGGCTGATGGAAAGTAAACATGGATGTTAACAATTCCTATGTTGTGTTTGATGTTTTAAGCCTTCGGACATTTAAGAAGTACTCCTGTTGAAATCGCCTATGAAACAATCTTAATTGTCTCTCCCCCAGGCTCTGTGTGCTCGTCCAGGACGGCTACGGGACCTTCAGCGTGGTGCAGCTCCACCTCCTGCCCCGCAGCGACGACCTCCACCGCTACTGCCGCCAGTGGCAGGGGAGGACCTGCCTGCTGAGGGGCATTAAAGTGGTGCAACGGGTCACTCGAGAAAGGTCAGACAACCCAACCCAAACACAATACCCGTCCCCACACCCCCGCGGTGTCTTTGCACCTGACTGGAGACCAAATCTGTGACATGGATTTGTGTGTATCGCGCTGCAGAGGCGCCGGGCCTCCACCTGACAATGGCGGTTCTGCGTTTACATGCAAAGGGCCACCGAGGTGAACGGCACGCTCTGTGTCCCCCGTGAGTCTCCGCGGCCCACGTCCCAGATTAGAAGCCGTCAAGGGAACTGACATGGGAACATTTGCAGAGCGGCCGGGGGGGCTGGGGGGGGTTACGTTCACGCCGTTGGTATTCTCAGTGCCACATTAGAGGCTCTGCCTAATGTCTCTGCGGGGCGTGTGCGCTGTGATGATGGATGGGCTATCTGCAGGGCTCCCACATGGGCCATCGCACCAGCTCCAGTAGAAAAGCACGTTTGTCCGGTTGGGGTGAAAAAAAAAAAAGGAATCCCCCCCTCTTATCACTCCCCTCTTAGTTTCTGGGAACCAGTAAAGATATGGAAATCTAAACGCATCGCACAATGTAAAGAGTTTGACACTTTGGGGAACGCGCTTCATTCTCACTGAGGGAAATGACGAGATCAATATCGCTGTCATGTCTCTTTAGTAAAGGAGAAGCTGCAGCCGGCAGACCGTTAATGCCACAACTCTGCTTCATTACATGTTATTTGACTTAAGCAAACAAAGGGAGAAACGAGTGAGCTGGAGAGACGATTTTTACTCCGATCTAGTTACTCTTGGGGAGACAAGCGGCCTCCGACTCAACTTGCATCTTAACGTCAGGCACTCGAGAGGTGTCTATCTCCTCATCTAACTCTTGGCAAAGAAAAGAAGTGAGTAAGCGTCACTTCGTTGTCAAACCTTTTCTTTAAGAATACTTCATCTTTGAGGCGTGTGCTTTGTAGGCAAACAATCAGAGGCCCGGAGCCTCCGCGAGTAGTGTGTCATGTCAATATTGCCCTTTATATTGAAAAGTTACCCATTCTTGGAATATATGTTGACTAGAGAGGAAAGAAAAGGAATTCTTTAAACCACTCGGAGCGTCAAGCTGACTCTGACCTCCCGAGCGAGTTGAATGGCTGCTGTTAGTTAGTCGTTACTCTTCTCTGAGCCGCGGCCCTGCAGGACCTGAACGGGCTGCACAACCGGTTCCGCACAAAGGAGCCCTGTGATTACGGGCTGACGAACAGGTTGTTAACCACTGGGCTGATGCGGCGGAAGTTACCGGCGCCGACTGGCCATCCCGAACTCGCCGCGCTCTTCTTAGAAAACCAGGAGGCGGCGTGTCCCGCGGCCGCCGCCTGTTTTAATCGCGCCTCCCCCACCGCGTCACGCAGGGTGAAGCGAACCGTCCAGCGTGGTGTAAATTGGACCCGTCGTCGCTGAGATTAACAGCCGGGTGGAAGAAGGCGTCACTAATGGAGCGTTTTAAACTTTAAGCGTTAAAGCCGCTCGTCGACCTCGTTGTTTTTGGACCCCAGTGACGTAGTGATTTACATGGGGCTGGATTGTTTTCCCACCCTTCAGCGCCTCAAACCTGCTTGTAAAAACATCTTCTTCTTTTCGGAGCGTACGTGCTCTGCCAGCCCGAGCACGCTCGCTGCCAATTTGTTAGAACAAGCTCTGTCTTAACAGAGCTGCGTTTCAGTGGAAGTGAAACTGGCTGTTAAAGCTCTTTATCTTCCCGTTAAAGTCCCTTATTCACCAGTTTCTCATACCATCACCCCCCCATTACCCCCACCACACACTCACACACACACACACACACACACACACACACACACAAGCCGCCCTGTTCAGAGCCTCTTTTCTTACTCTTCTTTTTTGTCCCGTCAGGAGCACCAGGCTCTTCAGCCTGATAGACAGCCTGTGGCCCCCAGCGGTGCCTCTCCAGGACCATGGAGACACGGCTAGTATGTCCCCTGTAAGTTCTCACCACAGCACCCCGACGTGCATTATGTTCTCCTTCTTCTATTACGAGTTGTGGCCTCGCCACACACACATATCAAGGAATCATTGCAGTTCGTTAAACGTGCCGTCTTTTTGAAGGAAAGCCGGTCGGCGGCTGTGGCTCCGAGGTTCTGCTACCTGCTGTCGGGCCAGGAGAGCTCCGTGGAACCCACTGGGGATCGAACCGCGTCGCCGCTTTACCTCCCGCCCACTAAGCAAACCCTGCGAGACGCAGTGCAGGTGACGCGCGCGTGCAGAACATTCTGGCAGATGGCGATAACTAATCTTTAAGACTCCTTTCTGTCTGTTCCCTTTTCCCAGAGTCCGCGGCAAACCCGCCGCTGCAGTTTTGTCGCCACTGTTCTTCACAAGAGAAAAACGCAGGTACTTTTGGTTTTTCTTCTTTACGGCAAACTATTTTAATTTTGACTTGGGAAGAAACCGATAAGCCCGCGTGTGTAGAGATAAATTCAACCAACAAACTGATAAGATTGATCTCTGACGTAAGGGTGCATACATGTGTGTGTGCGCATGAGAGAGGCCTGGACGTTCTCTGCTATTGATTGGGGAGACCTTTAAACTTTGTTCTGAGATGTTATCTCATCTCGGTCAGAGTGGACTTTGCCTCCCGCAGATGCACTGACTCACACCTGAACGCGTGCAGCTCGTTGAACGGACAATCTCCTCGGGGCTGTTTTTTTCGGCTGATTTTTGAAGTTTTTTCCCCCTTGTGCAGCGTTTCCTTTGTGCAGGGTGTCTTTCTGGGTCAGTGTGTTTCTGAGCAAGTGTGCTGCTCCATGTCTGCCTCTCAGGGTCGTGATGTAGGCCAGGGTGAGGTTTGGCTGCTGCTGACGGACGCCGGTCTTCAGGAGGAGCGGCGGCCCGAGGGGCCGTGCAGGCGAACCGTGGCGCTGTGTGTCAGCACTTCCTGTGCGCTCACTTCCTCTGTCCTCGAATCGCTGAACTCCCCCGCTCCCTGTCGCATGTCCTTCAGAGATGCCGTCAGAGAACACGGTAGAGCTTCAGTGCGAACTCACGTGACATCCCAGCCGACCGCCATGAGCCGTGCACGTGTCACCCAGACAGTAGTAAACGTACTTACTGACCTTCAGCGCTGTCAACGTTGCTCAAAAAGGACGTCTGAATATTCGCTTTAAAAAAAGACACATAAGACATATTCAAATATCTGGTTGCGCATTAGGCGTCAATAACAGGACAAATTCATACAACGAGACATAACTACTTGTATAGGTAGTTTATTTAAGTTTAAACATATTTAACCTCTCTCTCTTGTAGCGGTTTTAATGAACGACAACAATAAACGAATGCTGAAGTGCTGATCAAGAGTTTTGTGCAAGCAATTTAAGGTCACGATTCTTGTCTCATATGTCAGGCTTCATTCAGTGATTGAAACTGAAAGTTTTACAGCACCGACGTTGAACGCTCCGAGCGAGCTGTGCAGCAAACACAGAACTTTTCCTTGGCACGAAACGGCAAATAATCAAACCAGTGCATGAAGCTGTTTATTTTATTCATGCAATATACAGTCAGTACAGACGCGCGCCCCCTGCAAAGCTGACAATTTTCACATTCGAATAGTTGTTAAAAACAAAATATTCGTTAACTGACCTTCCACCAAAAGCACAACAGAGTTTCTTCACTTTAGTATTTCCCTTTCCTGCCGCTTTCTTTCTAAGAGGAAAGCGTTGTATTATACGGTTTACCACGTTGATCTGACCGCTAGGGTCATTAGTTACTGGCAGTGGTGGAAGAAGTACTTACTACAACAATGTAAATAGCTTTTGGAGTATATGTGTGTACTTCATGAAACAAAAGTAGAGGAAGAGGCCGTGCAGTAAAATGTCACCTCTGTCTAATTCATCATTAAGGATAGAAAAGTTTCAAATAACGTGACCAATTTATTAAAACAGTAAAACGCTACTCCAACACTGCTGTGTCAGTAGTACCAATAATATCACACAAATACATTTGATACTTTAAAGGTACAATATGCCGCATTTGATAGAAATAAAACTTGAATCCCTTTTGACCCACAAAAAATGAGCCGGCCTGTACTTTTCTTCTTCTACGCTGATTTTATTTCTCCGCTCCTCCGCTTTGTTCTCGCTCCGTTCGTTCGCTCTGGAGCGCCTGGGAAAAGACGCGTTTGCCACCCATGTGTTTGCAGTAACATCTCCACATGTGCCGATCCAGGAGTCCTCTTGTGTGCGGAGCAGTCCGTGGTGGAGGTGTGCAGCGTGGACCCGGAGTCCGAGCCTCGGGCAGAGGCCCTGCCCCGACCCGTGCGACTGGATCCCCTGACTGCTGAGGTCACACCCAACTCCGTCTGCTCTCTCTCAGGTCAGCCTCCTCCCCACCTTTCCACCGGCTCCTGCAGAACATGCCCGGTGGGTTGTTTTCCCAGGGAAACCAAACCATTGTTCTCCTCGTCGGCGGGTTTGCGGCCCAGCGAAGAGGCCTTGATGTGGCTTCAAGGCCTCTCGCTCTCTGCTGTTTGTTATTCAGTGTCTTCAGGCTCTCATTGTTTGGGACTTTAGGAAACAAAAACACATTGAATTTGGTTGGATTTCAATCAATTCTCACGTCGTAATGTCAGTGAAATGGACATGTCTGCTCCCCATCAGGCGCTTAGATGAGGGTGCAGCGATCCGGTGTGGATTAGTTTCAGGACTTTGCATTGTTTCCCCTGGACTTCAATGTGACGTTTTCTTCACCAAGCTCTCATCAAATGTGTTTTGCTGTTTTTTTAATCAACCTTGCTTGCTGGAGAAATCAGTCCAAATCTGATTTTCCTCACTTTGAGTCCGATTATGTAAGTGTGACGCTAAACCGATAATAAGCCGCATCTGTGAACGCGGTGTCAAAGGTCAGACTTGTGCGTCCTCTCGGCTCTGGCCCGGACATGTTTGGTCAGGTGGCTGAAAAACAATAAAACAAACTTGTTATCTTCTGCACTCGTGGCGCGGAGGCGATCCCGCGTTGCTGTGCGCGGCGCTCTGGTTGTGCAGCTCCGAGCCGGCAGCGCTGTGCTGCGCTTTTATCAGCCGGCCGTCTCAGATAAAAATGAAAGGGATGTGTTTATCTCTCACGCCCTGCCACAAAGCGCACACACACTGCGTAGATCGTTCATCCGTTTCTTCTAGCTGGGCGTCATCAGTCATTTTCCTTGTAAAAGACTGAAATGTAAACCGGGGATAAAAAAAAAAACAGCTGCTAAAAGTAAACTGTTTTGTGTGCGAATGTCCAAATGTGAAGACTTTGGTTTCTGCCTGCAGGGGTGATAGTCGGCGTGGATGAGACCACAGCTTATTCCTGGCCGGCCTGCAACCGCTGTGGAAGTGACAACTTGGAGATGTTACCGGAAAGACGGTAAAGTTCTTAAGTCGAATCAAAATGACTGAACGCTTTATGCAAACAAACCTCACGGGAAATACACAAGTTTATTCTTCTTCTTCTTCTCCTCCGCGCAGTCCAAACCTGCGCTGTGTTCCTTGCGAGTCGCCGGTGGACGAGCCGGACACGAGGGTTCAGCTGGAAGTGTTCCTGAGCTCCTCATTAAGTAATTGCACCTTGAAGGTGAAGGTGAGAACGGTGCTATCGGGGTTCCACGTAATCGAACGTCCACTCGTTGGTGATTCAGACTTTTCCGGGCTGATCAAGTGTTATTTTGCACAGAGAGGCGTGCAGGTATTTAAAGGAGTAGTTCCTTCCCGTTTAAGCTACAGTCATGTGGTGTCGACCGTCCCGACTAATTCTTGGCAAGAAAACAAATTGCATTTTATCCCCAAAACATCAAACTATTACTTTCGACAAAGCGGCGAGAAGACTGCAAACCGAACGTGATGAAAATTGACAGTACAAAGAGCAGCGGGGGGGGTGGGGGGGGAGTCAAACCTTTTGGACAGACGAGCATCAGTCTGGCTGAAGTGTCCTTGAGCAAGGCACTTAACCTCTCGTGTGAGACGTCTTCACATTAAACACGTATCTGAGTGCCGTGGTTTATATCAGGAAACGACGTGAGCCAAACTGATAAAACGAGCAGCGTTGCTCTTATCAGCCGCTCGATGTGTCTCTTCCCCCCCACCCCCCACCCCCCACCCTCTATCAATCTGTGACTCACCTGCATTTGTTTTTCATTTGCAACGTTTAACAAGGACATTGATGAGTCCTTTCGTCTCCCCCCCGACAGCTGCAGCAGAAGACGATCGCGTCGATCCTGAACTCTGCGGCTCTGGAGGCTCACGAGGTGCGTTCGCCTCCACAAACTGTTACATAACTCGAGCGCTCGGGGCATTGATCTTGTGTCAATATGTTCTCAGAGCCTTGTAATCTGTTCATGTCAAGGTGATAACGCTTCTGCTGCGCTGAAAATAAATAAAAAACGGAGTCACAAAACGTTTAAGGGAATTTGGCGCCAAAATACTGACGTAATCTCCCGCCCACCTCTCATATTTAATGATTGTTTTTTTAAGTGTGCATGCAGTTTTTACACTCGGGACATTCGGAACATATGAATAGAACTTAGAGGCGTTGCCGCAGTTCCTAATCTTGCAAATGCAGTGTTATTTGCATTGTAGGCAGGAATGATGTTTACCGGGGGAACATTTTGAGTGAAGAATGAATTCTTAGATCAACAGAAATGCTGCAGACCAATGTGCAGGGTGCAAAGGTCACGGCCTGTCGGTCACTCCAATATTCTTGCAGCCTCAGCAGATTTTAAAAAAGGTGTTGAAGGAATCATGCACAGTGAGTGAGTGCGGGTGGGAGAAATGTTCTGACAATGTGTGTTTCAGTTCCCAGGTTACGATGTGGAGAAGGTCCTGGGAAAAGAAGTGGGGCCCCTCGCCGTTTACGTCCGAGTCGTCACCAGGAAACCGGCCCTCTGGATCGGCCTGGAAGAGATTTGCCTCTGAGGCCGTCGGGGAGAGAAGTGATATCAATCCTCAGGCTTCAGTCGGCTCCGGGGTCTGAGCCAGATCAGCCCTCCCCCGCCTTTCCCTCCCGAAGGCCTCACTGACAGCTTGGGGCTGCAAGAAGACAAGGTCTTGTTTGTGTTAAAAGATACGTGATCCTGTGGACCCGGAGTTGACAGCCCAAGGGTAGACCGGTGGCATGCAGTCTGTCAAAGCCGCCACGCGGTTTATCAACTGGAACTTTGGGCTCTAAACACTTTAAAAAAGAACTTTTCCCCACCGGGTTCATCTACCTCTGTGTGTATATAAGAACTTGCAGTATTAATAAAGTTGGATTTTTGCTGACTTCACGTTCCGGTTGCACTCTCACTTCTTATGAGAACACACGCAGTACATGCAAAGATTACTCAGACCAGGATATTTCGTCACCTTTTCAGCATTTTTATTATAGATTCCATAAACAATGTTTTCAAGGGTTTCATACAAACTATATAAAAGATCATGCGCTGGCTCTTATACAAAGTTTGGAATTATAACATGTACCATAGCAGGTATAACATGTAAATGCAGTGGTAAAATAATTTAATACAGAGAACAATCCCACAAAAAAAATATGGCAGCAACATCATATATATATATTTTCCAGTGCCATTATGGTAAGCTTAGAATGCATCTGTTACAGATGGTAAAAATCGAAATGTCTGTTGAGGTAAGTCTGCTTATGGCTCAGTCCACAGATCCGGGAATCTGTCACCGGCTCAACGCGCTCGCGGAGCCCGCAAAGGACGAGCTGGGCATCTGCTTGAAGAAGTCCCGGAGGCCGGAGAGCTCTCTGGTGAGCTGCTCGATGGTTTTATGGAGCTTGTCGTTATCGGAGCTCAGTTCGAGCAGCTTGTGCTGCATATCCACGTTGCGCCTCTTGGCTTTGTCCCTGCTCTTCCTCACCGCGATGTTGTTCCTCTCCCGCCTCTGCCGGTACTCCACGCTGTACCGGTCCACCCGCTTCCCCTTCTCCCGGCCCACCTTCCGCGGGGAGGACCTGGCCGAGCTGGCGCCGGAGCTCGGCTCCGGGGTGGTGGGGGGCGTCGGCTGCCCCGTCGGCAGGCTGACGGAGGTCTGCGCGCAGCTCTTGATCTGCGAGGGCAGGGACGAGGACACGTCGCTGTCGCTCCAGTCGGACTCCTGCTTGATGGGCGCGCAGAACGCCCCCTTCTCCAGCGCGAGGCCCGCGCGCCGCTCCGCCGCGTACGCGGCCGACAGCTGCTGCTGCTGCTGCTGCTGCTGCTGCAGCTGCAGGTCGGCGGTCTGCGCGGGGGGGCTCTGCATGTTGTAGAAGTCCAGCTTCTCCTGCTTCACGGTGTTGAACAGGTCGAGGAAGAGCTCGTCGTTGCACAGCTCCTGGGTCGGCACGGCCGTCATGGACTCGATGTACTGACTGAAGTCGATGGCGCTCTCGTCGTCGTACATGGCCGCGGTGGCGGCCGCGGTGCTCAGCTCCGCCATGGGGGGGTCCCTCGCCGCCCGGCTTGCAGAGCTGCCCGAGCTGCGGGGCGCCCAGCTTGGCGCTCTCGTAGAAGTTAGCGGGCTCCACCGCCCAACTCATGTTGCATCCGTGGAGACACGCAGCGGGAGTCCAGGCTGTATATGTCACACATGAACGCTGGTGACTCGCACCCCCCCCTTCGGCCCCCACGTGGTCTGGGAAGTACAGTAACTTGTTGGGGGAAAAAGGCGACCCGCGGATGTGACAGCGCAGTGACCCTGCAGCGGTTTTCTTCCCCCTTTTTCAGTAATAAAAACCCGAGTCAGTTGTGAAGTTCTTCTCCTGCCGGCACCTGACACTTCTCTGGAGCCGCTCTACGCTCGCGCGCTGTTTTTGTAGCGTCGGCCGGCTGACGTCACACGCACCGCCCTCTTCCGAGCCAGTCAAGGCAAAACAAGCGGTCACGTGGTGTCCGGTGACTCCCCATTTGAGGAGAGGTGGGCGGGGCGCAGGCGCCACCCACATTTTACTACGACGCTATGAATGGTTGTGCGTTGTTTACATGCTGGAGGTTCGGACTTTATTGGTCTCCAGCAGTAGAACTGGTTCAAAGTATTCACATCGTTTATTGACGCAGGAGTAGTAACACAACTGTAAAAGTACTACGTGACCAGTATGAAAAGATGTTATACATACAAACGGAGGACTAACCGCAAGAGATCAATTATCCAAACTAAACTGCCTCACAATGCGGAATGTTCTAGAGTATTTTCCTTAATGATCATTAATAACACTGTCCAATCCGCGAGGCGTTTTCCTCATATGTGTAACGTACTTGGTAATAGTTTGTGATTCTGAGAAGTGGTACTTTAACGTTGCAGCTGGTCATCGTTTATACTTGATGTGCTGGGTAGTATTTTATTCGCTGATTACCTGTTTGTAGAAGTTTAATCCGAAAGGTACACGTAGTGGAGGGGGAAAAAGCCCAATATCTAGTAAGTGTAAAGTATACTGAGAATGAAAACACACTTGAGTAAAGTACCTCAGAAAGTACAACACTTGAGACTGCATGAGTTCTGCTTTAAACCATTGGTCTTAAAAAGTGGCAAGATGCAAGTCCACCAACACAAATGACAAATTGATATGATGCTAATGGACAACATCAAGATGTATGTGGCCTGTGACATGAAGTACTTGTATCAGTACTTTGTTTGTATGCCATACCGATATATCTATTCGACCCACACAAACCGCATTACTGTAATAACGCCCATTAGGAGTTTAGAGGACAGCCCAAGTTTCCAGTTTAGATGTAGTTATTTATGTATGTAGTACTGGTTTTGTATTACTTTATTTTTAATGTACCTTTTTGAGGATCCTTATGTTGTTCATGTGTGCTTTGCCATAAAGTTTATTTTACCTGTCTAACCCAAAACCGGTCCAAAGTAAAAAATAGTACGTGATAAAAGTGAAACTAGGGAGGCAAAACAACCAAAGCCACAGACAACCTCCCTAGGAGGTGGTTATAGGTTTAGGGGGTACAATATGTACACTGTCCTGACTGGACTGAAAGAAGAAGTGTCCCTTTATTTTAGTAATTGTAAATAAGAATTTGTTCTTAATGACTTAAATGAAGGTTAATTATCTTTAAATATAAGTTTATGCTACCAAAACCTTTGTTTACATATGTATAAATACATACATGTTGGGGGTCGTACCGCTCTTGGTCACATGTACAGACACTTCTCGGAAACGCTCCTGTGTTTTTCCCCCTCAGGAAGTGAGCTGTGCTTTTCCTCCCTCAGTATCTTTTGAAATGGAAACTGTGACACCTGCTGGTCGATAAACGCACACGCAGGATAAAGGCGTGTTTAAAGAAGTACGGATAGCAAAATAAATACGTCATTAGAATTCAGTCAAAATGAACGAGGATGAAATATATTTTAGTTTGATATTCTTTGAGACTGATGATATTGTGACAAAAAGGAGGATTTGATTAGAGATTACTCTAAATAACATCCACACTGATTATCCGAGATATTTGTCTCTCTTCATTTACGTCTTTAATTAGTTCGCTTGCAGGAAACATGGTACGGCTTTAAGAAGAAGAAGCCATTTTTATTGCCAAATATTATTTCACACATACAGAAAGTTCTCTGTAGTTGTCCTGCCGTTGGGTGTCCTGCTCAGGGACACTTCGGCATGAGACATGGAGCAGTTCGGGTTCGAACCACCAACTCTGCGGTTCCCGATGGACCGTCTCTACTCCATGCGTCAACGTGTGCGCATAGAGTGTAACCCTAAATATATATATTTTTTAATTTGACATTTTATTTATTTATTTGTGTAAGTAAATTAAGTGTAAAGTTTCATAATTAATTCATTGTCACAGTTTTATTTTTAGCCATTTATTTTGCCACTATTTCATTCGTTTTGTCAATGTTTTCAAAAACGAATTGGCCGATTTATTTAAAAAAATGTTGGACCAAACCAAAGCAGCTCAGGGTATCAATCGGCAAAGGGATTGGCAGAAGAAACGCGGATACATTTCTAAATTCAATATAGAACAATTCATGTCGTCCGAGTTAAGTTAAAAACTACCTGTGATACTGATACGGACATTGTATTGCTTTAAACTCAAGTCGTAACGACTGAAACTAATCAGGAACCCCCCTCTGCGGTGAAGGAATCGACCGGAAGGAAAACGGCAATCCTGGCTCGCCATTGGTCCGAAGTTCCCCGCGAAAACGACGTCACTCGCAGTTTCGCGCCAGATCTGCAGCTCACGGACGTACACACAAGAAGAGGTAAGGAAGAACTTAATTTAATGCACTTATTGCCGATAAATCTTCTGGACATGTGGATTGACGTGTTTGTCTGATTGAAGGTCTACTTCTGAGCTCATGCTTAGTTAGTTAAACCCTTTCAAACAGAAGTATTACGTTTCAGCTCATTGTTTCCTCTGCAGCCACATGTCAAAAATGGTGGAAACGTTATCGTCCACTTTTCCAAAGCTTTCAATGAAAGTAGGAAATCGTAAAGTCGTTTTAACAATAATGTTACACGTAAAGAGAAATCGGCATATGGTGCTCATGTAAAACTGAACTGTAAATAAAGTGAACCTATTATTGTTGTTGTTATTATTATGGATTGGTATTCACTTATTGTTCCATGGACGAGCAGAGAAAGGCAGCATATAAGCTTGACCGTTGCTTATTGATGCTAAGTAACAGTACCATTAGACACTTGTAGTTTTTAATTACCGTTTAATGAATATTTCCAGTTAAGTTTATGTTCCGCTTGTTAATGTCAGTGGCGCTAAATGTATTGAGCATAATGGTGAAGTTAATCATGACAACGGAAATATTTAACCACAATACCATCCAATGGACAGCCTACAATCTACACATAAATGGTAATGAATCTTAACAACGAAACGCCACATTATTGAGGACATGCAAGTAAATATGACAGAAAGCATCAAACATCTGCTGCCTCACTTTGAGAGTTTTATTTAGCGGGTATTGATTGTGGTGACAATGCAACAATAAAGGGACAAACTAAATGTCCCTACAGCTTCTTTTTTCATCTACTATCCAAGCAGAGGCTCTGCACACCGATCCAAACTAAACAATAACCAAGTAAACAAAAGCACACAGACCCTCTGTTTTCTTTTCCGCTGTCTCAAAACAAAACAAGTGAGTCGACTCATTTCCACCTGCAGATATTCCAGCAACATGTCTTCTCCAGCATCGACTCCCGGCGGCCGCAAACGAGGAAGAAACACCAACCCATCCACTCGTGAGTTTGTGTGTCCTCGATGGAAGCCTCCAGACCCCCCCCGCGGTCACGCGTCCACCTGTAGATAACTCGTCTTTTGTGTCCCGCGTGTCCTCAGCCAGCAGCGAGGGCCCCATGTCGCCCCCCTCCCAGCGGCGCAGGGGCCAGGACTCCTCCGCCGGGGACCTGATGCCGATGCCCACCTCCCCGGCAACCGACGTGCTCAGTCCGGCGGGGCCTCAGGACAATTCTCTGTTCTCCAGCCCCCGACCCTCAGGTGCCAAAGTTCATCCACGCTTTTTAAATCTTCGTCCTCGACGCACACTCGAGTTGACTCCTGTGTCTCTCTCCAACAGTCCCCCCCAATGAGGTGGACATGAGCTCCCCTCTGATGTATGGCACCCCCAGCTCCAGGGTCGAAGGGACCCCCCGCAGTGCGGTGCGCGGCACCCCGGCCAGACAGCGACCTGACCTGGGGTCAGTCAGGAAGGCTCCGGAGGTCGATCTTCAGTCCGAGCCGGTGAGTGGAGGACAACAACATTTGAGTCTCTTCTTTATAGAGGAAGAGTAACTAGAGGATGACCCCCCCCGCCCCCCCCCCACTGCTTGTTTTTGCAGCCGAGTGCGGATGGACCCGCGGCCAGCGAGACGAACGCAGGTCAGCGGCTGGTGATCTGGGGGACGGATGTCAATGTTGGGACCTGCAAGGAGAAGTTTCAGGTACAAAGTCTCTCAGTTCAGCCGTCATGAGATGTTCCCCGTTCTCACTACGGGGGGGGGGGCTAATCGTCCTCGTGCCTTACTTCCCTTTTTATTCTCAGAGGTTCCTGCAGCGGTTCATCGACCCGACCTCCAGCGAAGATGAGAACGCTGGTTTGGACCTGAACGAGCCTTTGTACATGCAGAAGCTGGAAGAGGTAGCGCACCTTCTTTGGCCTCGTTGCGTTCTGTCGCTCTGTGTAACGCTTTAGTTTGGGCTCCTCTGTTGTTGGGTTTGAGTCCGACTGTGCACAGCAAACCCGACCGATCCTTCTGGGTCCTTCTGGTCCACGTGAGGGAGGATCATTTGGTCACCGGAGACGTTTTAAATGTAAATATTTCTGTCCGTCTTTTCGGACCACAGATCAGCGTCGTTGGGGATCCGGTGCTCAACGTGAGTTGTCTGCACGTGCAGTCCTTCGATGCGGAGCTTTACAGACAGCTCATCTGCTACCCACAGGTAACGTCCCATGTAGTAGAATTACATTGAACTCACTCGGGTTCGTTGCCATCGGGTTTTTTTTTTTTTTTTTTTTTTAGCAACTTACTCCTGTTAAAGTTGCAGTGACACTCTGTGTTCTGATGATAATGAGTGATTCTTTGGCTCCGTTGGCAGGAAGTCATCCCGACCTTCGACATGGCCGTCAACGAGCTCTTCTTTGAGCGCTTCCCAGACTCCATCCTGGAGTACCAGATCCAAGTCCGCCCCTACAACGCCCTGAAAACCAGAAACATGAGGAGTCTGAACCCAGAAGGTGTGTGCGTGGATTCACGAGCCCGGCCCACGTGTGAAGTCACACTTCATCAGTGTTTAACCTCCTCCTCCTCCTCCTCCTCCTCGCAGACATCGATCAGCTGATCACCATCAGCGGCATGGTGATCCGCACCTCGCAGCTCATCCCGGAGATGCAGGAGGCGTTCTTCCAGTGCCAGGTGTGCGCCTTCACCACCCGGGTGGAGGTGGATCGCGGGCGCATCGCCGAGCCGGCTGTGTGCCGCCACTGCAACACCACCCACAGCCTGGCGCTGGTTCACAACCGCTCCGTCTTTTCAGACAAGCAGATGGTGAGAGTTGGGCGGGATTGGTGGGGGCGGGTGATGGGGGCGGGGGGCAGATTGCTCGGAGTCAGCGACACCTAATCTCTTGAGAGCGTGCCGAGTGGTAATTAATGAGGTGTGGCTGCGGGGGTCACGGCGTCTGCTCACCAAATCCGCCTCTCGTTGCAGATTAAGATTCAAGAGTCCCCCGAAGACATGCCGGCCGGCCAGACGCCGCACACGACCATCGTCTACGGCCACAACGACCTGGTGGACAAAGTGCAGCCGGGGGACCGCATAAACATCACCGGTGAGATTCCCCGGCGCTCGGCGGCTTTGGCGAACACGTCGCTCACTCGGCTTTTGTTTCACCGTTTGCTTGGAGATGATCTTCCACAGTCCAAGACGCCCAGACGTCTTTCACGTCCCACCAACTTCCCAGAGTATTCAGTAAACATTGTGTCATTGGCTGTTTTAATGTGAAACGTGGGGTTTGTCTGATTCAACACACCTGGTAGTCGTCACGTTTTTTACGGCGTTACACTGTTAAAAATGGCGCTCGAGCTCCCATCTTTCTTCCCCCTCCCTTTGACGGCTCCCCTATCGTCCCTGCAGGAGTCTACAGGGCCGTCCCCATGCGCGCCAACCCCCGCCAGAGCAGCGTCAAGTCGGTGTACAAGACCCACATCGACGCCATCCACTTCCGCAAGACGGACGAGAAGCGGCTGCACGGCTTGGACGAGGACTCGGAGCAGAAGCTCTTCACCGAAGACCGCGTGCAGACCCTGAAGGAGCTGGCGGGCAAGCCGGACGTCTACGAGCGCCTCTCCTCGGCGCTCGCGCCGAGCATCTACGAGCACGAGGACATCAAAAAGGTGCGTGGACGGACGCCAGCCAGAACACGGGGGGGGTCGACCGGTGCACGCGCCCCCGCTGATGTGCAGACTCTCGCTCTGATTGGCCAACAGCGCCGGCGTCGGTCGCGTCTAAAGCAGCCGGCAGAAATCCGAGGCTGTTGATAATGTTACTCGCGCCATTAAGTTTCAGGGCTCAGAGGGACATTTGATGGCAGCGAAACTGGACTAAATGTATGTTTCATGTCAGTGGAATCATCACTTTTTCAAAGAACTTGTAATGCAACAACTTTCACCTGTGGAAAAAAAAAAGGCAGATCATTTTAATTATCAGATATGAAATAAATAGAATTATTTGAAGAATTCCCAGCAGCCTTCACTAAAGCCTTGTTATGTAAAGAAAACCCAAGTATTTACCCCCCCCCTCCCACCCTCCTCTGTGGCTTCCAGGGCATTTTGCTGCAGCTGTTCGGCGGCTCCCGCAAGGACTTCAGCGCCACGGGCCGAGGCAACTTCCGCGCCGACGTGAACATCCTGCTCTGCGGGGACCCCGGCACCAGCAAGTCCCAGCTGCTGCAGTACGTCTTCAACCTGGTGCCCCGCGGCCAGTACACCTCGGGGAAGGGCTCCAGCGCCGTGGGGCTCACCGCCTACGTGACCAAGGACCCGGAGACCCGGCAGCTGGTCCTGCAGACCGGCGCGCTGGTGCTGAGCGACAACGGCATCTGCTGCATCGACGAGTTCGACAAGATGAGCGACAGCACGCGCTCCGTGCTGCACGAGGTCATGGAGCAGCAGACCCTCTCCATCGCCAAGGTGGGTGTTTCTCACCGAGGCCGGCGGACGTTTTTTCAGCCGGCAGGAGGAAAGTTCTCACGCTGCTTTTGCTCGCCTTGCAGGCCGGGATTATTTGCCAGCTGAACGCACGGACCTCTGTGTTGGCCGCCGCCAACCCCATCGAGTCTCAGTGGAACCCCAAGAAAACCACGATTGAGAACATTCAGCTGCCGCACACGCTGCTGTCCAGGCGAGTGATTCACCGGTTGCACGTCGGCAGCATTTATCAGCTGACAGGAAGTCTGGGAAAATGAGCCCACATCATCATCACAAAGTTCAAATAAATAATATATTTATAATTATATTATAATATATAATATCCGTTAGTCATTCTCTATTGCTGAAGGAGGCAACACAGACATGAGAGCCTTTGCTTGACTGATCAAAGTATTTAAATATTTCATTCTTAAGTGTACGAACTTGTCTTTTTACCTCCGTTGAATACCAGCAAAAATAAACTCTGTCTAAGTACGCAATTCTGATAAAAAGCTCCAGACTGCTAAAAACTCCTGAGCACAATTTTTGTTTTCACTCTGATTTAAATTCTTTATCCAACAGAAGCATGATTTCCACTTTAAATGTGAATAAATCAATCATCATAATGGGTTAATAATGTTCAAATTAAAATGAAGAACTGTCTGCAAATGTATCTCATCTGTTTAAAACGTCATAAGTCATTTTCTGTGTTAAACTCTGGTTAGACACAGGACATCCCGTCCATTATGTCATGTTTCTTGGTCTTATTGTCTCGCTTGTTATGTTCCTGTTTGTTTTTTTTAACGCTGCATTTACGCGCTCCGTCAGATTCGACCTCATCTTCCTGATGCTGGACCCCCAGGACGAGGCGTACGACCGCAGGCTGGCCCACCACCTGGTGTCGCTGTACTACCAGAGCGAGGAGCAGATCGAGGAGGAGTTCCTCGACATGGCCGTGCTGAGGGACTACATCGCGTACGCACGGACCTACATCAACCCACGGCTGAGTGAGGAAGCCAGCCAGACCCTCATCGAGGTTGGTCCCTCACCCCCCGATTAACGTTCCTCGCGTTGAATGCTCGAGACGTCGGGCCCCTCAACTTGTGCACGCCGCTCCTCAGGCCTACGTGGACATGAGGAAGATCGGCAGCGGCCGCGGGATGGTGTCCGCCTACCCGCGTCAGCTGGAGTCCCTGATCCGCTTGGCGGAGGCCCACGCCAAGGTGCGCTTCTCCGAGAAGGTGGAGAACATCGACGTGGAGGAGGCCCGGCGGCTGCACAGGGAGGCCCTCAAGCAGTCGGCCACGGACCCCAGGACGGGCTTCGTCGACATCTCCATTCTCACGACCGGTACGTGGATATCGGGAGCTTCGGCGTCTGGCGTTGAGAGACGATCCGTTCCAGATGTTTTTAGGGGGGGCGGTTTACTCGTTTCTGACATTGAGCGTTGATCTGTGACTCCAGGTATGAGCGCCACCGCGCGCAAGCGCCGGGAGGACATCGCCCAAGTCCTGAAGAAGCTGATCCAGTCCAAAGGAAAGACGCCTGCCATGAAGTACCAGCAGCTGCTCGATGATCTCAGGGGACAATCCGAGACTGTAAATATGTTTTTTTTGTGTCGTTGTGAACTGGTTGAGCGGCAGACGGAGACTAATGACTCCCCCTCTTTTGTCCCGTTTTGTTTTCAGGCGATCACCAAGGAGCTGTTTGACGAGGCGCTCCGAGCCCTCGCCGACGAGGATTACTTGACGGTTACTGGGAAGACCGTACGCCTCCTCGCCTGAGACGCACACCCTGCAATTATGTACAGGCCTTCATTTTACAAATCCCAGCTTTTTTTTCTTGTGCTGTAAAAAATAATTTGTACAATTGAACCGCCAGGTGTTTTGCGGCCGTGTTGGACTTTGAAACACCGCTCAGTTTAGAGACGTCGTTCATAATAACTGCGTGACTCATTCAAACGGAAAAAATAATAGAGCTAATATTTAAATGTTGTTGTATTACATTTGTTTACCTATTTGCAAGTAATGTTGTTTTGTTTTGTTAAGAAGCTCTTTTTTTCCAACTTGTACATTGTAATCACTCTGGTTTAAGTCACTTGTTATTCCAGAGATTATTGTAGCTGTAACAGTGACTACTTATTAAGAGGGAAAAATAAAATGTTGCTCACTGAAAATGACATTTTTGTCAGTTGTGTTGAATTTAAATCCACAGTTCCCAAAAGATCGAGAGATATAACATGTATTTATTATCCTGAGTCTTTAGGATTATCTAAAGATAAATGTTACCATAAAAACCGTATTTCATATTGTCCACGAGGTTGTTCTCTCTGCACTGAGGCTACAGATGTTTAATGTTCCGTATTTTAATGAAATAGAAGGTTCAAACTAGTATGTATTTGCAGTGAGTCCCTGTGCACAGCAGTGGGGTGAAAGGTCATCGGCTCACTCTTGTTGTCATAGCAACAACCGCCCGGCATCAGACAACTCCGCTTCCCAAATTAACCTCGTCTGTAAAAGCATTTTTATTTGTAACTTTCATTAAGTATTTGTGAACCAAAGAGTCCCGAAACGCACAGAGAGACTTTATTTCGACTGGTCGAACCGGAAGATGCTTCTCGTTGAGGAACGTTAGCTGGTTGGCTCTGAATTTAATTTTCCTATTGTGACCATAACGTTATTAGTTGATTTATTTCACAACACATTTAGTCAAACTGTTCTGACAGTAGAGAGACGGGTTTATTTGGGCCTTGTTGTGTGGAAGTATCTTTGTGGTTGTGATTTAATCAAAATACACATGTATGTAATAACGTTAAATTAGCAACAGTTAGCCTCAGTAATACTAATGTTTAGTTAGCCAACAGTGGCTAATGAACAGTTGCAGTTACATTTTAAATAACAAGTACTCTCGTGGACTGATACAACCATTTTACACTAAATCCAGTTTGCGTGTTGCTGTAACTTTGTACACCTTTTAGTGGAACTATTGTTTAAAAGAAGACTCGATTAGCGGTAGCTCGGTGATGTCACGTTAGCTCAAATACAGTCCTTGCACGTGTCGTAAAAGTATAGCTTTGAGGGAACTTCCAGGGGAACTGCGCGTCCCGTCTAGAAGCGGGATAAATAATCACTCTTCCGTCAGTAAAGGTGCTGGAACCGGTTTCGGTTGATCTGCGCACAGCCGCGATCTGCCGGTGAGACATTGCCGTCGTGTTTAACGGCTGTGACGTCACGGCTCTGCGTGCTTCTGGACTCGGCTGAAGAAGATGGCGGCCTCCTCAGGTTTGTGTGCCTTCAAGCTAACGCATACAGCGACAGAACGCGTTGGCTAGCCCTCCCCCGCGCTGTCATCCCAGCCCAACAAACGCGGCGTCTCGCTAACTTACAGAGGTTTATCAAAATCGCTCTCCGCTGTCATTTATTCCTTAATTATTCCCCATCGCAAAGCATTGCTCTTCGCGGGAGCCGTCTATCTCCCGGGATTACTCGGTAGGCTAACCTAGCTTACACAAGCGGATAGCCTGCACCGTGAGTTAGCTAAAATAGCTCACGGTGTCCGAAATAAGCGTCCGTATTGGCCGTCTGTGTCTCAAGGAAACGCCTGTATTTTGAAAAACACCCCTAGAAATGGTAAATTGTGTGAGTAAACATAATTTAATAAATGGGCTGTAAATAACCGCAGATTGTGCTAGCTAGCTGCTAACCTAGCTACTAGAATATTCTAGGACCGCGAGGCAGCGAGAGTCGATCTTGTTGTGTCCGGGTAGCTACTAATTTGATCGAAATAGACCTAGCGTTTCATTTAGTTGTTAGTATTTGTCCATGCGCTATGGGCATTAAGCTGCAGAAATTCCACAGTGAGATGTGTTCTTTGTATTAATATAGCGTCGCTTACACGCTTCACATTGCAACACCATCGCATTGTAATGAAGAGAAGGCAGGCACCTCCTTTCATCAACGCTTTCTAACAGTTTTGGGATAATTCTAGAACATTACTACTGTGTATTATTACTATTAAGGTTATATGAATAACGTCGAAGGCAGGAAGTATGTTAGTGTTGGTCATTGTTGGGTGGGGGAGTAGAACAACGCAGCAGATTCTGAGACCGTAGTCTCGTTGTTTCAGCAAATAGTCTGAGCCCATCCTGGGTTAAGCGCACAGGAAGCGTCATTGCCAAAATAACGTATTTAAGAGACACAGAAAAATAAGACGCTAAAAATCAAACGATTATTTTACAATGTTCCACGGACTTTTGTGTGCCAGTTCAGCAACACACCCCGTGGACGTAAATACAAACTGGATTATCAGGAAGTAACTTCATAATCGAAACTTCCAGTGTGCGAACAGTGAAGATTCATTTTTCAAGTGTCATAAACGAATTAAATATATAAATGTAAACGTGGCACACATCTGCTCACGTCATCGGTCTTTAATCAAACTCAATCCTATTTTAAATGATTTAGTTTGCTTGACTTTCATGGCTATGGACGTATGTAACAATAGATCAGTAACACAACGAGTTATTAATATACTCACAATGTGCATCTACTTTGCCTCTACGCTTAAAACGTCTGCTAAGAACTATAAGAGTTATAGTAAGTTAATTGTCAGGCTTTTTTGCGCTGAATCAAATACTGATGACACTTTCGAGCACAAATGGAGGATATTTGAGGCGTTCTGCTTTGTCTTCTATCACAGTAAACCTTCATCTTATGGTTTTGGAGAAATAATCCTTTTTTTTGGCCTCTATGAAATTTGTTACTGTTTTCTCTATCCTGTTTGAGGCAAAACAATTATTCAACTAAATGAAAAAATAAGTGATTTATCAATAATGATAGATTTGTTTATCGTTTATCACTTCTGATAAACGATAAACAAATCGGCACTAGTTACTTGGCTTACATTTAATATTAACAGTGATGCTGTGGTCCGCTAACAAGTGTTTAATGTCAATAAAGGACTTAAATCTCAAACATCTTCTTGCAAGCAAATACCTTTAAAGATGTTAAGCCACTTAAGTCCGTCATGTATTGTGGCCACAGCACACCAGATGTGAATTATTGAGTTTAGAAAGTGGTGACAAGGCTCATTATAATGAATGTCTGGAGATCGAAGGGGGTGAAATTCCTGGTTTTATGACGGAAGGAGAAAACTTGAGGGTTTTCATCCCTCCTTCACTTCAAATTAGCCCTCAAGATTATAAGATGCAGCAGTTGGAGATCACGTAAGTGCTGTCCCTTCGTAACCGCCACCACCCCTCCTGTCATGAACCGTAAGTGGTTCATCACTTACAATCCCGGTCAGGCGGTCCGGTCGACGTCTGAGAGCATTTTGAAATGAGACGCAGCTCCATAGCAGGCAGACCGGGATGCTCTGGTGCAACACGTGCGTGGCTCAATTATGTGTTCAAAACTCTACTGAATCAGGAACAATTTATAATCAGAAATTAAATAACTATAATAGTTTGGTCTAAACTGCAACAATAAGTAGCCTAATATACAAAGATGTGCCAAAGAAACACGTGAGGAGCAGTAACAAGGGACTGATAATGGAATGTAACTACCGTAAGTAGTAGAAGTAGTTTTTGATCAACTAATCGTTTTAGTTCTATTGACAAAAAGTATTTTATCAACCAAGAAACCTTTTGTACTAATAAACGTGACAAAATTGTAAAGAGAATTTGAATGAACTTGTGGCAGTAGAAAATAAGAGACCTATACTTTTAATATAAAACTCCCATTTTTGTGGTTTTAGGAGTTAAAGTTCCACGCAATTTTCGCTTGTTGGAGGAGCTTGAAGAAGGGCAGAAGGGCGAGGGCGATGGCACAGTCAGCTGGGGCCTGGAGAATGACGACGACATGACCCTCACGTGGTGGACGGGCATGATCATCGGACCGGCCAGAGTAAGCACAGCCAACGCAGCAGCTCCAGACGCTGTCAGCGCCTGTAGATTCTGCTACTGATGTCTGCTTTTCTGTTTCCCAGACCAATTACGAGAACAGAATATACAGCCTGAGATTGGTATGCGGCTCTAGATACCCGGAGGTGTGCCCGACTGTTAAATTTGTAACGAAGATAAGCATGAACGGGATAGATAACTCCAACGGGGTGGTAAGTGTCATTAGTTAGTCACGTTATATACACACACCAGTGTTCTTCATTTGTTGCACGTTGTTTTCCTGTTGCTCCGGCGTGCTGATGACTCACTGTCAGCCTCCTGTCCCCATGACTGATGTGCTTTTTGCTTTGTCTCGTCTCACAGGTGGATTCGAGTAGCATACCAGTTTTAGCAAAATGGCAGAATTCTTATAGCATTAAAATTATTCTTCAAGAGTTAAGGCGTCTAATGATGTCCAAAGAAAATATGAAGCTTCCACAACCACCAGAAGGCCAAACCTACAGCACTTAATCGCCATGGATTGTTTTGACCCTCTGTCTTAAACCTTACTCTTAGAAATATCATGTAAAATCATCAAGAGGCTCACTTCACACATCGACAATATCGTCTGCAAGACCCACATCGGACTTTCTTATTACATGCTCCATGACAAGGAACACGTCTCTGCAGTTAAGCACTGAGTAGTTAAGAGACTCCAAGACCACAGTTATCCGCCTTTAAGAAACTTACTTTGACAATGACTTTTATGTTCGACGTGTCCCGTTGCTTGAGTGGGCTTTAAAGAGGGGACGTACCAGTGTCCCAATAGATTTGAGGTCAAATGACTGATCACTGAAGTAGACAGCGAGATGTGTGTGTGTGTGTGTGCGTGTGCGTGTGTGTGTGCGTGAGAGAGAAGGCATGTTCTGTAGCTAATACCTAGACGGGGAGAAGCCACATTTTGGAGTTTGTTGGTTTATTAAAATACACGCCGACTGCTAAATATTGTGTCAAGTCAAGTGTCCCGAGATGTATAGAGATCTAGATGGATTTATCTCTACACACCTTCTGCATTGACACACGTGTTTCTGCTCTGCACCTCTTTGACATGTAACGGACGTTGAAGCCTGTGCTGTTCTGAAACCCTTGCATTTAACTCCCAATGAAAATGGCAGGTGTATGAACATGTGATTTTCTGAAATTAAAATCACTGTCTGCAACAAAACAAAGCCAGAAGCGTGACTTTTTTTTTTTGACTCCTCAGCTGCACCATCATTCCCCAGTTGAGCCACGAGAGGGCCTCAGCTGACAAGTAGACCTCCGTTCATCATCATGTGATGGAAACCTTGCAGTCATCAGGAAAATCTAATCCAAACGCCGTTTATTACGTGCTACGGTTCTCATTTGGTGAGATATCTGCGTAATGCACGAGCAGGTTTCTCTCTGACCGATGGTCAGCTAATTCTTGTCCTGGTCGGTGAACGTCACACTTTGAGGCAGTGAAAAGCGAGCGAGCTGTGACCTTTTTGTGGCTTTCCATTATTCACAAAGTTTAATTAAGCGAATGGCCAGTTAAAGGGGAATTTGCTGCAGACGGTGTAGTCGTCTGTCTTTAGTACGCTCAGTTTCTCTTAATGTTCAATAATCCTAAACTGATAAGTTAGTGAAGCATCTTTCAAATTAAAAACGATTTACCAGGAAAATTGAGCAGGATCCCGTTCTTTGTTGCCGTAATGGCCGGGGGGGGTCGTTGGTCGGTGAGCGCGGGTTAATGCTGTATTTTAGGGGATTTCTGGCCATTTGCTTCGCTTATCCACTCGCACAGACCTTGTTTTGGAAGGATTAGTAATTTATGGTCCGGTCGCAAAACACGGATGCACCATCAGTCAAATTCTGCAACTCGCTTCTCAAATTGTTTTTCTCTTTGTCTTCTGAATAATGAATAGCTTGTGTGATTTTTAACAGCCGTTGGGCTCTTCTACGTAAACAAGCGCGGCTCTGTCCTCGAGATCGACCCCCCCCCCTGCAGCAGGACCTCGTCTTGAGAAACGGGCATCAGTCGCACTTGTTGATGATTCAAACCTCTTTGTTTTTGTTCTTTTTAGTTCTTGCCGGGTTCATGTGGTTGGTTTTTAATCTCAAGACTGCTGACTTGCACAAAGATGAATAGAAACACACAAACGCTGTAAACGAATAACAATTCCACATTTGCATGAGAAGAGCAACGTAAACCGAAAGAGAAAACCTGCCTGGAATGTTGAACTTGTGCATCATTTACATATCAAAAGTCTTGTTTTCCAGTCATATCTGCATGGGCTGAACTCTGCCCCCCCCCCTCACAGCTCGCAGCTCTTTGCCCCTAGAGGGGGCTCTTCCCCTGCGTGAATACTCAGTGGGGGGGGGAGGGGGGGCTCTGTTTAAAGGACTGTGACGGACGCTGTGACGCTACCAGCTCCGTTTCTGGCATACTGTTGTATTTCTTAAAAAAAAGTGGCGGTGCTACTGTCCCAGAGCCTCTCCACTGGTGTCCCTCGGTGTCCTCATGGGGGGTTTTAGGGGGGGGGGGGCTCTGCTGCTGCCACAAAGCTCAGGCAGCATTTGCACTGTGCAGCGAGATGTCTTCTCTCAATGCGCGGTGATGTGCGTGGGCGTGAGATGACCTCACCCATCCTCCCTCTGAGCGGGATTTGACTTTCTGCATGTGACAGTTGGTACATGAGCCTGACTTCCATCAACTACACTCCTCTCCCCCCCCCCCCCCTTTCCAAATCCTCTCGGAAGTCATGAATATGAAATCAGAAGTGGCCAGTTCACTCAGCGGCACAGTCATCCTCCAATATGAAAGACACAGCCTCGGGTCATGCAGGCTTATTCCTTTATTCGCCACATGTTTTTCCAGAGCAGACTTCTCTCAAGCTTTTTGAGATAAGATAAGATATTCCTTTTATTAGTCCCACAATGGGGAAATTCACAGGCAGAGTGGACGGTGCACACAAGATGCATGGTAAAAAACACAAGAGCACCAGTATCGCGACAAAGTGCACAGTAACTAAGTATACTCAGTACCAAATAAACATATGTATATGTACACATATGGTTATTGCACATTGCCATCTTTATTGCATGTATGTTGTGTTTTCTCATGGGGACTAATACTGTTTAACCTCCAGGCCCGTCGAACCAGTCCGAGTTTCCAACATGCACCTGCACAAAAGCACCAGCTGACGCTTCTACACTTGTACCAGCCGGGTTATTTTGGTTTCTTTATTTGGTGCCATCCGGTCATTTGGCTGTGGTTTGGACGGGGACGGGGGGGGCAGAAAGCCTCGGGAGAGGCGCTCGCTGATCTAAGACGGGAAGGAATGCGCCGAGGAGGACGTGCGTCTCGGCTGCCGGCAGACTGCTGGAACCAGGCCTCCGCTCACAGAGCGCTCACCTTCTGCCCCGCAGGGGCCAAAAGGTCGCGTCGTGCGTCTGTTGATACTGTAAAAAGCTTTGTCTTCTTTTACGGCCGCCGAGGGGAGAATGTGTCCGTGCTCCTGAGAAGCCACATGTGTTACCAGTCGTCCACTCCCACATTTTGGAGTTTCTACGGACAGCGGCGCTCGTAGTCTGGCTGCCGATGAAGAACCAAATGTGACAAAAGGTTCTGCGGGACGACTTTAAGACGCACAACTGCTGAAATGTAAAGCGGGTGAAATGTTTCCATATTGGAACTTTGTGTAAAGATGCAGGAGTTTAGGTGATTAAAGGCCTTGTTTATGTCACGCATGATAAAATCATAGAAATCTGCATTCCAAGTGATATTTTAAAAGTTTCCCAACACAGGATTTAACATAAAATGGCAGCGCTTTTGGTCAAATATTGCGTGATAACATTCCTGGAAACTCAGAAGCTAAAGGAACAAGTTGCCATTACGGCCTTAAAGCCTGGCAGCACACGTCAGCATCACCACTTCTTAGGGGGAGCGGAGGGGGAGTATTAAATATTACACAACTGGGTCCGTCTCCACCCTGGATGCCAGAAAAACCCCCAAATGTGAGCACAGAAGCTTTCTGCAAACCACCACTTCAGCCTCCCGTCACAAAGTCACGGGGTTTACGTGGTGAAACGCCGGTCGGGTTAATGCGTCACGTGACCTCGCATGAGGTCAATCTCCAATGTCTCTCCTCTTACCCTGAAATCACGAACAAGGACGAACATGAGTCCAAACAGATCTCTTTTCCCAGTGCTGCTTCTCCTTTTAGTATTTCATCCGTGTGTCCTGAACGGAGCAACAATACGCTAATTACCCACATGGACGGTTCCTCCTCGGTGAGACAAATGAACGGCCTCGCTCGCTGTGAGAAAAGGGGGACAGATTGGAAGCACATGTCCGCTCTCTGTTTGACGCGAGCTGTGGGACGCGCCGCGGCAGAGAGCGCCTGAGGTCGCCTCCATGCTCGCCGGCGGGCGGACGGCGGGACGAGGGGAATGAGGACGACGGTCTTTGATGTGTGAATCACGCTATCTGCAACATGGAACCAAAAGTCAGCGTGTTGCATGCAACGGAGGGAGGGAGGGAGGGAGGGAGGAAGGGGGGAGAGAGAGAGAGAGAGTCTGTGTACTCACTGCATTCCAGGTTATTTATACAGAGTGAAAAAACTGGGTAGACTTCATGTCTCTACTTGGTGAGAACTATTAAATTACTGGTGGATGTTTTTAATTACTTCACATAAATGTTGGAACATAACACTTCTCCAGTGTTTTGGGGGGGAGAAGAAGAAGGGGGGGAGGAAGAAGGGAGGGATGGGGGGGGTCTGTAATGTCTCACATGTTTAGGGAAGCACTGGCTCGCACTTAATCACGGTGGTCCCTGTGTGATTCTGGCGATGGAAATGTGGCTTTGTGAGAGAAAAAAGTGAGCATTCCTTCTGCTGGCGCGAGGGAGAGGAAACGGGTAATAAACCCAGGGGTGAAAAAAAAGAAGCCTCGGCGGCGTGCTGGAGCCGGTGATTCTGGGATCCACTTAATTGCTCTTAAATGAAAAAGATTTTTGGCTTCCCGTTTGCTGTTTAAAGAAAATTCAAACCCCACATGTAAACCGGCCAGGCGGCGACTTCTCACTAATCCCCCTCCTATAATATTATTATTAATACTGAGGAGGAGAAGAGGCAGAGATGCTCTTCTACTCATGTAGGCCGCAGGAGTCATTTGAAGGGGGGGGACTAGTTTGTTGAATGTTTTATCTCTGTTTAATTGCAATGCAGTTGTTATTTGTTGTTTGTATCCAGGCCGGTCGCACTGCATCATCCTCACACAGCCGAGCTTTGGGGGAAGAAATATTCAGATCTGAATTATTCGAAATTACCAGCAGTGGCAGCGGGGAGCTTATGCAGTGATGTAATGCAGGTTGAACGTATACTGCGTGTTAGACGTTGCTGCTGAAATGGAAATAAAGTGAAGAACAGCTGGCCAGATGTGCTGAAGTCTACTCTCCTCATCGCGTCATCTGAATAAAACATCCCGTCCCTTTCCCGCGTCGCCATCGTTTGCTCACTTTTGTGTCCCGAGGGGTGACGGCTCGCCGCCCGACTGTCACGTGGCGTCCCCCCCCCCCGCTTCCTTCTGTGCTCATTAATTGTTGAGAGAAGCGTGTCACATCCCGTCGGGCCGACCGCCGGCATCCCCCCCCCGCTCGCCCCTCGGTGCCCGCCGGTGCCCGCTGACGCGGTCGTGGCAGCGGCGGCCCGAGGACGAGAGGCCCGGGGGCCCCGCAGGATGTGAGACAATGCTGGGAAGGAAGAGGAGGGAATCCCGGGGGGCCGTGGGCAGAAGGCCCGGCCAGCGAGTGTCCCTTCGCCGTGACTCCTCTCCCCCCCCCCCCGAGGATACACTGTGTGTGTGTGTGTGTGTGTGTGTGTGTGTGTGTGTGTGTTCCAGGCTCTGCACCGGTCTGAGGGGGGGGGCACCTTCATGTGGTTTGGATCCATGCAGAACCTCCTTTGAGCATTTATAAGCAGTGCGTAAAGCCCTAATAGGCCGCTTATAACACACATGTGGTTCCCAGGAGGTTTAAGGACATTATATTTATATCACAAGATCCTCCGAAACTACAAATACCACAATATAAAGTAAAAGCACAAATGATGCAGCAGTAACAGAATCATATTAGTGGATTATAATTTATAGACTAATGTTTTAACACTAATAGTATGCAGATTATTTGAAATACTTGTGTAGCTTAAAC